CCGCCTCTACTGAGGCTGCCCGAGTGCGCCTGCGCTGCGGCGACGCGCGCGATTCACCAACGTTCAACTGAGCGGGAACAGCGTTTAGAGCGGCTTCTAGAAACTTCGGAGGACTCCAAAACGCGTTTGGTGAGTAATACTTGGTTTATTTGACGTACCAAGTTTTAATCGAACATTTACTTAGATTTAATCCTATAATCTGATAATGTTGAACTCTTTATACAATAAATCGAAAATTAGCGTCACTTGCTAAGTTAGCTAGTTAGCCAGTTAGCCGGTGGTCTGCTATGGTGAGCTAGCTGGGCTAGTCACCTCTGGTTGTTTTCTCTCACAGTGTGAGACTTTATGAAGGCAGTTAAAAGGTAATTGTTCTAATTACTATTTTAAATGGGAACCACGTTTAGAATTCATGTTCTAAGTCTAGCTAATAAACTGAGTTGCTATCGAAATGCCCTGCTGTAGTGAAACCTACGATTGAAAGTGGAGCCAGACGTCCGAAGAATTCAGTGCCTCTGAAAACTCTCTCTCAGAAAGTTATTATATGAAATGGTTAAGTTAGATATATATTGTGTGATGCCTGAAACTTTGTTTTATGGTAGTTTTGTGCTTAAAATTTTAACCTGCTGTTTTTTTTTAATTCATTAATGCCGGAGGGGTGCATGCAGGGCAAAATAGTCTCCAAAAGAAAGCTCTTTTTTCCCAGACTAATTTTCCCACCATTACACAAAAACACATGTAGGTTCACTGGTGGTTTCAGATAGTAAATAATATGTTTATATTTGTGTTGTAGTCATGGTGACCCCTGGTTCCCATCACCACTGTAAAGAAACGGTACACTTATTTACAATGAACCATTTTATATCAAACCACTCTGAATGACTCTGCAGCCACATGTTTACATTGTTTGCATGTTTACATTGGACTGAATTATTCAGGAATTTTGAATTGGTAGAACTTGCAGTCATCCTAACTGAACTGAGCTATAACTTGGTTACTTTCTGTCCGATAGTTTTACTTGCTTGAATTCGAATATCTAAAACAATTAACATTAGATCAGTGTTCAGCTTTTGGAAATTCAGTATCTGTTGTATAAACTTTGAGCGTCCACTTTATGAGAATATTAATTTGTGTATGGTAAGTGGAATAAAACCATTTAATGCTAGTACAAGAAATCACTACGTCACTGACCGGAGATTATTCAAGTGATGTTTCTGAAATCTCCTTGTTCTCTTGTTGCAGTCGCCTGCACGTCCTTCGTACACCAGCAGCATCTTTCAGGTATGGAAGCAACATTAATTTACCTATCTTTTTCTGCTGGGTTACTGGTTTGATTTCATTCAAAAACAAGTACTTTTGTACTTTAACTAAGTTGTGAATTGGAAATCATAATGCAATATATATTAATTTAAATGCAATAGGACTTTGAATGTTAAGTGTCATTGCGAAAACCAGCACATTGTTATTTACAGAAACACTCTCCTTCTTCTATGCTGTTGCACCCACAACTGCTTTTTTCATGTTTCTTTGTAGATTTATTTCTCATAATGCCTGCTGTCTGCTATCTGGTGAGGGTTTTACTGATCTTGCTGACTTTTTTTTTCTTTATTTTAGATGCAGCTATGAAGAATCCACAGTAAGTCAAGCTGCAGGTGACAAAGAAATCGACCAGAGACCTCCACGTCTGCTAAGAGCTGAGTACATTTAACATTATTGGGTAGGGGTCAGATGTTCATATTCTGTCTGCCTCTCTCTCTTCCACACATGCTCTATATATACATTCACTGACTGCTTTATGTACCTTACTTAAGCCTGTTTGCAAATAACATTACATCACTGTGTTGCTGTGGCACATACTGGAGGGCAGGAAGTGATTTTCATAGAAGGCACTGTCACGGGTTCTCGAAATGCCTATGGTTTACATTGTTTATGGTTGCTAAATCGGTTCTAACTGAGAAACTACAAGGTTCTTTTATCAGGTACCAAAGCTCATTGTTCATTGGGGGGAAAATGCAAGAAATTGACCAAGAACACCAGCAAAAAATATGTTTTGCATAGTTTATCTGTGGGTGTGCACAGGTGGTGGATTTAAAAGGTACAAGCAACACCACTTACACTTAAATCAGGGATAACAGTTAAACAAAAGATGGGTGAACAAACATATTGCTTATATCTGCTGCCTCAATAGCAGGGAAGTCTTTCAGTTCAGTTGGGAAAAAAAACACTCCTTTTGAAAACATCAGGAACATCTGTCCAAGATTGTAAACTAGCATAGTATGGGCTTGCCTCCATCTTGTTTTCTGCTTTACACTTCCTGCCCTCCATCTGGAATTTGCACGTCATTCGAACCATGTGACTTTAGAGATTGTAGTCCATCTGTTTCTCTGCATAATTTGTTTACCCTTTTACCCTGTTCTTCTATGGTTAGGACCCCCCAGGACATGTATTATTTGGGTGGTGGATCATTCTCAGCACTGCAGTAACACTGACATGATGGTGTGTTAGTGTATGTTGTTCTGGTGTGAGTAAATCAGACACAGCAGTGCTGCTGGAGTTAAACACTGTTCACTCACTGTCCACTCTAGAAGATGCTTCTACTTTGCTAGTCCTTGTAGATGTAAAGTCAGAGACGATAGCTCATCTGCTGCTGCACAGTTTGTGTTGGTCATCCTCTACTCCTTCATCAGTGGTCACAGGATGCTGCCCACAGTTTGCTGGACATTTTTGGTTGGTGAACTATTCTCAGTCCAGCGGTGACACTGAGGTGTTTAAAAACTCCAGCAGCACTGCTGTGTCTGATCTACTCATACCAGCACAACACACACTAACACACACTAACACACCACCACCACATCAGTGTTACTGCAGTGCTGAGAATGATCCACCACCCAAATAGTACCTGCTCTGTGAGGGTCCATGGGGGTCCTGACCGCTGAAGAACAGGGTAAAAGGGGGATAACAAAGTATGCAGAGAAACAGATGGACTACAGTCTCTAATTGCAGAGCTACAAAGTACTCCCATATTGGTGAACCTGATTAAATGGAAAATGAGTGAATACAAGGTAGCTGTAAATGATAAAGTGGCTGTGTGTGTGTGAAATAAAGCACAGTGGTGTACTGCACACTTCAGTTTCGTATGTATTTTTCTTAACACATGTTTATTGGTATATGTTAACTGTTTACCTTTATGTACTGGGTATTCCATTTTGTTAGTGTTGTAGGCATGTACTGTATGTTTATGTAAGACAATTAAAGCAGTTGTTTCCAAATGATTTCTAGTGTTGTCATTGAAATTCATGCATGCATACAGGTGAAAACAGGTGAGCTTTAAGAATGTGTTACTTTACAAGGCATGATACAGTGCATACTAGCTTAATAGTATGCATATTAAAACTGTGACAAACGATTGTTCAGCTGTGTTCACCTGTGCTTTACTGTGTTCATCGGGTATTGGGTCAGTTGATTTTCTTTTTATTGTTGTCTGGATTCTGTTACGCTATTTCAGAATAAAAGTGAATGTTAGTCTACATCTGAGCAAATGCTATACTTTTGGTTGAGGTACATGTAGTTATAGAGATTACGATTTACGTAGAAACCGTATGGAAGTAAATTGAGTATATTTTGCTAGCTGGGAGCGTTAATAGCACAACGTATCTGGATGAGAGCCGAGATACAGACCAAAGTCTCGGCCCACGAGGTTTAAGATTGGTATGCAGTATTCGGCCGGGATGTGGCCCAACTGAATTTTGCTATCTGGGAGACTCAACGTTGAAAGCTAAGACGTTGAAACAACATGGCAATATCAACGTTGATTCTTTTTTCCAAATCGAAACATAATCAAACGTTGTTTCAACCATGATCTGTAACGTTGATTCAACCTTGAATAAATGTTGAAATGCCAGCTGGGGATTCTATGACTTATGATCTCATAATTTTGATTTTCTATCACATAATAATGAGATCCTATCTCAATCATATTTTAGTATCTCATAATTGACTTACTCATAATTGAGATTTTTTTTTCTAAATATGTAAATATGTCATAACTATGAGAAACATGATTATGATACAGAATATTATTATGATACTTAGTTATGAAAAACTTTCTCATTGTTATGACTTACTACATGGCAGTGTATTCTTTTCCAGTAGCAGAAACAGACTTCAATACATCGTGGCATGAAGTCCCTAAACAAAAATTATGGTTATATGTGTGTTGTATTTGTAGATGTAGACTTTCAATGACTTTGTTTACAACTCAGCAATTTGCTGATCTTGGAAAAACTAGTCAAATAGGTTTATCATTAAACTAGAACTGCATGTGTGCTGGTGTGTTGATGGATGATTGATGCCACTAGGTACATTAAAAAATTAAGTAGCTAATTGTACCAGGTTGTTTGGTTATTTTTCCACAGTCTACTTAATTTCTGGTTCATATTAACTTCTGGAGTTGTTTAAGCTCTTTTGGAAAACTAGTTACTAAAGGCCATTTGAGAACAGGCTATTTGCAGGAATATTTGTGCCACTTAAATCCTTTCCAGGCAGCAGTGGAGTTGGGCTATTAAAACATGAAACAGCAGACAATAAAATGATTGGCATCTACTCTGTTGTTAAAGCCTAAGGCTTGTTTTGGCCTCCTTTCTCTGTCACCCTGTTTCACCAAAAGCGCTGTAAGAAGATAAACATAACAGTGGACAGGTTCATTGCGATTCTCTTCCTGGCATCCTATGCTGATCCAGTTTTTTCAGAAACCCACTTTAACCCAACCACATTTCTGGAATCAATCGGAATAATCTGAATATTTTCAGGCTCTAGACCTCAAACTGTGGGGAATTGCAAACAGCAGTGCCATGCATGCTGTATAGCAGGAATAGCAGTTTTCCAGCTTGAGGACCCCTGCTCTGCATGTTTTACTGGGCAGTGCAGGTGGAAAACACTGTACAGTTTGCAAAGGTAAACACAAACTACTCAACCTAAGAAATAACACAACATCATCCAGCATATTAGTATTAATATTTTATTTCAACATAAGTGTGACAATTTACTGTTTGATCACTCACCCAGGTTAAATTCCTGTTTTTTTTCCATTCTAAAAAAAGAAAACTAAAGTGAAACAGAAATTCCCTGTTTTAAAGGCAAAATATGTTTGTCCGCAATGGTGCTTTCAAAATTAAGAAACAGCTACGCATGGTAGGTCACATGGATGATGTATTTGTGTATTTGACCAGAGCTAACGTACTACAAATGAATGAGAGCAAAATAACCCAGGAAACTCTAACAGGTCGTTAAAATAAGACTTACCCATTGTCTAGTTTAACCATGTCACTCCTATCTGAGGACAGACATTCAAACCAAACTCCACACATGGGGGTCACAAAAACTATACAAGTTTGCACTTTAAAACCACTGATGTTACATTATTTTACAATAAGCTCATCAAAAAGCAAAATGAAAGTAGATCATTGTTTCTGTTGCATGGCCTCTTTTCGTGCTGCGTCCTGTAGGAGCTGGGTGTCCACTTCATCAGCAGGAAGCTGAACGTACCGCACCACTGAACCGCGAATGAAGCAGTTTTTCACCGACAACTGAAAACAGCAAGGACAAGATTAAAATAAGAGTTACATTAGGTTTGGGAAACATTTATACTGATTTGAAAACCATTTAGGCCATCCTTACGAATGGATGTACAGCATATATATACACACCGACCGGCCAATCCCTTAAGTACCTCTCCTTGTATCTACAGTCCTTGTCCATTTGATCGGCTCCATTTACCATTTGGGTGCACTTTGTATTTCTACAATTACAGAACGTAGTCCATCTGTTTCTCTGCATACTTCATTAGACCCCTTTTACCCTGTTCTTCAATGATAAGACCCTCACAGAGCAGGTACTATTTAGGTAGTGGATTATTCTCAGTACTGCAGGGACACTGATGTGATGGTGTTGTGGTAGTACTGCACTGGTATGAGTGGATCAGACACAGCAGTGCTGCTGGAGCTTCAAACACCTCAGTGTCACTGCTAAACTGAGAATTAGTGATACATTGATACTGATACTGGTATCGGGTATTGGCCATTGACCCGAGGGTCTGCTCGCAGAGCAAAGTGCTGCTCACGCTGCGCCAATTGGGCACAAAGTCATTGGTCACTTTAAGCATTCCGCCTTGGCATATTTCCGATAGGCTTACACTGTGATTTGGGCCATTATAATGCTCCTATATAGTAAGTGGAGCTGATAAAAACACATGCACACACAAGGGTGGTTCACAGTTGATAGTGCGATTCAGTCCAAGACTAGGCTTAATCCGTGTTTGAGACACTGAAACTAAATGTTGCTCACCATGTGGGGATACTTCTCAGGGTCAGTGACACTGATGTCTGTGAGTTTGATGTTCAGATACTGTGACAATACATGAAAGAAAAAAAATATATTACAAAGAGAGGCCTACAGCAACCACTGATAATACAAAATATTGTATACAAAATATTCTACTGGCATACCTGATCGACAGAATGTAGTGTTCCACATATGCTGTAATTGTTTAAGAGAGATGTTAGTAAACAATATATGGCGGTCTATAGTTGTGTCTATTTCTAAATGTTCACACTGGAAAAAGAGGTAATAAATGGGCACATTTCTGGATTATTATTTAAAATTCCAGTGGCACTTTTAATTATTGAACATCATCCACTCACCTCAAGTCATTTTTTAATTCCACCACCACGTCTTTGCCCACCAGGGACTTGAAGAATGAGTAGAAAAGCTGTAAAACAATTGCAATAACATTACAGAACCAGTCACACATCAGTCCTAACAACAACAACAGCAACATCATCTAATGGTCTAGAGCAGCATTTCCACATTTTCACCCGTGTCATGAATAAGGAAAGCACAAATGTGTTCAGTGCAGGACTGAAGCTGGGAAACACTGACCTAGGGCCTGAGCATCTCTTACACAAGAGGTCTACATGGCATCCTTAAATTAAATGTAATACCTCAGACTTTTTAATAACACTTCTAATGTAATTTAAGACTAACTTTGCAGTGATATGAACATACACCCATTCAGTGTTTCAGCAAACTCTACAGCAATTACCAGTTTATTGCACATCCCTGCATCAGGCAAATGACCTGTACTATTCACTATGTCTGAGAGAGGTGATGGCAAATACTTTTTCTTTCTTTCTTTCATTCTATAAACAAACAAACAAACAAATAATTGACACCTGTTTGTATTCTGTGATGTAACACCACACAAATTTAATAAAAAAGACAATTTAAAAAGACAATTTGCATAAGGTAGTTTCTGACAAATTAAGCTTTTTAATTTTTTAAAGAAATGCCTACACGCTGCTCCAGAGTGGGAGCATTTCTAGAGTCTTAATCAAATTGATTAATGGTGAAAGCATAGCCAGTACATGTTATTTGAGTCTTCAAGAGCAATAATAGTAAACACTGTAATGACAATAGTATGACAAAAAAAACCATACACTTAACAGTGATGTTTAATAAAACTTAAGAACAGTGTTACAATAAGGAACAGGAAAACAAATAAAAATAACCAAAAACAACTAATAAATAGAAAGAATGATATATACTACATAAAAAAGTTTGATGGTTTTTCAAGTTAATAATGAGTGTCTGATGAGCATCAATGAGGACAGAGATCCACATCTTCAGTCCATAATTCACTACTATTTGTGTTTCATCCTTTAAACTAGGGGATTGTAACTAATTCTTCTTTTATTATACAATATGCATCAAGATATTTAGTTTTTTTTTGAGATTTAATAAGGTGGAACCGAAAATAGAAACTATAGAGCCACTTAAAAATACTATAATAATAATAATAATAATAATAATAATAATAATAATGTCTGTGTTCTTTAAGTACTGGCGATATCCTCAATATGCTCAGAAAAGAGTATGATGACATCATTTATCATGATAAAATATTGTCAAATTGCCCATCCCTACTTGGAACATTTCATAACCCAGTACCGCTCAATCTTAATACTTGATTTGGAACAGTCATTCAAGCATCCTGAAATATGTGAAGGTGTTAATTTAAGAGCTTTAAAACCAGTAAAACAATTCTAAAATCAGGTCTTCAGCTCTGGCCAGTTGAAGAAAATCATTCAAGTGTCCAATGTCAAAATGTTCAGTGTCAAAGTCTGAACACTAGAAGGTGCTCTGTTACCTGATAAGCTGTTTTTAATACCCCTTGCTTGGATTTGGAAAGTCTGCCTACTTCGGAAGTGTCCAAGTTATGCATAAATGTAAACCTGAGTTATGCACTGAATAACAGACTTAAAGTCTAAAGTTTAAAAAAGGTATTCACTGTTTTATGCAATAAACCTATTTTTATGTAAATTAAAGCCCACTTAGTCATGGTCCCATCAGAGAGAAGCTTGCTTCAGTTCCCTTTCCTGGAGGACATCGCTCTGAGTGAGGTAACATTACCCAGCAGTTCACACACCAGTCAGCCGCAACATTAAAACTACCTCCTTGTATCTACTTATTGTCCATTTAAATCATCTCCATTTATTGTCCAGGTGCACTTTGTTCTACAATTACAGACTGTAGTCCATCTGTTTCTCTGCATACTTTGTTAGCCCCCTTTTACCCTGTTCTTCTATGGTCAGGACCCCCACTGGTCCACCACACAGCAGGTAATACTTGGGTGGTGGATCATTCTCAGCACTGCAGTGACACTGACGTGGTGGTGGAGGTGTGTTAGTGCGTGTTGTGCTGGTCTGAGTGGATCAGAAGCAGCAGTGCTGCTGGAGTTTTTAAACACTGTGTCCACTCTATTAGACACTCCTACCTTGTTGGTCCACCTTGTAGATGTGAAGTCAGAGATGATAGCTCACTTGTTGCTGCACTGTTTGTGGTGGTCATAGGACACTGTTAGCTGGATATTTTTGGTAAGTGGACTATTCTCAGTCCAGCAGCGACATTGGGGTGTTTGAAAACTCCAGTATCATTGCTGTGTCTGTCATTGCTGTACCAGAACAACACACACTGACACCATCACGTCAATCTGTAATTGTAGAACTACAAAGTGCACCTATATTGTAAGTGGAAGTGATAAATTGTACAATGAGTGTAGAAACAATGAGGTGGTTTTAATGTTAAGGCTGACATAGGTTATATGGCCCACAATAATAATGAGAGTAACAAAACTACCCGATACTTCACGACTGACTGAAAGGTTTCTGCTCTGCACTTCAGGACTCAAGACCGTGTCCGTGTTTGCAATTAGTAAACTGTAATTTGAATTTGTTTGAAATATGGATGTTACAGCACTGCTGAAGAGTGAAAATGCCTTACAGGACTTCACTAGGTTACACAGCAGCAGCGACCGCAATTCGAGGCTTATAGTGAACAAACGTCACAAAAACTGAGCGTTTTAACTTCAGTCTTCTACACTTCAGTCGTCTGAAAGTCTTGGGTAATATAAAGGCAATCAGGAAAAACTATTATATTGTGGTATTTCCTCTACATTGTAAATATATTAACTAAAATAAAATACTCACCATCTTCACGCGCTCTTTGTGCTCGTAGTAGCCTACACCTGACCAAACTGTTTCGCCATTGGTCAGCTTATTCGAAGGCGGATTTATCCTCCCTGTTCATTGGTTGAGTTTGTAGTCGTCGTTAAAACGAGACCTTTCTAACGATTTCAAATTAAATGTCATGAAAAAAAAATCTGCTTAATGTCCTGTTTCATTAAAAAAAAAAAGCAGAGGGTCCATTTCATGATGAAACATTCATCTAGTTTTATTTTAATTATAATTATTTCTTTCAAAATAAAAGTCAAGTATTCACAGGAAACCGAGCGTCTGCAGTTTTTTTTGTTAAAGTTTCCCAGCCCAGCGCTCAGAAATGAGTACTGTCAGTACTGCTCTTCTTCCTGAGCTGTCCGCAGTGTTTCCTCTCTCTCACCAGCAGAAGGCAGCATTTACAAAGTAATTCCACATCAGTCAACCTATTAGCCTCGGGGAGCCAATCTCTTGTTACAAGGAATTGTTAAAGCACTGCTGGGTAACATAGATCATAGCCGTGACTTATATGCCGTTCACATTTTTCATTATTTACTCATTTTTTATCTATTAAATTTTATTTTATTTATCTAAATTTAAATTTAATTTGCTTTGTTATTTACGTGTGGATGTATGTATCATAATTTCATTTGAATAGGTTCAATATAAATTTATATATAGCCCTGTACTGTTTAAATAAAATTGTATAAAATGTAATTGTAATGCTTGGGATTCATTTCTGTAAGACACTATCTTTTAAAAAATAAATATGGAATTAATAAACTACCTTAACGGAAAAAAACAGTGGCTAAGCTATATTACTTCAATGAATTTAAAATGTCTAAAACAGCATCAATTACAGTTAAAGCGCTTTCTATTATTTCTATTTTTAAATTTTTATTACAGCTGTGCACTTTTGGCTACTTACCAAGAGCAAATGACGCTTTCACAACTAAAAAATTATTTTCTATTTATTTCTTTTTTTAGAAGTTTGACTAACATCACTTTGTATTAGAACTATACAGCGGCCTTTGTTGACTGTTTCAGACCAAAAGGATCCCAAACGATGATAGTATAGCAATAAATAATAAAGGTCCGAGGGCACCGAGCCTCAACCTACACTCAGCTTTCATATAATTACTTTCAATACAGATGATCTCTGTACAGACTGTTTCTATTACCACTAATAATAATGCAATCTTTTTTGTCACAATAAAAATATTTACTACATAAAAATCCGGAGTCTGATTATCGAGACCTGCTTGAGTGACGGATGTCAAATATGCCCCTCTAGATCGGAGTTTTTGGACGTGTAACACGTTCTCATCGTTCCTTTGAAAACGCGGAGACCGAAAAGAAGTGAGTAAACTTTGAAATTTTACAAAGATAACGCTGCTCTGAAAGCAGACAGACTTACCAGAGTTCTGCATTACTCTGATGACGAAAAAACAGGACGAGCTGGTTTTTACAATTTCATCCTGTACACCAAGAGAGAGTCATGTTCTGGAAAAAGAAATGCCACAGAAATGCTGTGGATAATAATATGAGATGTCCAGAAAAAGTGATCATTTGACTGAGATTGCTGAACGAACTATTGAGAGGACTGACTATCCATTTCAATAAAAATAAAGTCACTGTTAAAAGAAATACAAGTATGTCCAAAATAGTAACTTTGCAGAAGAAGGCCAAAACACTCTTACCTTTTAATATAAGTTAATGTAAAGAGATTTCATTCCAAGTGATTTTAGAGCATTTCTATTGGTCCATTCATCATGAAATTTTCACACAACGTAAAGGACAGCTGGTGTGTTGAAATGATGTAGAAAAATTAAAATTGCAAAAAATGGAGATACATGGTTTTCTTTGGACTGCGACGATATAACACCTGCAACTTCAACCTACTGAATTCTTCCCCCAAGTGCGGTTGTAGGGATCCACACAGAACAACAGTGTAATCCACAACCGTAATGTAATCAAAGACCCAAAGAAACTAGTGCTTAGACAGACAAACCTTGCAAACGTCTCATATTGTTTACTCCCAATTGCTAGACATGATCAGACACTTTCTTGGGTAATCAAGGATGCAGTGTGGCTGCATTTCGAGTGGAAATTTGACAGCTGGCTTCAGCAGAAAGCTAGAAGAAAAAGAGGACTCCAAACACATTGTGGGCGGCGGACAAAGACACAATTGAGATGAGTTTTAATGCAAGGTTTAAATGCACAAGAGGTAACTGATGATGAGCTGATCACAACTGGTCTAATATGGATGTTTTCTTTCTAAAACCAGAAATAATGGAGTGTTCACACTCTTAAAAAATAAAGGTTCTTAAATGGTTCTTGGCTTGGATATATGGTTCTATCGTTCTTTAAAGAACTACCCACTGAAAAGTTCAGTAGTGAACCAAAATCTTCTATGGCACCACTCCAAAAGCACCTGTAAGAGTGCAGGTAGGACTTGTGAAATTCCAAAATGATGTGACATGACAAAATGGTTATTTCATTACTACTTGGTTCCACTTAATAAATTACTCTCTCCTTATACTATTCCTCAGCACAGCATCAGGGGAATTACAGTATCAGTCCAGATTTGGGGTCTAAACTGCAATTTTATGCATTGTTTCTAAAAAACTGGCTCATGTTGATGGTCCAGCTTAGCCAGTAGTTCCCTTGTAACAAAAAGGAAATGAAAAAAAACTGTAGGCCAGTGAAGATCAGTCATCTGCATCAGTAATTAACAAAAATATCCTGAGACTTATGTGCTTCTCTGGATTTAATCTTCCTGTCTTTGAACAAGTGTTGCTTATCATTACGCACCATCTCACAAAATAAAAACTGGTAAAACTGATAAATTGTGTGCGCCATACATTCAGGACATATTCAATTTGACATGATAGAAAAGAAGAGTTTGTGCAAGAATGGGGAAATATCAGGTTACATCAGCTAGCACTGGGCTTCTTTTCCAGACGAGGGACAAATACTGGGCGTATTTTGTCCCTCGTCTGGAATGATGTCATATTTGCTCGTGCAGAACAGTAGGACACCATCAGAGAAGGCTTTCTGGAGGTGAGAAACTCATTTCAGTGGACGACCCGTCTTCGGAGGCTGTGTCTCATGATGCCCTGAAAGCAGAGAAATATGAGCAATATTACATGATTGCTTAAACTCAGAGAGTTGTAGAAGTATGTTAATGTGTTACGTGTGCCAACAACAGTATTTTTAGAGGAAAAGCACCTCATGCTTCTTTGACAGATAGAAAGAGCTTCTTTCTATCTGTCTGTCTGTTCTGACACACCATATCAGACATCCACATGAAGCAACTTTGGCTCACAGACCACACTTTGGGCTTCCCTTCCATGACAGAACCACTTTTGGTTCCCTAAAGAACCTGTGAATGTTCTTTAGAGAACATTTTTGTAAATGAGATGTGCTAGCATGAAGAAACTTCCTAAAGTTTAAAAACCTCCACATAATGTTAAGATGTTAGCAAGAACCCTTAAGTAAGTGTAGAACTTTTGTTACATGCGTTTAAGAAGTTCTTCACACTCAAACTTTTTCTTCCATGTTATCATACCATCTTTGGGCAGAGGCTGACCGGGTCTGGTGGGTGGCCGTATCTTGCAGGGTAACTCTGAGCTGTCTCTATAGTCTCTGGGTTTGAGCTGGGGTTGTGGGTCTTGACGGTTTTTCATCGGCAGAGGTGGCTTCCCTGACATTATCATGCCTCCCTCAGAGCGGGAGGGCACTACAGGCTTTTTGGTGAAGGACAGAGGCTGTAGACTGCTGCTGCTGCTGGAGGTGGCGGTGGGGACCGATGAAGGATTCTGTGGTTTGCTTTCAGAGCAGGTGAAGGAGCGGTTGCGAGGTGTCGGGACAGGGGGAACACGGTCACTGTCAGAATCTGGTGGTTTGGGGAATGCAAAAATTTCTGAGGGGGACAAGTGGTCTTTTCGGGAAATTTCCTGATCCTTGCCACATCGCGCCTTCCCCATCGAGCCGTAGAGAGGATTGTCAAACATCTCTGGTGGTTGACCATCTTCAGATCTGAAACAATTAATGATTGATTACTTGATCACTTTATCAATTCAGACAATTCAGAAATCATATATTATTTCACAAAGGCTTAAAACAATCCTGACTAATGAGGCCTGGGGAAGGGGAGCCGTCATGTAAAAGCAAAAAAAAAAAAATATATATATATATATATATATATTTTGCGTTATATATATATATATATATTTTTTGCTTTATATATATATATATATATATATATATATATATATATATATATATATATATAAAGCAACTACACAGGCTAAGACCATAAGACCATGCCTGGATGTACTCACACAGGACTGGAGGTCTTGCCTGTGGGGCTGCACACAGAATGATCATATCCAGTCTTTTTTGGGGACATGTTCCCAGAACCCCCATCTTTAGCTCCATGCCCAGAGGCCCCTACTCGAGAAGACACGCTGCTGCCCTTGTAGCCCACACCCATATAACTGGGGTTGCTAATATCAGTGGGTAAGACCATAAATGACCTGTAATAATAAGAATCATTGCTTGTTTTCGAAAACATGAAATACAAAACCATGCAGCGTCTAACGCTATTATAGCAGTATGTTACATCTGATTTCAAGCAGACTTTTGGCAGAGTTACTATTGACAAACCCCAGCCCTTACCACAGACAGCCATTAGCTATAATAAATAATGCATCAAATATGGATTTGTGGATGAACAAAATCTCACTTGTTGCTGTTGTCTCCTGATTTGCCTTTACTGGCACCTGAGTCATCGCCAACCTTAATGAAGTCTGCAAAGGAGAAAACACAGGTGATCAAATCGGATATTAACCTGTTCCTATGTATAATTCTATGAGCATAAAATCAATAAACATAACATACAGACTTTTTTCCTGATTTCTCCTGTTTAGATTTTTGGGAGTGTGAAAGGTAACATGGATGAGGGGAAGAGGACAGAACTTTACTAATGCCCCAAGAGCCAAGGGCCACATAAAAGTGTAGATGTATGTATTTATGTTAAACAAGCTATGGTGAAATATAAAGCCAAAAATGGCTGTTTTTATTACAGTGATTTTTTCAGTACTGTCAATGCAGCCCCCATTCCCCAAACAAATCAAAATCGTTACATAACTATGTAACTGTGTTAAGGCCAACAGTAAGTTTGTAAGCCCATAAAATTTTTCTTAGCTAAACAATATTAAATTAGTTCATTCATTCATAGAGAGTTCATTGCTGTTAGGATCACAGAGAAGAAAGCTGTAAAACAATGGAAAAAATGAAGTTATCTGAAAGACAGTGTAAATGGGATAACATTGAACCATAAACAGTTGTATGCAAATGTTTAAATACTCCTGGTCAAATTACATGTTTTGTTGAATTTCAAAAGGAAAATAAGGATAACACATCCTCTACAGGGAACACACTTAAATATGATACTTCAGTGCACAATTTCTATGTATTGTCTAAGCTCAACATATTGGCAAAGAAAAACATAAATTGTGCAATAACATTTGCACAGGCCACAATTTTTTTAATTTTGTTCCTTATATCTTAAATTTAGTAATAAACAGTAATTGTGCAATACAATGTGCAGAATTATTTTCTCTGTACAGGATGTGTTAACTTATTTTCACGTAGAAAATCAACAAAACATAATTTTACCAGGGCACCCAATTTTTTGCATATGACTGTACTGTCTATATCGGCACACTGTGATATTGCGTTTCATTTTCGATTATCATGCTCCTGTCAGTGTGATTTTAAAAGAAGAAAAACAAGCTATCTCAGGTCTGTAAGACTTTTTAAAACACAGAATAGCTGCAATCAGGAAGCTTAGGTAACTTAAATATCATCTGATACTGTGATTTATTTGGAATGTATTTAATTAAGAGGGGCCCTATTTGGTTCAGGAGGGGCCCTATTCCTCTCTTTGCCTAGGGCCCTAAAGTCATTATATCTGCATTATACCCCTTGAGTGAGAATCTGAAGTAAATGTGCTATATCAGGTTGAAATAAGCAGTGCTGAATGTAGGTATATATACAGTGGCTTACTGAACAGGTATGAGTGTGAATGAAGCTATCAAGATGGAGGTTAGTTCACTCACCGTACAGCTTCTCTGTCTGTTTCCCTTCTGAGGTGCGCAGCTGAATGCCCCCCGTCAGCGTACCTGTGCGTTCTCCATGATGCGTGAGTATGACATCAAACTCAGTATAGGCGATCTCTGCAGACCGCAGAGCCACACACGTCTCACCTGGAGACAGATTAGACAGGTAAAAACAGGTACAGTCTTACAGCACAATATTCAGGGAAAAAATGTGCATTAATGCAATGGGACATTGTGAACAGAAGAAACTAAGCAAGCCTAGAGTTTCTCAAAGCTAAGAGCCAGTTAAATGCCTTTCTCAAATGACTTTCTCAAATGATGTACCACAGGGTCAATTAGCAAGCGGTAAAACCACAGCCATACAATAAAAATGTCTGTTCATATTGAACTTACCATATGATTCATCACTATCTGCAGACTTTATACTGATGAGAATGTGCTGATCAAGTAAGTATTCTGGGTCTGCAATGATGGGAGTGAGCTGTAAAAAGGTTGAAAAAAAAAAGTGTTACTCTGGTGTTCCACCTGGTGAAATACAAACATTCTGTCGATTTACATGATAGTAAATTATGTTATGTTAAAAATTTTCAAATGATCCAAACAATTTACAACAAATTACCTCTACTTGTGTTCCAAATCGGACCTTTATGAAACCCTCTCTGCAGTCTTGATTCTCTCCGTCAGGACCCTTAACAAATTCTATAACATTCAATAAATGAGAATTAAAAGAAATAACACAAAAAACAAAAATATATATTTAGCTGCAAGATTTTATAACAAGTGGAACTGCTGTTCTTTAAAGCAATGTAAAACAGCGGTGTCCTTACTTTCCAAGCAGCTTGAGTGGTACTCGATGAAGAACTTTGTCTTGGATTTTGTCATAAGAGTGGCAACACAGTTCATGAATTTGATGGCACCCTGAGAATCTTTTGTTGGATCTGAAGGGAAAAAAAACAAGGTTTATTATTCATTATTATTGCACTGTGCTTTGATTCATTTTTCATGAAAGTATTTCATTTCATGTAGTTTGTCCTGCTGTATCTAGAACTGATGCAACCAACTGTTCCCATTCTCTTTTTTAAAATATCTCCTGTGAAATACAGGCCAACTTTATCTCGATTTTGGATCGAGGTGGTAAAAGGAAAAGATCTAAGTGACTCCGACAACATGCTCATCATTGAAGCATGGACGAAAGGAGCTTCAGTCACATAGACTGCTCAACCGGCTGGTGTTTCAGTAGAAACAGATTTAAGAGCTCAGTGGTGTAAAAACCATACACACTGATATACAGAAATGAGGAAAAAAGTGATATGGTCATATCACTTCACAATTTTCTCCACAAGTGGGCAAGTGCATGTGTGGAGTACGTAAGGAAAACTGTAAAGGCTTGAATGCTTTACCCCTACAACAAGGATGCATTATGCTGGCACAGTTTAGGCTGGCATGGTTTAGGCTCCTATAGACGTCATTGCAAATCAATACAATTCCAGAGACTTGTAGAACCTATGCCAAGGCACACTGAAGTCCCTCTGGTGGCTCATGGTGGCTCAACAGCTTACTAACACACTTTAGGTTGTTTCTTCCTTTATATTGTCACCAAAGTGCTATATAAACGAAGCTTATTATTATTATTATGATTATTATTACTATCATTATCTGCATATGCATAATTTAACTGTATATCATTATATAATTAATTAAAATGTGTATATTAAAAAATAATAACTTGTAATCCCTGATGGTTGTGGTACCGTATACATGGAAAGATATCTTACCATTTTTTGAGACAAACTGCGAAGTAACACCAACATCAAATGTAGCAAATACAGGTGAGTGGTCACTTGTCATGATGTCAGTGGTGCATCCTGAAAGAATTCAATAATTTAAGTTGAACAATAACAAATGGTTCAGGTGTTTAACTGTAAAGTGTTGCAGTATTTTCCACATTACAAAGCACTGAACGTAAAGTGTACTGACCATATGAGTGGCAGGCCACGTGTACCATGGGATAGGACTTGCGCAGCACACGGTCGCACCACGATGGCAAGTTATATTTGGTCTATTCATGAGACAAAGAAAGGGTATGAAGGAAAGTACTGCATGTATATTTTACACACACTAAGGTCTGTAAACCTCAATACGTTCCTTCAGCTTGCATGAAACCTCAGTACTTTCCACTCAGCTAGGGCTAGAAACAAATCTAGTCTGAAGACAGGTATTTAAGAGGGGAAAGTGAGAGAGGCATTCAATATTTAAAAGAGAATTATATAGCTGAAACACAATACAGCTGTTGCAGCCTTGCCTGTGGTCTACAAAAGGAAAGTATAAATTTCATCTGTTTAATCTACTGTACTGTGCAAAAGGCAGAGACTGCCCTCAATTTGTTTAATTTCCAGTCAAGACGGCCATCAAGTAAAAATTATTCAGCAAGAGGATAAAGAGAAGAAGTGCAAATTTAACAGAAAAAAAATACATACACATAAAAATAAATATCATATATCATAAGTCATGGTGTGTACCCTCTTTGCCTTTATTACAGCTTCCTACCTTTTTGCGTGACTTGATTTCAGTTTAAGAAAGAAATCTGCAGTGATATTTTTCCACACTTCCAAAGTTCAGCCTTAAAATTTGGTAAAATGTTTTGCTTTTCACGATTCAAGTAATCTCAAACATATTCAGTGATGTTGAGGTCTGGACTCTAGGGTGGTTAGTCCATTGCTCTAAGAACACTAGCAGCTTCTTTGTTTGTTTTGCAAATTCCTTTCCTCATTTTTGTTTATTTCTCAGTAGAGCCTTCTTGACAGCTAAACATCCTTTCAGACTCATAGCTTTGAGCTGTCTTCTCACAGTGGAAGGATGGGCAGAAACACGTGGATTTTTTCAGATCTAGAGCAAAAAGTTTTAAAATAATCAAGTTTTAAGTACTGTTTATCTAATGGTGACAGTTTTGGTGGTCTACCAGGTCTTGTACAGTTGTCTGGAGCCCCATTTTCTCTATAGCTTATATTTTAATATAATTTTTTAAAGTCTCCTGTTTTTTAACTTATTTTCCTATAAGTTTTCCCTTCCTTTTACTTATATCTGATCTCCTCAGAAACATCTCCTGAAAAATGAACAACTACTCGGCTGTGTTTAGTTGGTCTCTTGACTTTTGCACAGTGCTGTATATCATTTTGGCTTTATTTAACTTGAAATATATACAACAAAAGATGTATAAAAACTTAATGTACCCCTGTTGCTTTGGCTTTGGTGTAGGCATATCTTTCACGAGTTTCTCTCTCGAAACGATATGTTGGGGGGAAGGTGATCTCTTCTTCTTCTGTAATGACAAAAGAGAATGAGTGGATATTAGATCTTACTGTCCAACAGGGCATCAAGATCATATTTGACATTTTCAATCAATTAAAGGCCATCTAGTAACTAATGTTAAGAACACAAGGTCGGGTTAAGGAAACTATAATAATATGAGCTGAATGATTTGATCTAAATTTCATTTTGGCTGTTTGGTCCAATTTTCACAAATGGATTTGTAGTGATCAATCAAATAATTTCCACAGGAATAAAAAATATTGTCATAAATAATATTTTATTTACACTGAAATGTTGCACACTTTTGAATCAAGTAAATTCAGTGCATTCCTTTTTGTTTCAGAGCACTACTCTTTTGTTTCAGAGCACACGTCTATTGTTTCAGTGCACTATTCTTCTTTTGTACAGCGCACTCTAAGTTAATGGCTGACTCTGACCGTAGTCCAGGAAGATGTTCCCTGAGCCCTTCTCAATGTTCAGCTGGTCTCTGCTCAACAGTTCCTGATATTGCTGCTGTTTGATCTTCGTCACAATGTTCTCTGCTTCCTGGAAAAAGCCAACAACAATGCAAAAAAGAAACGTCTCTTCCTGTCTGCTGATGTCAGAAGCTCAGCGAATAAGGGAACTGCTCGGGGTTTCACACCCTGGTCACCCTCTGTGCTCCCTCAACCACAACAGCAACTTTTCTCTTACAGCGGTTCTCAAAAGAAGAGTGAGTGAAAAGGCTCTGCAGACAAATGAGATGAGTTCATGTGAAAGCCTATCGTGGTCCCAAAAAGTATTTGGATATTTGTTCCATGCTTAAAAAAGTTTCATCATTCACCCTGTTGGGAAACAAAATGTCAAACCAAGAGAACCTTTTTTGGGGGGTCCACTGTAAATTTACCCTTATAAAAGTACTAAAAAAACTTTACCATATAAATGCATAAACATATAAACATATAAATAGATCTTTTCACTTTTACATGCTTTTTATTTTCATTTGAGTGTTTATTCTATTTTTTAATTCCCTTTTTTGCTTCTTCGGTTAAATTAAACATAAAAACATTCTCAATAACTGTTTTGCTTTGCATTATTAAACCAGAAAGTTGAAACAGAAGTAAAAGAGTGGGAGTCTATGTGGTAATACTAACATAACGAAACTGATGTGTGAATTGTGTGACAGATAAATAACTATCTATTTATGGATAAGCATTGTAATGTCTGGAAAGCAGTCATTTCTGATGACACAGGCTGAGGCAAAGGCTTCCTCTTGCCACATAGACAAACTAACTCCAAAAACTGTTAGGACCTGTCCATAGTTCATAGCCCAGGTTCTGTGGTAATTTCTTAAACAGCTCATAAAAAAATTATTTGTGAAACAGTTCTGGTCCTAAAATCTGACTAGCTGTTCTAAATTCAACAACTACTAACAACAACTGAATTCTGTATTACTGCCAAGTCGCTAAAAAGACTGAATGGACTGTTATGCTGCTTGAAAGGACCGCTGAGTGTACTAATAGCTGAAGAAAACACAGAGAAGCTGACAACTTATTTTCTTAGCAACTAAGATAAAACATAGCAATCTAAACAGGCTAAAAGATAGCTAACAGGCTAAAGCACTCTACCATTAATATTCAGTATCAGGCCTAAAGTATATTAAAGTATATTTACTGAACAATTTACTTTAAAACTGCAAAAAGTCTAAAAAAAAATCTAAAAAGTCAAAAAAATCTAAAAAGTAAAGAATATTGTACTTCATTGTCTTAATCAGTCTTACATGCTTGTTTCGTGAGATATTTCTCACAGGCCTATTGTGGCTTACTGCTCTATGACTCTTTTAACAGTCTTATATTGGGGTTATGATTAAGGGTAAACTACTACATCTTTTCTTAAAGTGACAGTGAAATACAGTTGGTACTAAATAAACACAAATTTCTCTCGTCTCACCCCTGGTGGTAAATCAACCCGGTAATTCAGATCCCCAAGCCAGAAGAGGTGTGTGAAGCGATGCGTAATGTCAAAAGGATTCACTTTCTTATCGCCCAGATTCAAGAAGCGCAGAATACTGATGTAGTTCTGATTCCGTCTAGCAAAAGCACAAACATTGATTAAAGTTTTTTTTTTCAGTTCTTTAAGTTTGTTGTTCAAATGCGTACGTTACCGTGACTGACTGCAGGTTACCTGAACTTCTTTTCACTCCCTGAGGTCAAGTGACTGTTGACAAACCCAAATGAGGTGCCATTAAACATAAAGGAAACCCCAACTGCTCCTTTATTTCCTGAGAAAGCAAACACAAATAAAGGTGCTTGACATGCTGTCCTGTCATGTTTAATCAGCCTTCAAGATTAGTCTTTATTTGTCCCAAAGGGGTTGAGATCTACTGACCTAGAGCATTAGCTATTCCAGTCTTAACACTGTCAGAGAAGACATGCGAGATTCGGTTCTCGTGTTCTGGCTTGGCGAGAACAACAATTCTTATATTCCACAGCGTCTGAGTGGCTACCTGTGGTGGAATAAGCAATGACAAAGTAAAGTGTGAGTCATCACAAGGGCTGACAACTGAACCACTGTCTCTCACTCTGTCCATCAAAAGACTCAAGACACATTGCTTTCTCAAGTAATGTTTGGTGTTATTTTAAATACGGGTTTCAACATTATGATGTTAAACTTACACGTGATATGTCCACACACAGTAATAGTGAAACTTTACTCAAATTAAAAGAGCGATTATCAAACCCAAGGACACCATACATACACTCACTGGCCAATTTATTGGGTACACCTACCTTGAATCTGCACTCATTGTACATTTTGACAGATCCACTTACCACAGAGCTGCACTTTGTAGTTCTACAGTTACAAACTGTAGTCCATTTGTTTCTCTGTTACCCTGTTCTTTAATGTTCAAGGCTCCCATAAGACCACCACTGAGCAGCACCACAGTCACACTGACATGAAGTGTATGTGTGCTGCACAGCATGGATGTTTTTAAACAGCTCAGTTTGACTGCTGTGCTGATAAAACTGTGCAACAACAGATGAGTAATCTGTAACTTTAGAACTAGTGCAACTACACGTTAACTGGACCTGATAAAACGCACAATGAGTGAAGATCAGTGAGAAACTTTTAGGGCCTTGATTTCTGAGAAATAAAAATGTACATTTCTGCAATTGTAGCTCATTTTTTTATTTAATATAATTGTCATCAAGCTTGATAAAACTCTGCAAACATTGTAGTAACACTCTTATTTCATTATTAAGTTATGGAAACAAAATGATAAAATTCTTGAAACACCCAACAGACAACTGTCCATTAAGGATTTTTCCCCTTGGTATTTTGTTGACAGCCAAGTGAGCTCTACCAATGGTTAGAAGCTAACTTGAAGGCTTATCTTGTGAGACTAACCACTAACATAAATAGGAAATCATGTTTTGATATACAATGGATGGGACCTATATTAGAGATATGAGAATAAAATGTCACTCTAGGCCTTGTGGAAGCTCTACATATGTCACTGACTGCAGGTATGCGTGGGAGCCTGACCAATGCGCTTCAGTCAAATGTTAAAAATGGAAAACAGCAACAGCTCTATGCCAGGCCTTTTCCGTAAAGATATAACAAGGTAAACACGTTAGTATGTCTGTTACAAGCTTCAAGTGAAATGTCTGCATTTAATCTAGAACAGCCAAAAAATGTTCAAGTGAATCACGGTTAGCTTAGCGCTAACACTCCACAAGGATTCCATTGAGGTGCTAAAAGAAATTTTTTTTTCATCATTTTTACACGCTTTGACATGTATGGCCCGTACTGAAAGAGTAGATCTAATAGTCACGGTTTGCCACTGCTGATAAGAGATAAGTGTACAAGAAGGTAGAATATGTAGAATAGATCAATTAATATAACAAATATGTACCTGTTTAAAGCTGATGTTGGTGATGTCCCTGAGTGTACTCCTCACTGTATCTATCCATTCCTTCTCTCCCAGTGGGTCCTCCTGCGTTCCAATAACATAGATGTCGTGAGGGATATGATTGGCCGTGTCGTCGCGGGTCTTCCCTTGACCCTTGGACTGAAACCATGATGAAATGTTGTGGGGTGGGTTTGCATTTCCTGTGGGTAGGTATACAGTTAAGTTTATAAGTAATGCATTGAGTCAGCAGAGGTTTGCACCTAGTTTAATGCAAATGATAAAAGAAATACTGAATGAACATCTATCTGTTTCACAGAAACACAGCATACTGGTTTCTGTACTTTATGTGAAGAAGCTGTGGGAGTAATCGTTTGATGTTCCTCTGTGAGAACTGTTACATTCTGAGCTGAGTGATGATGAAGGCCTTACCCATGTTCCATGTGCCAACAAAGACGCTGATCATATCTGGTTCAGGTTTGCCTGAGTGTTTGTTTTTCATCTGCTGAAGCAATTGACTGAAGCCTTCTCTCTTCTGGAAACACAGAAACACCACATGCACATATGCACACACAAAAAGATACACAAGCATAAGCTGATTTAACCTTTCTTGCATTCGTTTTGATATAATGTAGAATTTGCTCCCCCTAAACCAATAAATGTAGTAAGTGCCACGTGACTCAAACCAAAAGGACAGATGTTTAGAGAAGACAGTGAAGTTTTCACACATTCTTAGTGGTTTAAAGTGATGTCAGATGCATAGGAACTTCACCTTTGTGTCATTAAAGACAAACTCTTTGCGCTGAGTCTTCTCCTTCTCCGTCTCCACCACTATCACTAGTTTGGTTTGCATTTTCTGGGACTTCACCAACTGCAAGACTGCAAGCAATTTCTCCATTAGTCATTGCTTCTGGTTAAGTTCACTCATGGTAATGCTCAGAACCATCCTAAAAATACCCCAGTGTTTAATAATGTATACAATAAATTAACAGATTGGAAAAGACACCCTTTTTGTGCATATGGGAATCCTACACTGGGTGGTGCTTCAAGGGTTCTTTAGTAAAGAAAATGGTTCTTTATAGAACCATGAACATTCAAAGAACCCTTTGCATCATGAAGGGTCAAGCTTGACATCGTAACAATAAAAGAACCCTTTCGGGTGCAATATAGAACCAGTTTCAAAAAGGTTGTTTACAGAACTGTCTACAGCTCATTCTCCATCAACTCCTCCAGAACTCTTTCATGATGCAGAGAACTCTTTAATCAGACAAAGGGTCCTTTGATTGCTCATGGTTCTAATTAGAACCAATTTCTTTACTAAAGAACCCTTGAAGCGCCCTTTTTTAAGAGTGTATGACATGGAATTGTTTCCCAAGAAAACTGAATCAGCAAAATGACACACCATGTCAACAGAAATAAATACTATATTTAGCTTCTCTGTGGTTACAAAAGATAAAAACTAGGATTGCACCAATATGGGAATTATGGGCTGATATTCATATTCAGTATATTTTATGGTTCATAGTTTTCTACTGACACTGATGCCCATACTGATATGACCTTGATATCAGTGTGCATCCCTAATAAAATGCTTTCACATGTTTTTTTGCTAAAAAACATACTTTTATTGTGCACAAAGTATTTGTCCTCAGGACCATCTTTGGACTTCTTGAAGTAAACCTTCCCACCTTCCACGTCAACTTTTAGGAACATTTTGTTTGAAATGCCAAGGGAGTCTAATTTCACCTGACGGCACAGACAACATAAAGAAACACATGGAAAAGTTAGAGAGATTCTGCATAAAAAAGGTGCCAAAATTGTTCACAACCACCCAGATGCAGTGTTATAATATCTTGCACATAGTTAACCGCCACTCCCCTTTATTTGCATGTGGCTTTGGAAAGCTAACTACTAGAGGTGGAATACATTTATGTTTTTGTTGAGGTAACACAACGAGAGAGCAGTCAGTGAACAGTGTTTTCTCTCAGCACATATATACATATACATGTATGCATGCATATGTAAGAAACAATAATAGTCATGCCCTTATGTCTCATTATGTACTACATTATTATTTTATTTTTCTATAAATGTTTAAGTGTCTCTTACTTCAAAGGTTACAGGTGGTATAAGTGACTTCCTGTGGCCTCCGTCATAACCAACAGATTCAAATACTGCATTCTTAGTCTGTGAACAGGGATAGATAATGTATTTAATGGTTGTCAATAAATCCTTCCAAACAATATTAACAATTTAAACACAAGAATCATGTTAGATAAATACATTTTTGCTAAATAAATGCTAAATAAATTCTTAATAATAAAATATAGTAATAATTGATATTATTTAACCCCACCACCACAAACAACAACAACAATAATAATTATATCATATAAGTCAAACTGAAGTCATACCTTGTCCTCTATTGAATATATAAGCTTGGTGATTTGCTCCAGCCTAAAAGCCACAGACTGGCTGGAATCCACAGACAGCTAAAACAAAGCAAAACAGAAATATAATCTACATATTTTTAAACAATGTTATATTACAAAAAAATCTACAGTACTATGCAGAATTCAGAGCCCACCCTTCATTTGTTTAATTTTCAGTTTACAAATACTGCAGATACAAATAACCTATACTTAAATACATAACAATTACATAACAATTTGAATTAAAAACATATATTTATATTTGCCTTTATACAGCTTCCATTCTTTTTGGGATACTTGCTTTCAGTTTTTCAAAGAAATCAGAGGGGATAATTTTCCACACCTCCAAAGTTCAGTCTAAGAAGTTGGTTACATTTTCTGCTTCTCATGATCTAGGCAATTCCAAACACATTTAATGAGGCTGATGCCTGGACTCTGGCATGGGCATTCCATTGCTCTCAGAATACCAGCAGCTTCTTTGCATGATTTGCAAATGTTCTTCTTTATTGTCCTTTTCTCAGTAACAGTTTCTTGGCAGCTACACATCCTTTCAGACTCATAGTGTTGAGTTGTCTTCTCACAGTGGAAAGATGGACAAAATCACCTCTGGATATTTTGTTAGAGCTGAAGCAAGAGTAGAGCTTGATTTTCTCCTCTCTCTCAAAGAAAAAAGCTTTAAGTGCTGTTTATCTGGTGGGTGGTCTACTAGGTCTTGCACAGTTCTTAGGCGTCCATAACCGTCTATATCTTTCAAACAATTTTTGAACTCTAGTTTTGCAAACTCCTGTTTTTTTCAAGTGAATTATCTTATATCTTCTAAAAATTAGTAACTTGTACTTAGTGGCTATTTTGACTGGAAATTCAAAAAAATGAAGGGTGATCTCTGACTGTTGCACAGCACTGTATTTTTATGTCTTTATTTTCAAATGAACTCATAAAGGAAGCTGAATGTGTTCACTGACTTGTCCCCTGAGTCTCCCACCTCCAGGGGACTGAGGCTGGTCTACAAGTTTCTGTACAGTCTCCAGAACAGGAAGTGTACGAGAAATCTCACTAGAAAAGGTAAGATGTGAAATTAAGTGATATTATGATGTGCTGGTTTTAGATCTTAAATGTGCTGATTGGTTTGCAATGTCAAAAATCTCAAGTTTACCTGTTGAGGCTCTTGCAGATGGTCATGACAAGTTTTTTCAGGTTGGGGAGGGTGGGGTTTCCATTCTGAACCTGATCAGCATCCAGACTCACAGCTGAACAAAAATAATCCTGGATTGCCTTTTGATGCTCTTCAGAGATGCTACAAGATATCGAACAGCTCAGTCAAAAGTGATTGGCAGAGAATGTGCACAATTACACTAATTATGGAAAGGCTGTGTGTTTTTTGTACTTTTTAAAGGGCCCATTTCATGGAAAACTGAATTTTCCTCACTGTTTTGAAATAAGAGTTTGATGTACTATGTAAACATTTTAGTGCACAAGTGCACAATTTCAATGTAATATATATATATATACACACACACATCTATATAAACGCAGCTAATAAATTGAACATACAAGAAAAATGTAGGATATGGGCCCTTTAAGTTACTTTCATAAAAAAAACTGCTTCTCCTTGACACAAGAACAAGCTCAGTTATGGTAGAAGTCATTAAGTACTGTGACATATCGACGAGTTGCAGTCGCTGATGGTAACTGTCCAAGACGGATGGTCGGCTCGGTTCTATTGCCCTGCCAGGGTCAGCATGGGACTCTCGACTTTCATTGGCCGGGACGTTTCTGGGTGGAAGAGGAGGTACGCTGACTGCCTCTGTGGGAACAGAAATTAACGGCACTGTTATCATAATCAAAGCATGAAACCATGTGGCTGTGAAGCAGATACCATGTAGTAAGTTTGAACATACATGCATATAACCAAGTCCCACTACGACCCTCCATCTTTAGCTCTCATCAAGTTCCACTACATTTCACAAAATTATATTTGTTTAAAGAAACACAACATTGAGCATTTAGCACAACATCAAACTGATGTCAGATTCTTTGAGTGGAGAAAGCCTGGTGAAGAATTCCAACCCGGACTACACTAAGAGTACTATAACAAAGAAACATCAAAATCTGGGGCTAAGAAGTGTGAAAAGTAGGGATTCACAATGACATCTGAATCATATGTGTATTGGCAGATATATACGCTGTAAAATAACTGACAGAAATACATCTAGACTAATGGATATTTCAAAATTATATTTTGACGTACAAGCCCAACTCCAAAAAAGTTGGGACAGTTGGTAAAATGCAAATAAAAACAGAAGGCAGTGATGTATAAATCTATTTTGACCTGTATTTGAATGAAAACGGCTCAAAGACAAGATCTGTGATGTAACCTTATCAACTTCATTGTACATTCAAAAAAAGTTCCAGGGTCCATTTAAGACTAATAACTATATGGAAAAAATTTGCTCTGTCATTGGCTGAGGTAGCTGGGGTTTCTCTTTGAGCAGCCGAGGCTTAGAAAATTCTTTTGTAGTAACATCTTATTAACTGCAATAACTACACAGGGTGGAGATGTACTGTAGATCTACGCCCCATGCTACAATATAAAAGACTTCTGCATAGGATGCACCTGTGAAACTTCAGTCTGTAAGCCTCCTCTCTCGATTCCTCAGTTCCTCAATTCAAAGAACTGTCTTAAAGATATTGGACTTTGATCAATTTCCAGGAGTGAGGAATCGAGAAGGCATCATTTCACGTGATTAGATGAACTCTATGTTTTGCCTCTGTTCAGTAAGCTTAAGAAACCGTCATGTCTCCTACCTGGTTCCTCCTCCGGCTCCTCCTCCTTCTGTACGGGATACTGCAGGTGTGTGACTAAACCCATGTTCTCTTTATAGTACGCTTCCACCAGGTCTGAGAGCACAGAGAAGAACCGAATGGGGACGCCTTCCGATGCCTATAAAAACAAGAGAGACCTTTTTGGTGGCTTTACAGCACAAGCACATGCTACATACCTATGGAAACAACCGAAAGAAAAGCTGCTTACTCAGTGTTCAAGTGGTCAAAGCGAGCCCTCAACATTTGCCTAATTCTAGAACTCACTCGCTAAAATCAGGTCAAGCTCGCCTTCGTTTCTATAAACTCAAAGTAATACTGACCCAGTTCATTACCTGAAATTCATGCAAAAGCATTCTACAAGAGCTACTCCCTGTCTTTTAACCCAGTAGTTTTAATGAACTTTTATAATCACTAAGTCACCTGATCAATCTTAGCCCCACTTAATAACTATAAGCACATATTTTGAGCTGTGTAAATGCTAGAGGTGTTTTGAACTGAATGCCAGGCAAAGTGGTTCAGCTTATGAGATTATGAAGTGAGCAAAACTCACACAGGAAATGAAACAAATAGCACAAATAGCCTGAATCTGATCTGTAACCTCTGTTGTACGTTGTGGCCTTCGTGGCCTGAAGTTAGATGCTAAGGCTTAAACTTCAAAAAAAATTCATCCCCCATTGGCTGAGGTAGCTGGGGTTAGATAATACACACATACAGTACTATTATATTTATTATACAGACATATGGTACATTAAGTACAAGTTACCCAATTCTAGGAGATATAAAATAATCCATTTGCATAAAGACGGGAAAGTGGAAATAAATGAAAAAAATATTTCCAAACAAAGTTTACAAAACTGGAGTTCATAAAATTATTAAAATATACAGAGAAACTCCTAACAGCCATGCAACAATCAAATCCTCTGAAATCCACAGGTGTTTCTGTCCATCCTTTCACACCGAAGAGAAGACAACTCAACACTAAAGGTCTGAAAGGATGTGTAGCTGTCAAGGAAACAGACAAAAAAGAAAAAACAGAAAAAGACTAAACTTTGGAGGTGTGAAATAATATCCCTGCAGATTTCCTGGAAAAATGAAAGCAAGTCTCCTTAAAAGAATGGAAGCTATAAAAAGGGGAAAGAGCGGACACACTAAATACTGAAAAATTAGAAAAAAATATAGACAAGGCATTCAGTATAAGCGTAGTGGGTAATATCACTGCCCTCCAAGTGCCCTCCATGGGATTTGATCGCCACCTGGGCAAGCATCCAATACTATACCATTAAAATTTGCTTGGCCAAGACTCCAACTCTACCTTTGCCTTTCTATAACATGATTACATTTTAAGACGCTCTGGATAAGAATGTCTGCTGTAAAAATGCAAAGTAATGGTATATTTTGTACAAATGCTTTAACTGCTAAACTATCTTGTACAACACTATGATTGTCAGTGTTAGGTTTACGATTCGATTTTTTAAGGTTAAGGTTAGAGTTAGGTTTAGATTTAAAGATATATTTAAAAGAATCTATTCATTCAACTTAATGTTCATTTAAGATATTTAGAACGTAAAAACAAGGTGAGTATCTACAAAGCATTGGCAGTGAACTCTCAAAATAAAGTGTTAGCCAACCAACGTAGCAAAGCTTTTACAATCTTAAAAGGTGGGACGCTGTGGAAAATGTAAATAGAAACAGAATACAATGATATGCAAATCATTTAAACACTACATTTAATTGAAAATAGACAAAACAACAAGACAACATAACAAACGTTGAAACTGAGAAAATTTATTGTTCACAGAAATATATGCCCATTTTGAATCTGATGCCAGCAACGCATTTCAAAAAAGTTGAGACAGGGGCATGTTTACCACCATTTTGCCTCACCTTTTCCTTTTAACAACTCTGATTTGCAAGCATCTGGAAACTGAGGAGACCAACTGCTGTAGTTTTGAAAGTGAAATGTTTTTAATTCTTGCTTGTTATAGGATTTCAGCTGCTCATTTTTTGTTCATAATGAACCAAATATTTTCAGTGGGCTACAGGTCTGGACTGCAGGCAGGCCAGTTTAGCACCCAGACTCAATTACTACAGAGCCATGCTGCTGTAACACATACAGAATGTGTTTTGGCATTGTCTTGCTGAAATAAGCAAGGCCGTCCCTTGAAAAAAGCCTCATCCGGATGGCAGCATAAGTTGCTCCAAAACCTGTATATATCATGCAGCATTAATGGTACCTTCACAGATGTGCAAGTTACCCATGCCATGTGCACTAATGCAATCCACACCACAGATGCTGGCTTTTGAACTGCGTGGTGATAACAAGCCAGATGGGCCCTCTCTCTTTTAGCTTGGAGTACAAGGTGTCTGCAAATTTCAAAACTCTGGCCCAGAGAAGGTGTTTCTGGATCCTGTTTATATATGGGTTCTCCATTGCATGGTAGAATTTTACCTTGCACTTGTGGATGCAGCAAATAACTTTGCTCACAGACTGTGTTTCAGAAGTGTTCCTCAGCCCACGCAGGATTTCCACTACAAAAATCGTGTCTGTTTTTAACGCGTTGCTGTCTGAAGGCCCAGAGATCATAGCTATCAAATACAGGTTTTCCGCCTCGTCCCTTGTACACAGACATTTTTCAGGACACCCTGAATCTATTATTGATATTATGCACAGTGAATGATGAATGATATGAACTGTTGTGCCCGCACAGTCTTTCACAGAGTGGTGAACCCCTCTCCATCGTTAGTTCTGAAAGACTCAGCCTCTCTGGGATGCTCTTTTTAACCAAAACATGTTACTGACCTGTTGCTAATTAACCTAATTAGTTGTAAGATACAAGTTTAAACATTTAAGACAAGTTTAAACATATCAAATGTTGTCTTTGTACTATTGTCAATTAAATATATGGTTTAAATTATTTGCACATCATTTAATGTTGTTTTTTTTTTTTTACACAGCGTTTCCAAAAAAGGTGGAATTTACGCTTTGATCTAGGACGTAGCGTTTAACTTAGGGTGGCGTCCATCTTAGCGGCCCCATTCGCAACATGGCTGACAGGAGTAGCTAGAGCGGATCTGTGTTTGCGAACGCCTCCCACACATTTTTCACATATTTCACCGTATCACCCAGGGTGAGTACAAACTACTCTTTTTATCAACCCTAATGAGATATGAAAACTTGTATTTCAGAAACTTTCCATCAAGGGCCTAGCACAAGAGGAACCCTGTGGCTTGCCTTACGCCCACGCTGAAGGATAATTTAAAACTGAAGCTGTGGTACACAGCGGGGCTGAAAGAGGAAGAAGTATAATGCGCACAGATATTAAAGGGCTTTCTACAGTCTTGAAGATGACAGAGCACCAACTAAATGATGTCTACAATGATGCATGCTCTTCAAAGTCAAGTTAAGAAAAGTAGTACCTCTTCAAATCCTGATTGCATTCACTTGATTTCTATTTTTACTGTGGTGTATTAGCATATGCTTAGCAGCTGGCCTGTCATGGACAGTGCAGTGCAAGTTTGAATAAAAGCAGCAAGTGGTGTTGCAGCTGCAATAAGACACTGTAAGCCCAGTGCTTGCAAACCATCACTGCAGAGGGTAGAATAGGTGCACCCTATCTGACAAGACACCCACACGCCAGTCCACAGCTGCTGAACTGACAACTGCCATAAGGTCACATGTTCAAGAAAAAAAAAAACACAGTGTTTGCAAAACCGTTAATGGTTTGTAGGATGCTGGATGTCCGGTGCCACTTGTTGTCAAAACGGGCAATATTTTAATAAGCGATGTGACAGCCAATGGCTGGTATTTCAGTTTGCAATGAGCCGATCCTGAAAAATCAGACTCACTTAACATTCACATTTTTTCTGATTTTCAAATTTTTTCTAATTTTCTTTTTCTAATTCAAAAATTGTCTTTTTAAAGATCATTTTACCAGGGATTCATTCTTTAAAATAAAGGTGCCAACACTACAGAGGGGTCTCTGCAGTGTTTCCACCGAAAAACTTTTGGTTCCCTAAAACATTTCAATGGGTGGTTCTTCAAAAAAAAAAAAAGTTCTTTGTAAATGATATGTGTGAGTGTGAAGAACCATTTTAAGTTAGAAGAATCTCAGTACAATGTAGAGGTTTTAGGAATAACCCTTACATTGGTGTAGAACATTTATCTCTACCAATTTAAGGGTGATCCTTCCCTTTCCATTTTACATTTCGAAGGTTCTTTAAATGTGTAAGAGGTCATTCACACTCACAAATGTCTTTTTCAAACACTGCTCTTTAGGGAACCAAAAGTAATTTTTCTATGGCATTGCTCAAAAAAGAAAATCTTCTCACACCATTTTCTCTTTCTAAAAGAAATATATAGATACATCGTATCTACTATCTATCCACCAAGTATACTTTGACTACTGCTGGAATAATAGTGAAGCATTCAAATACGCATGTCTGCACTATCATTTGTTTTTCCTACATGCCTTTTCCACCATATTGTCTTTTTGCCATGAAACATTGTGTTTCTATATGCTCCTATAGTGCATACTGTAAAGGAAAAATAAATATACAAAAAAGTAGAAAATTTTCAAATCAAGCAAAGAAGCTGTTGGTGTTCTCAGAACAATGACCTGGCAACCTACAGCCCAGCTCTCAACATCACTCAGTGTGTTTGAAATTACTTGGATTGTGATGAGCAGAAAACACAACCAATTTCTAAGACTGAATGTTGGAGGTGTGGAAAAATATCCCTGCAGATTAATTAAAAAAAAATATAAACTGAAAGCAGGCCTCCTAAAAAAAGGAAGCTGCAATAAAGACAATGGCTAGACACACTAAAAACTGAAAAAATTTAAGTTATATTTAGTTTAAAATATCATATAAATATGCATATGTATAAACATACAGTATAAATGTACCGGTATAAATAAATGAATATAGTTTTCTGTTATTGTATTATCTTGTATTTAATGGCCTTTTTTACTGGAAATTAAACAAATGAGGGGTGGTCTCTAACATTTGCACAGCGCTATATATTTCTGTACTGCCCTGTACTGGCAGACTAAACCATTTCCTTTGCTGATTTTACTACTATGCATGTCACTGATGGTGGGCGAGCAAGAATACTGATGCAGTTATCTGCACACAACCAAAAGAAGCATTACTTGACTGCAAGCAAATCTAAATTCCAGCTAAATTCTGTGAGCTTCAATACTTCACACATTTCCAATCACTGTAGTCTGAACTGCACTGCAATGCTATTTTCAGTTAGCAGGCATTCATTCTAGAAATTAGTTCTTGTAAATGGCATAAAATATACTATGAGTATCCCAGGTTCTGAATAAGCGATGAAAAAAGCCAGGATATTGACTCACAAACTAAAGTGCTAAGATGTGCTAAAATTCTCGGCTCGAAATTGTCATCAGGCATCACAACTGTGAAAGTGAGTGAGAAATTCCATCAGAGCAGGTAGGCCTAAGGTGACAACTGCAACTAACAATTCAGAGTGATTAGTGATGAAAATGTTCCGCCTTTCAATCTTATCCCTAGCAGTTCCAGTCCGCTCTATTCAAAGACACAGTAAAGTTCATACTGTAACAGTGACCTTTGTCTGCATTTCTGTTGTTCTCTTACCTGCACAGACAGTTTTTTTTCTTCATTGGGTAGTATTCTGTAGGTGTATACACAATTCTGGTACCTGCATGAACCAAACATTTACTTTCAGTTAAGGCACATTAAAGCAACTAAATTCATGTATAGCAGATATACGCCATCTGTAACATGGTAAGCCATTGAATTTACATTCAGGTTTCAGACTGAAAGACACTATTGTAAGGTTTTGACAGGAAGCACTGACACTATTGTACATGTGCAACACTTTGTGCAGCTTAGCCACTGACCGCTATATATAGTTGATTGATATTTGACAATAGTGAAGTGTCACACTGTTGCTTTCTCTGCTAAGTGACAAGCTGCAGTTCAGGTCCTTTGTCTGTTTGCTAGTTTCTATTAGTAGACAGCATTTGCATGTTTAGCACAGGTTGCAGAACATTTCATATTTACTGTACACGCAAAGGACATTCAGTCAATGTGAGTGTCTTTTGCATATATCTACAGAGGTAGCTGACAGAAAGACTCGAGCAGCCACTACAAGCATGGAGTATTTCAATGCAGCACACTAGCAAGTAAATGCCAGAGTGGACGGTGTCCAGAATATTTACTAGTATCAAGTAAAGCAGTTTGCAAAGCAGGTTTTGTTTTAGTGAGTTGCAAAAGGCTTTTCCAACAGTGGCACCAAAAGATTATTACTGCATGATCATCTTGTCTTATGGGGTCTTGATTCAGCTGAGAGTGCATCACTTCTTGGGAACCACAGCTATGCTTTCCTCGTAAAAAGGGAGGAAAAAGCTGTCGGGTTGCTTTAGGTTCCTGATTCTAATCCGGCTGGTGAGGAAGAGCCACAGAATGCAGCTCTAGTTAACTCTTAGCATTGCTATGGACCACTTTACGTAACTGTCAGGGCATGCAAAAAGCTTAGGCTACACCATCCATGGCTTTACTCTCTATTCCAATAGCATAACAATGAAAGTGACTATAACCAAAGGCCGTAAACTGGCCAGCACTACCATACTGATCCAGCTGGTAGTTTTGGCTGTAATTGGAGTAACTGCAGTACTCACAGCACACAGAGGGCATAAGCTCCTTGTATGGACTCGCTGTCTCTGAGGAGGAAGCTTCCATCCTTGGCTTCTTTGGACAGCAGGTCCTCAGCCATGGAACGCGTGATATTGCCATGGTACCACGGCTGGTGGGATGACATCCTGTCCACCGATCACTTCCTATATAACTCGCTCTGCAGACCACCACCTGATAACTGGGCTTTTGGCTTCAGGGGCCGATCAGCAGGACACCAGGCCGCGCTCAGTGTCCCTTCAAGGCCCGTTTCATGGCGCTGTTTGCGTCAGACTACTGCTCCTTCTCTCTCTTTCAGTCACTCACTCTGGCTCTCTTTCTCTCTCTCTCTCTCTCTCTTCCTGTTAAAGAGGCGAAAGCTTAAAAAGGAAGCTGCCACAAACGCGAGGGTGAACTTCCTCATTCTGCATACACAAGTCAGAGAGAGAGAGAGATAGAAAGAGAGAGAGAGAGAGAGAGAGAGAGAGAAAGGCCAGTGAGCTGCTGGCTTCTTCACACAGCCACACCGCAGCAGAAGTGAAAAAAAAATGTAAGCAGTGTACAGGTAATAATCTACATACTGCCAGAGTGTGGAGTCAGAGGCTTCTATGTTACTGATTAACCATGTTAACCAAAATTGAATAAGAGGCATGTGTTTATCTGCTTGATTTTAGTAAGACATACTACATAGACTGCTTGCAGGGTTGACAACATATTTAGCAAATGCTACAAGACATTTCATATTTACTGTAAATTTGAAAGATACTCACCAAACATGATGAAGGCAGTCGTGAAACTTGAGAAACTACTACATTTTCTGTACAGTGTTTCAGTATAGCATGCTAATAAACACTAGTAATGAAATGCTATTTGTACAGAGAACTTTTAGAATTTTGATTTAATACAGGCGTGCAAAAGTCCACCCTTTCATTCCAGTCAAAACAACCACTGAGTAGAAGTTTAATTCTTCAGGAGATATATCTGAGAAGACAAGATAATCTACTTGTACAAGGAAGAGATCAAAAACAGATACAGAGAAAATAATACTCCTAACAACCGTGCAAGTTCTGCTAGACCACTAAATCTGTCACCATCAGATAACAGTCCTTAAAGCTTTCATCTCTGATCTGCCAGAGCTACCCAGAACTTTCATAAACCAGCATAAAATAAAACAGTTTGCAAACAGGTAGATGAAGGCATTAATCTGGAGCAATGCTCCGGCCTCCAGAGGGAAGTGGCTTGCACACTCAAAAACGCGCAACATCCCATCATCTGCAGTGTGTCAGGGTTTGGGTTGGTGTTCACACACACACACACACACACACAGACAGAGTTCACACTAACTCAAAGGGACGTGGTTAGACACACCCCTTCATAAAGGACAAATGCATCCAGAGAGAGAAGAAGCGATGCACTTTCAAGCACTCCTTTTAAATAAGTAAACAAGCAATGCATCAAAATCCAGTATTTCATGTTTAAAACCTGAAAGCTTCTCTTTTTCTGGGTGCCTGACTGAGAAAGTGTTTTGCAATCTTGAGAAATCAGCAGGGCACGTGTGCACACGCACTTATATTTTATAATAGTGCTTTCCCATTACCCCCTCTCTCGCGCGCATTCTCTCTCTCTCTGAGTAGAGAATGACCTGATATATTTCAGGCAATAGAGAGGAAATATTGCACAAGACTTAAGGGGGCATGAGAGAGAAAGAGAGAGTAAAGAGAAAGCAAAGAGAGAGAAAAGGGAAACACAAAGAGAGAAAGAGAGCGACAGAAAAGGGAGGGAAAGAGAGTAAAGAGTAAAGAGCAAGAAAGAGAGAAAGGGTGACAGAGAAAGAAAGTAAAGACAGAAAAAGGGAAACAAAAAGCTAAAGAACATGCACGATAGAGACAGTGAGAGAGAAAAAGAGAGTTAGGAGAGAGAAAAAAGAAAGAGACAGATAGTGTAGAAAGCAAAAGAGAATGAAAAAGAGAAAGATAGTGTAAAAAGCAAGTGAGAATGAAAAAGACAGATAGTGTAGAAACCAAAAGAGAATGAAAAAGAGAGATAGTGTAAAAAGCAAGTGAGAATGAAAAAGATAGTGTAAAAAGCAAGTGAGAAAGAATGAAAAAGAGAGATAGTGTAAAAAGCAAGTGAGAAAGAAAGAAAGAGAGCCACACAGAGTGAGAGAGTGAAGAGAGAGCACCTAACTGCTGACACAACCCACAATTTGAGTCACATGATATGAAAAGAAACCCCGAATACACTGACTGCAGGGGGTTTCCGTCCTGCCTCTTTTTCTCTGTCTCTCTCTCACACATAAAACTGAGCTGACAGTGCTTGTGCTGTGTGCTCAATAAGAACGCAGCAGTGATGGCCACAGTGAAGAGTGTGAGAGAGGCCATGTGAAAGACCCCGTGTAATACACCATGCTGTTGATAAATGGCATTGTCTTGCATTCAGTTTTTTGTCCATTGTAATAGTTAGAATCCTGCCTCTGCAAAACAGTCACATGAGCTGTCAAAATGAAGACGGAGACAGCTTGAGCTGCACTGAAGGCTTAAGTGTTCTGCTCATTGTCTCTATGAGAATAAAGCTTCATAGCTCTCTGAGTGTTCATGTGATGCATTACGCTAACAATATGCACTCTTTTAGCTCCATTCAAACACACTGACTCTGCCCTCTAGTGTGACCAGCTCACACATTTTCATGACTATAATGACTCACAGTTGCAGTTGCACTATGTTTAACCCCTTATACAGCCAGAGGCCTCCCATAATTTCAGGCTACCACTGTTTACTCCTTTTTCTTACACATGGGCCTAAATGCCAGTTTGCATTGTTTCCTAAGTAAGTATTATATAGTAAGACTTACTTGTCTTTTTGTCCTTTGTCATTTTCTCTTATGCTTATGATGTTTTTACTTTTTTGTTTGTTTGTTTTGGCTAGTTTTGATTGTACTGTAACTCACCCTTGAGAACTAAAATGTATAAACCTGGAAATTTAAGGGGTTACCTGACACATTATCACACACATTATCCACACTGTTTGTCACCCTCAAAGTTCAGTAGTACTGAAAACATTGTGTAAAAATATGAAAGAGTTTAATTTACAACACGATTACAAATACACTTGCAAAACAGTGCATCTAGCATGTTTTGTCCAAGCAATACTGAAATACAGCAACATGAGAGGCCATAGCATCACATCCAAAGAAAAAGAATAATAAATAGGTTTATATTCAAAGCCATTCAGGCAAAATAAGCGCATTTAGGTGACTAAATATCCAAAAGAAAAGGATGTAAATCGTGATACATAACTGAGCAAAGGGCATATTTAGAATTGCATAGCAGCGTAAGTAGTACATAGTGTTATAAACCTACTGTGGTATTCTAGCCTTACAAACACAATTGAAACTGGAGATACGTCAACTGAAGTAATATGAACATGAAGACAATATGATCTACATGTGGATTGATATTTAGTTACTTTCTCAAAAGAAACAATTACAGCACAACAATATTAACTACTGCATATTTAAGTACAATAAAATGAGTTATTAGCATTTTGTTATGATACATAGTTACTTTTCCCTTTCCATTTACAAAAAAAATGTCAAAGCAGGTCAAAAGCCAAACACGACACAAGTGATGCTTGATAAAGAACAAAAGGTTAACATACAATATGCCTACAAGTCTGGCTTTATGTAGATACTAACACATGGTTTTGGAGTAAACAACACAGTTAAGGAATTTCTATACCAGTAAGCAGATGTGCTATATTCTCCATTATTTACGAATTAAGCATAAGTCAAATAAACGCAATTATCAGAAGGAAGACAGAACTGATTTTCCCTTACTGTCAAACATTTTATATAAGTTGTCAGAGTTCTTTTGTCAGTGAAGTCATCTAATAAATGTTTCTTGATTTTTTCTCATTATTAAGATTCACTATTTTTTCACAAAATGCTTAAAGGGACACTCCAGCCAAATTGAAAAAAAAATGGACTACTGCTCTCAGTAGAGGCCTACTTGCCTCCAACAGCCTCTAGAACAGGATTTTCATGTTACAGGTAAAATCTCCTTCTGATGATGTATCTTGAAGGTGGAACTTTTGAAAAACTACAAGTACTTTGAGGTGGACTTTTAACTTTTTTCACACTATTTGGATAATGCAAAAAGATCCAGGTGTTAGGAACCCGAATATCACGTCTGTATTTAGTGGCCTCTACATCAGTGGCTACACTAGTGGTCACGATTTCTTTATAGCTATACAAACCCAATGGTTGTATGACGTGTTTATGTAATGCATTCTGGGTACTGTAGTGAGAGAACACCGATGGCTAAAAATACAAAAAAATATATATATATAAAGGATACAAAATCGTGAATTCTGTCAACCAATGAGGCTGAGGGATGCAATGCACCACTACAGCACACTGCATAAGATGACAAATAACAATACCGAATGCTAATTTTGGGCTGGAATGTCCCTTTAATGATCCTTGGTGTAGGGCTGGCCCGAATAGCACTTTACAGGCTTCAAATAGTGGCTGGTGCTTCCAAACCAGTACTCGAATATTTGCACTTCATAATTAACCCTACTTTAATTGTGTTCATTCATTTGTTTTACATGATTTGTTTTTTCATATTCCAGTTTTCAATTAATAAAAATAGTTATACACATTTACACATCCCCGAATAGCAGCGATTAGAAGCAAGCTCAAGACGTAAATCTCAGGTGATAGGTAAACATAAATCCTGTTCAAGACTGACTACTCGGCGAGTTATTTTAATGATTTATAGTAAATTTGTACTCACAGTGTTTGAATACGTCATTAATAACACCCCGTCGCCATCTTGGTAAGTGAGCTGTAACTCTGACTGTGCTCTGATGGAGCTCGTCTCATCACCGTTACTGTTACACCCCTGCAGGCAGATAAACACTATGGCTAAAAATGGACCAGAATGACCACGAAAAACATAAAAAGTTATGTGGACACTTTAGATCCGTATCCAGAAACAGCTAACGTTACGAGTAGAAGATTGGCTAGACTGGGCGACTGGATCTGTAGAACCTGCATTTCTCAGGTTCAGAAAAAAACAAAATGTAAGATTTTATTTTACAAAAAAAACAAAAATGTTGCTACCAAAACTAAGAAAGCTGTAGCTAAATGAGTTAGCTTGTTGTTTAGCAACTTCTTACTTGAATTTACCGGTCCACCTTAAATAGCGCTACAGTTACTTTGAGGTGCCTTAAACGCAGCTTTAGAACGAACTTTAAGCAAGAACACGCGAAGCCACCATCAGCTTACCTCAATAAATACATCTTTAATCAAGAAATACCTGAAACTTACACTTGGAAACGTTTAATGAGCATCTAACGAGCACCACATCAGATCTGTTATGGGTCACTGGAGCTGCTGGACTGCTGATCGGTTTCACTGGCTGAAATAACGCTGCGTCCCAAACCACAAACATCTGTACTTCACCTCCTATAGAAGTGCACTTCTAATGGTATATGCGTTACTTTTCCGCATACTATAGTGTGCTATTATGCGGTTTGAGACGCGAAAATAATAACGCAGGGGGAAATCTCAGCCGTTTAGATTTTAGCTTTCATTTGTTATCACTACAGCAACAAATCAAATAAAACAGACCACTTAACTATAAAACGCTCAGTTGCATTAGTTATTGTGTTTTAAAAATTAGTTTTAAACTGAGTGTTCAAAAAAAACGTGTTACTGCCTTTGCTGGATCGGTTATGGATGTTATTTCATGACCGACCGCCACGGCGCTCCTCAATTACAAGCTGCATACAAAAATGGCAGCGCAATTGTCTGACGTCAGCTGATTATCATGAACGGTTAGCTAGCCTGCTGTCTCTCCGAGTCTTCGCCTGAATGTCACCCACAGTCAGAACAACAGACACCTGAACGTTTCTCTTTGTGTAAACTTTGTCATTTTAATAATTTTCTTACTTCTCTTGCTTCGGTCGTCCAAAGAAAAGGAGTGACAAAGCTGGGCGGCTGTGTCTGTGTTCGTCCTTCAGCTGAGCAAGGGCTCCACACTTTAACGCCCCTCTAACGGAGTCAGTCGTTAGCTGACATCAGAACACACGGCTTGCTCAAACCACTCGGGTTGTGATTTAATAACATTACTTCTATACAAAGTTAAGAATTCTCTGTTAATGCTGGCGAGATGGTGTCTTTAATGACTTTTATTGAATGTTGGAGTGTCATGTATGTGTGCGTGAGTGTGTGAGAGGTGACAACAAGGATTAGTGGCAAAATTATTATAACGCCATTTAAATTTTTATAGCCTTTCACGTCCATTGTTAAGTATTGCCATTTTCACCTGATTTTTTTAATCAAATGTCTCGTTTAAAACTGATAAATAAGCATTTAACTCTGAAAAAGTCGTCAGAAACCCACGAAGGGTGTTCTAGAATTCTGTTCTAGAAAAAAGCTAATGCAAACACAATGAACATCCTTGAGTTTTCACATTATTTGGGCCAGCCCTATAAGAAGTTGACCTGTGTAAAATTGTCTGAGTTGTAATGCACATGCATGTTTTTGTTCAGTGGATTTATCTTTTCATTTTCTGAGGTCCAAGCTCACCCTGACCTAACCTTAAATTGACCAGCTGAAGTCTTTGGTGTTTGCATCATTTCCCTTTGTGATTTCCAATATAGAATATGTGAACACACCTCAATTAAGTGCTCAGATTCATAATGTGAGGGCCTAAACAATATCAAACATGAGGCCTACATCTATAAGGTAGTTTGGAGTCATTATGATGGTTGACATTCTCCCTAAAACCCCTCTTCTCAGAACTCTGACTTAGCACTGAGGGAGCTCTCATGTGTCCCCTTAAGTTCTCCACTGGTAGCTGCTGATCCCCCTGATTTATCCCTGCAGAGAAGTCTTTGCACAGTGCCTCGGAACTTCTCGGCTCCAAACAGGTAGACTAGTGGATCCAGTGCTCCGTTCAGGCAGGTAAGCGAGGATGTGAGGCGGTTAGCCAGTGCTAGTCCTCGCTGTGTTTGGCAGGACAGGTCTGGATGTCCGTAACCTAAGATGAAGGTGGCACGGCTCACATGGTAGGGCAGGAAGCAAACCACATAGATGATCATGACCAGCCCAATGGTGCGCAAAGCCCGGAGCTTCAGCGCGGGCTCCAGTCGGGAGCCCTTCCTCAGACTGTTCACAATTAGCAAGTAGCAGCAAAGTGTGGCTAAGAATGGAGGTGTGAAGGCAACAGCGAGGGAGACTAGTGCTCGACGAGAAGCTTTCTCCCTGTACAGCTGCAAGCACACCGTAGATCCGTCCACATCTGCCGTCTGCTGGGTCACCAGGAGAGGAGCCATAGACACGATCACCAGAGCCCATAGAGCAAAGCTAGCTATATGGGCGAAGCGAGCTTGCCGGACTTTTAGCGAGCTGACAGCGTGCACCACAGCAAGGTATCGATCACCTGCTACACAGGCCAGGAAGTACAGGCTAGCATACATGTTAACATAGAAGAGGAAGCCAGCCACACGGCAAGGGACCTCCCCGAATGGCCAGTGACCCCCTGTCAGGTGGTAGGTAGCTCGGAGAGGTAAAATGATAACGTAAGACAGGTCAGCCACAGCAAGATGCATCAAGAAGACATTGGCCGGGGAGGAGGTTCCTCTTTGGCGGGAGAAGATCCACAGGGCGAGGCTGTTACCATTGAGTGCCAGGAGGAAGATTATGATGTAGTAGAGGCCAAACAGCAAGTTCTCCACTGTGTTGTCCACAGGAACGCAACCCTCCACAGACTGATTGGACGGCAGGGTGGGAAGCACTGTTGGAGATGACTCCATCTTCATAACTAAGAGGAAAAAAATTAAAGACAGAAATTATTGCTCATATTAAACCAATAATTAAAGCAATATATCTCCCGGAAGTTCCAAGTGCCAAATATTCAATAGTTAAATTTTAAACAATGTATCAGGTGAATGATGTGTTTTGATTAAAGGCCCATTATATGGAAAAATACATTTTCTTTGTTTTTTGAAGCTTGATGAGGGGTGTCGACACTATTAAAGTTTTAAAACATACCTTCACTTTTCAGTCCATACAGCATATATGTGAAACCTAAGCTGCAAAAACAGCCCATTTTGAATTCATTCTTTTTGTAATGTCACAAGAACCAACACATTTTCATGTATCCACCTATTCATATTAAAGCAGTTTTGCCATTCCCATTTGTCCTGAAGTTATAAGGAACGTTTCAGCCTAGACTGCTTTCTGAATGAAGCACAATACAGGGCAGCCAGTCCAAATAGAGATCATTTACATAGACCAGTCTTGAAGACACAGTATCAAAAACAGGGGGCTAACAAAGTACACAGAGAAACAGATGGACTACAGTCTGTAATTGTAGAACTACAAAGTGCACCTATATGGTAAATGGAGCTGATAAAATAGACAACGAGGACCAATGTACACATTTGATTCATGTAAATTCAAAGCAACAATTTTTTTCAGCGTAAGAGGTAAAGAGAGGTTGGAAAATAAAAAAAAATATTAAAAAAGAAATAACGATGACTGTTTTTGGCATGTATAACAAAGAAGTTGAAAATGTTGGAAATGGGACAAGTCTAAAAAAAGTACTTTGACCTAAAAGTTCTCAAAAGAACATGTTTCTAAACACCCTCATTTTCACAATACCAAAATTAGACAAATGAACTAAGGACCCAATGGCTGACTCACTGAGTAAATTGCACTCTACAAAAAGACTTGGATCTTCAACATTTCATAACTTTAAAGCCAACAAGATGCTCTAAATGCTTTCGTGTGTCTGAAGTACTTGCGATGCCTCAAACACACTTCTGGCCCATTGCCTTTTGCCACTGCAGGTTGCAACGTAAGTGCAAGCAGAGTTCACAGAAAGATGAAATGTTTTGGTTCTCTGTGTGCTTTGGGGGAGGCTGGGAGGGTCTGTTTGGGTGTTTGGCAGTGATACAGTCACTCTGAGAAACAGGAGATGTTGGCGGAGGGAAATGTGCAGATGCATGGCCCCCCTGCAAGCGTGTGCTTGTTGGCGTGTGGCAGTGTATCTGACGGCCACACCTGTGTCATGGGACCCCAATGCCACACCCTGCTATTTTCTTACAGCTCCACATAGCTGTTTCCAGGCAACCCTATCTCTTGCTGAAACTGGAGGGATTTCATGGCATGCAAATCAAGTCCAAAGATAAACCATCATTAAACTCATCCTGGCTTTAACTGTTAGCAGCTATTCGCACAGCAAATTCCTGATTCCAGGGAATCATGAGATAACTTTGGTTTAATAAATTTATGTATTTAGGTTGGATGAGGCATACATTCCTTCTTCCATTCAGTAACAGTTACCGTTTTCACTGAATTTTCAAAATTTTTGCGTAAATAAATCGTTGAAGTGTGAACTTATTTAGAGCGGTTTGATGTGAAATGCTCTGTTCCAGAGAAACTTAGCAAAAAAAACTTACCATTGTTCACAGTAGTGGTGATGGGAACCAGATGTCTGAAGCATTTAATGCTTCTAAAAGCTGCCTCACAGAAAGCTATTACACAAAACAATTCTGAATATGCTGCCTGATGTCTGAGACATTGTTTTACATCGGTTTTGAGATAAGATTCTGGCCAAAAAAAGTATTTTAAACCCCTTAACAAGCCACACTTCTATAACCTGAGGACAGCTCCATTAGCTTACACTGAAGTCCCGGTAGTTACTGAATTGTAAGCGTTTGTGTGAAATAAACCTGCAATGTTAAGGGGTTTAAAGTCCATTCATGGTGCAGAGCTACATGAAGGGTGTGCTAAAGCAAAATAGTCCCCAAAGAAAACTTCATATTTCAGATTTACCAATATTTTACCATTATCAACTCAGAAGCTCAGAAGACACATGCAGATTCACTGGTTATTTTGCATAGCAAATAAAATGGCTATATTTGCATTGTAGGCTAGTTCCTATCACTAGCACTGTAAAGACATCTGAGTTGGTAAGTTTCTCTACAATTAACCATTTGACATCAAACCATGATGACTTTGCATGACTTTGTTCACATATCAACCATTTAATTATACAGTAATTAAATTAATATACAATATAATTCACCTTTATGACTGAAAGACACAGGAAAATGTTATCTTCCAGAACTCCAGAAATGTTGACACATTGGTAGATCATTGCTCTGGCAGTGTGCCAGAATGGATTCCTCCAACTTAAACATTACTTTATATAATGCTCATATAAATCACGTAGGAGCAACACAAAAGAAATCCATCCAATAGTGAAAATCTTGCCAAGAAAAGCTCAAATGTGACTTATTCCTGCTTTTAGATAAATAGGGAGACCAAATATTACCAATAATACCAATATTTTCAGAACATCCAACAAAATATAAAAAGGGTGTGTTTTAGGGAGTGTTTAAAATCCTTGGGGTCCATGCTGTAGGGAACTGCAGGACGTCGGAAGTAAGTGGGAGGCAAATTCCAAATTCACCAAGCCCTTCAGTAAGTGAGAGATTAAAGCAGGCTGTTACAAAACTCAGATCTCTAGGGGAAAAGGCAGCATTGGATTGTTCTTTGCTCCAAATGGAGCTTTAGCCCTATATGAATGGGAGCGGCTGGGCACGCGAGCAGAGCTCCAGTTGCACAGAAATGGCTTTTGTCCATGGGCACATGGTGTGAAAGAGTCCTAAACAATCTGTGGGACTCTGCATTAACACACTTTCTCAGGAATAAACGAGCGGTAAGTAATGTCCAGCTTGCCTGGTTACTGTCTTTCTGAAAGAGGAAGCCTGCCAGCGTAACGTCTGTTCCCTTGAGAATTTCTGAAAAAAAATGCCCTTTAGAATGTGATTGAGGGAAAGCGGAGGTAGTTTCTGGGCTGCTGTGCAGGGCCGTCAGTACGCACAAAGGCAAGAGGGAATCCTGGGTTTGTGTGAGTAAGTTCACTAACACGTGTTGCCAGCTCTGCAGCCAAAGGAGTTTAAGTCCAACGAAGCTCATTCATTTACAGTGCACAAAGTGTGAAAACACAGGAAAATGGAATGACTTTCAACCTTACTGATCCCCTTTACTCACTCTTAAAAGGAGCCAGGTGATTCTTCACAAGCTCATAAACTCAGTATTTTTTCATAATCTTGTATTCAGTACCATAACTATGTAGGCAGTTTACCAGGCACTGGAACACTGGTGCAAATGCTGCTATAGAAACATGTAGAAATGTTTCTGATTATACAGCAGTTATTGTTTATTGTCAGTGCTGGAAGAAAACTTTAATTTGACAAAATGTTATTCTAAGTCATTTTGGATAATTTCTGTTGGTCCACTTGTCATGAAATGTTCACACAGTGCAAACAACAGGTGGCATTTTCAAATTTTGTTTAAAAAACTTAAATAAATTAATAAATTAATTAAAAACAACAAAAATGGAGGTACAAAGTTTTGTTCTAACTGTGATAGAACAGCGATATGTGGAAGATAAACCTTCATGTCAGAATATACAGTCTTAGAATCACCATAAATATAATGCTAAGAAACCTATACAATGATAGATTTTAAGAAAAAGGGTTTGATTACTGATTAAAAATGACATTCAGAAGAGAATCTGGAAAACATATGAAGAAAACAGTAATGCATACATTTCCTAAGTAAGCTAATGTCCTTAGGTTTGTTTTTTAAAATCTTTTTATTAGTGTTGCAGTGTGTAAAACATAACTGTTATGTACCTGCGTGCCAAAGAAGAAGTAAAATAAACTGCATAAAATCACTCAAAAAAGAAGTTTTTTTCAATTTTGATATTAAAAAGCACAAAACCTGAGATAATATTAAAGAGTCTTAAACACTTCTAGGTTCTACTTCAGAACCTAAATATTGAAAAATCCTACCAAAGATAAAATCACAGTATGAAGTGAAATGTAAGTGACATCTGTTTTTACTGTCACAGGTAACTTAATTTTTATCATTAAATTAGTATTTATGTAATAATTATCTAAGTATTAAGTGCTTAAGTGTGTCAGTTTTATGTTTTAGGCTTTGACCTTGTGTTTTTTGCTCAGTGTCATGTTCAAGGTCCTCATTTCCTTCAGTATGTGTAACCAGAGCTATAACTGTATCACCCAAATGCTCCGTCTCCAAGAAAGGCAAACAATAAAAAGTTCTGGTTTAAAAAGAGAAGTTACAACTGAAAGTTCTCAAACAGTTTCAGATCAACCCAGCTCTATAGCAGTTAGAGAGAGACAGAGACTCACCAGTGTTGGTTCTCCTCGAGCGTGTTCAGCAGTGCAGGAGGAGAGCAGTGTAGAGGAGAGGAGTGCAGAGGGAGTAGTTTGGCTGTAGACGTGGGTCTGTTGACAGCTGCTGTGAGAGCAGAAGGTTATCCAGCAGCGTGTATGTGGAGGATTGAAGAACAGGCTGAAGGAAAGACCCTAATCCACTGAAGAACCACACTGTCCCTGTTCTACGTTTTCTTTTTTTCTAGATATTTTACTGTGGCTCTTTTCGTGCCCGCAACAAATTTGATTACAAAAAACCAAACCCAATGGGACAGCTTTGGTGTGACCTCTTGACCCCAGGCTTTCTGCGCAATGGCATTCTCCTCTGAGAGCCACTTGTGCGCTCCACAAAGGCTTGAGTCAGAAGACGCGGTGCATTTCGACAGCGGGAGAATAATGGCGTGCCTTTGCAATGTGGAGTCGGGCGCGGTGCCATGGCAACAGGGCCTGGTGGTGCACGGCATACCCCCAAAAAATGCCCAGTCTTCAACCATGTCAATACATAGAGGACGGTATGAGCATTTTGATGGGCCGGTTAATGGATAAGGCTGAAGAGATGAACCATTGTGCGGCAGCTCAAGTCAGACGGAGGAGCCCCCCACAGTGGTCACTTCACAGCGAAGGAATGCCTGAAGACTGAGAGAAAAACAAGAAGACCAAAGAGACGGAGGCCTTGTTGCTTTGGTCCCTGCTGTGTGGTGGGGGTCCATCAGAGACTGGGGCAGCAGAGGGCAAAAATAATCTCATCATGTGATCTCTGGACAGATGTGGAAAGGAGGCCCAAAGGGCCAGCAGGGGATAATAATCTGTCTTTGATTCTGGACGTCCACAGCTGTGCGGCGCACACATCGCCTCTTTCTCCTCTCTTCGCACGCGTCCTCATCGATATGCAAATACAGCTCAATCCTCTGAATGAGAGCACTATCTGGGCCCCTCATGCTCCCCTAAACTCGGCCAGATAATACACTGCCAAGTCTTAATTGGGACAGCTCCAAGCCTCTGTATTTAACACCCCCACTTTTGCTCTAGCCTGTCTTGCCCTGTAGCAAAACACAGTGTGACCTGATCATTTGAGCAGAATAAAGAGTATCTTCTTCATTCACACAAAGGCAGACGGGTCTACTGCTTAAAATATGACTGACTCCCTGTTGTTCCAAAGCAATGTTGATAATATAGTTCTATTTTGGAATAGTTAAATAAACGCATAGTTAAATAAACTCTTCAGACAGAATGGTGCGTCATTTGTGACTAAGCTCCAATATAAGCATTAACCAATGGGTCTTGTTTGTGCCATATGTTTTATTTTGCCATTTTCATCAAAGCAATTCCATTGTTAATTTGAAACTCAACAAAATATAGTGAAATGAAAGACGCTAGTTTATGAAGCACATGATTATCTCAAAAACGCCCTGATTAATTGAGTTCTAATGCACTTGACATGATGCTATGAGATTACATTTTGGCAGTGATTGGAAAAGTACAGAAATCCTTTGAACTTTACATGTGGAAATAAATAAATAAAAGATTAGATCCAGTTATAGAGTCAACCCTCCTTATTCTAAACAGAAACAGAACAGGTCCAAAAAGGAATACATAAAATCATATGGCAAGTTAATCAATAATAAGTAGATTTCAATCACCAAACACAGAAGGGTCCAAATGTCCCACTACCAAGAACTGTTTTTATTTCATAATTTTTCTAAAAACTAATCCAAAACATTACTAAGTTCATGCTTATTATTACAAGAGAACATTATTTAAACCAAGACAGCTCATTTTCTCAGCTGTTTGAGAAATATTTTCTTAGGTAAACAGGTACCTGACAGCAACCACATTGAACATCTTTGGGAAGAAGAGAAGCAGAGCTGGAATAATGGTGTTTTGAGCAAGGGGAATGTCAAATGTGAAATAAAGAAAAAGCAATATCAACAGAGGTGAAGCTGTGATTAAAGGAAATGGTAGACATAAGTATGAAGGCATTTGTCAAACTTTACAGACTTGCAATGTCAAAATGTCTCAAAATGTGATTTGACAAACTGTATTAGGTTTTCATAACTGACGAAACACAAACAGTTCTTCATAGTTCACTTAGACGGATGGGTCCTTCTGTATATTAAAAAGCTTTTAGAACATTCATAACAAGTATATTTAGCCATATTCTGTGTGATCCTTTATTGTAAATACAAACATTAGTGGGAATGAGCATGTTAAAAAGGCTCGATAAATTTGTAATTTCTCCCCTGAGGCCACGTCTCAGTTAAAGCGCCGGTTTCTGGGTCTCTGTACTCTAGTCTCATTCAGATACATGTTTGCGTAAGACGTCAACAGATCATCCATTTTGTAGCCCTTGGGAAATGATACAGACATGGTAATTAGTTTGTGAGATCTTAAAACTGAAACGTTTTTAAAGTGAAAAGGCTTATTACTGTTATTACTCACCAGGGAGGTTTCACACAGAATCTTGTTCCCTTTAACCAGGTTGCCTACAGTCATGTGGAAATACGTGCTTCCACTGCACCAGTTTGCAATCTTGTTCAGCGGATGTGTTGCTAGGACATCCTTGAAAATGGAAGAATAGCAGATTATTAACTTATTTGTAAAATCGCAAACTACAAATCATGCCTGATTTTCATCAGGGTGATACTACTACTACTACTACTAATACTAATATTATTTACACTACTATGACAACTATTCTTACTACTACTATTACTACTATGACAACTACTACTACTACTACTTATACTACTATGACGACTACTAATACTGCAACAACTACTACTACTATTACTATGACAACAACTACTACTAATACTACTATTACTTATACTACTATGACAACTACTCTTACTACTACTATTACTACTATGACAACTACTACTACTACAACTACTATTACTACTATGACAACAACTACTACTACTACTACTTATACAACTATGACAACTACTACTACTACTACTACTACTACTAATAATAATAATGAAAACAATAACAAGAAGATTCTATTAATTTACATATCATTATATAATTCATATATTCCTAATAACTATTCAATTAACAAATAACATTGTCATTTCAAATGTTTCTATTTTACTGCAACCTATCTTTTGTCATATTACAATAAAGTGGAACCATTTTTCCCCTTTACTAGAGAACCCTTGATGAAGCCCATTTCCTCTGTACTGATTCAGCATAAACAACCAAATGTTTTAATGAGAAAATCATCCATTCTCGAATTATGGCAATGAAAACACTAATTGTCCAGTAATTAGCTGATAGGGTCTTTACCTTGGTCTTAGGGTGCATGATTGTTACTCCCTGTCTGCTGATGGCAATTCTCACAATGTCTGGGAAGCTGGGTTCAGATGTTTGCTGAAATAAAAGAGAGTTTTTTTTATACCTGCTAAAAGATGATCAAAAGCATCAACATCTTCATGAATATCTCAGCAACCAATAAGGTCATGTTTCATTACCTTCACTTCAAAGAAGGCACAGCCAAATGTGGGCCACTTAAAGATCACCTTCAGAAAGCCCACCATGGCCTCCTCCACTGTCATGCCTGCTTGCTTATTGTAGGCAGCAACAATGTTCTTGAAAGGAGAGATCACAGAACAGCATTTTAGATAATCTGTGTTTGTAAACAACATGCATAAGATACATACAGATGTCAAAAAATGTAGAAAAAAATATAGATACATAGATTAATAGAAGTTTGTTCCCTGTAGAGAATGAATTAACTTGTTTTCACTGGTGCAAGGTGCACAAGGCAGCAAATATTTCAGTCAACAGACTTTCATAGGCAACAAATTCAGTAAATAAACAGGAATTAAAATCTACAGAAGTGTGTTCTCTGTCGAGGACGTGTAACTTTTTTCACTTCAAATTAACAAAATATGTAATTTGACCAAACGTTACATATGACTGTATACAGGAAAACTAAACAATACTGTATAATGAAATAGGCTGAAATAGTACTTTTCCCCCAACATTTCATACCTTTTTCCAGTCATCAGCTGACATGGCTTTGAGCTGGTCATTGGGCACCAGCTCTTTCAGCATCTTGGGGATCATGACAAACTGAGTCTTATCATTGTCCACCTTCACCCTGAAGAGGAAAGCACCCAGCTGCACCATGTCCTCTTTAGTACAGCGGTGGTACCCACGGAGATACTTGGGCAACTCCTAGGTGGACAGAAAAGTAATGTGAGATAATAGAAAATGACCATGACAAGCTATTTTATTTTATTTAACCTTTATTTAATCAGGAAGTCCCTTGAGATAAAAATCTCTTTTCCGAGGGAGACCTAGAGAGCTAGAATATTCAGATCATATTTTTATTTTTATATCATTTATAAGTGTTAGAGCACCTGAGGAAAGTGGAAGATGCGGTCAGCCTCCAGATCCCTGCCAGGCATTACATTGAACCACAGCTTCCTCATGAAGAACACTGAGTATGACATATTCACTGGCCCTCCTGCAGTTCAAACACAGCTATGTAAGTGCGTAGTACATATTACTAGAACTGTCCATTTTATTCTTTTGTATTTTTATTGAAGCTTAGAACATTTTACATCACTTTGTTCTCCAAACCTTGAAAAAGGTCCAGATTTGGTTTGTTTGTTTGTGTTCTGATGAACACATGCAAACAGATCCCTAGAATGCAGTTAAAAATAAACTACAATACAATAAGTGATGCTGTGACCAAAGAATTAATGCATCATTAAGCAATAAGAATTTTTCCTTTGGTCCTTTTAACCTCTTAAACCTGTCAGCAGATCAAAGCAGACTTCAAATTCATTACTCCTTTAGCCACACATAACTTACATAAGTTTCAATTGCTGAGTAATTCATAGTAAATACTGGGTAATAATTAGGAGTAATAATAACTGGATATTATGCTTGGGAGGAGAAAGTGTTAAGCAAGGCATGTCTAGACTGCTGGTAGGCCTCTGAATTGTCATGAACTCACCATCCTTCGCCATTTTAGTTGTTCTGGTCCAGTCAGTGATCTGCCTCAGATTGTCAAAGAAGTAGTCTGCCTCATTCAGACTCAAAACCTGACACAAACACAGTGGAGACCATCTGCCAGTTAGCATGCTCAGTGAATCATAAACATGAATTTTGACATGACACACAAATTGTAGTATATATAGTTGTACACAAAAGTTTGGTCAAAGTCTGTTTTGTTGATTTTTCATAAAGTGAAAAGAAGTTAACACATCCTCTACAGAGAACACACTAAACCATGATATTTTTCTGTAAATGTTAGAGCACAATGTCAGTTTGTTTGCTGAGGTTAACATACTGGAAAAAATAAAATGAGGATCTTTAAACTGTGCCTTAAACGCAGGAACTACCATAAACACATTTGAACTTGGGCGTGTAGGTCAAAAAAACAACTACACATGGCAAAAATAACCAAATAACCAAAAGGGCCAAAAAAGCCACAAAGTTAAAAATGTAAAAGCTGAAAAAACAAAAGCTTTTCTTTATTTTCCAGACAGACTGATCAAGTGCAAGGTGCACAAGCGAAGTAAAAACAAGGCAGCAAACGTTTCAGTCAACACAATGTGCAGAAATGTGTTCTCTGTAGAGGATGTGTTAACTTATTTTCACTTACAGTATCAATAAAACAGCCCATTTGATCAGAGGTGCCCAAACCTTTGCATACAACTGCATGCCTACACACACCTTGTCTGGAGTTTTGACAAAGATGCTGAAGCCGTCCTCAGAAATCAGCCTGAGTTTAGTGGCAATTGTTTGGACCAAGTCTCTGACCTTAGTGTTAGTTGCAACTTCAAATATCTGTCCACAAGAGAGTAGAAAACATCAAATTTGTATCTTGACAGATTCCAAAGCTTTCACTGTTAGGTTGCGTGAATGTTACTGTGTGTTGACTTGAATTGCTTTACCTCCTCTGTGTCATTAGGGAAATTGATTTTGTGGAAGATCTGAATGCTGTTCTGCTGAATGGCATCCACTTCTACCTGGTGAGGAGGAAGCTTCCTGGGCTCAGTTCTATTGGATAAAACACACAAACACAGTCCTCCAGTGATATTCAACACACATTAACCTTTATAATATTAAGGCAAAAAAAGTTATTTCTACATAAAGAACATGAACATGTAAAGTGCCATTTTGAGCAGGTAAACATATGAACAGGAATATACTTCAAACATCAGAGGACTTTTATGCTTATTCTGATGAAAGGAGTCAGCAATAGGCCCAGTGATCCAAATTCCACTCTGAAAGTGTGCACACACTTGATCTAACTATTGTAATGCATCCACCAATTAAGGCAGTATGGTGCTTCTTTTATATACTGATACAAAACACAGTAGCACACAGAAAGCATATTACCACATGCTAATGTGCATGCTTCCCAGCTACTCTACTAGGAGATTTTAATGAGTTAAAGAGGATAAAGAGAAAGTCCTTGTATATATTTCTTTAGATACATTAGTAAAGGCATGATTAATGGACTTTTGCCATTATTATCAAACTCGCAATCTTTCACCCATTATTCAAGTGCAATAATAGTTGTGTGAAAGTGTTTCCCATGACTGGAGTGTTGAGATGGGCCACACCTCAAGCAGATGTCAGCCCCATCACGTGTGATCCTTACTATATCATCAATCATCACACATTGACATTTTCTTGATACTTGTACAAGCTTGGCCCAAGACACTGCACTAATGCAAGGAGGTGTACTGTTACATACAAGCACTGAATTACAACAGTTTCAGTTTAAAATCAGCACTACAGTCTTTGATTAAAGACTTAGGGAAAATAACAAATCAACATCATATACTGGGTTTCTTGATTTTGGACACATTGCAGTATTTATGTAGGCTGCACATATTACAGTGGCTATTAATGTGCAGTGATCTGGCCCTTTTGTTTATGAGGTGCTGGCAGAAAGACATAACACGCATGCACTGAGGGATGTATTCCAGGGCTTCAGTCAGATTGCCAAAGTTCACGGCTTCAAAGCTACATGTGCCTGCCATTCACAGCCACACCAAGCTCAACAGTGGGGAAATGCTAAACTGAAAAGGACTTTGCATGTCTCATCTGATTTCTCTGCTACCTTGTTTAACTCTGCGCATGTTTTGTGTGATCATGTATTGCCACAGTTTTTAAAAAAAAGCCAAAACATTCTTCTCCACTATTTTCTTTCTCTACCTTATTTGAATGCAAATTTTCATGATGAATAGACTACTAGAAATGCCCCAAAATTACTTGAAATAAAATCTCTTTACATTAACTTACACTACACATTAACATAAAAGTTAAGGAAGTTTTTGCCTTTCCTGTAAAGTTATCATTTTGAAGATAATCTGAATATCTGTTGGTTACTTTGTCAAAATGGATTGGCATCAGACATAATGACTTTTTGGAATTCTGAAAAATTTCAAGCATGTTGGTATTTGCAATTGGATTTGATATTAATATCTGATTTTTTTGGCCAGTTCGTGACCTTTTTGTGCTTTACCTACAAGTTCTTTAATAGGTCAACAGATGATGAATATAGATTGAGATTGTGGACATCAATAAGTTTGTGATTTGACTCTGAAATCTTGCCTGGAGCTTTAAAAAAAATGCCATAGTATCCCCCTTCTTCTGAAACATCAGTTGGGCCAGTCCATCTAGGATTGGCTCTGTCTAGTTTTGACTCCTGAAACCTCATGTGACTCCTGTGCACCTGTTAGATGATTCCCTTATTCGTCTGTGCGTATATACTATGTGTTTCAGTTTAGTTTTTGTTATGTCTTGTCTCTTTAGTGTAATTCTGCGGTTTCATTTGGCTGTTTTCCCAAAGGTTTGTTCTCTCTTTCTTAGAAGGTCAGTTTGCCAGCCCATCACTTATCCTCAGACTGGGATGCCCACTCTGTGCTGGCATACTTCCAGTGGCTCAAAATTGTTACACAGTGCATGATGTGCAGTGCAGGCATGTACCTCAGAGCACCCTGTAGTCTGTGTAGGCAGTCAGAGGCCAGTGTCTCCCTCCGCCGGGTCTCCAGGAAGCGCTGGGCGTGCTTCAGCAGAGAGTTACTTGGGGGAAAGAGACCACAGCACAGCCAGAGCAGCTGCCAACCCTGTTCCATACTGTACCTGAGAGAGCCAAAACACAAAGTCTGAGCTTCACATTGTTAAATCCTGTAATGTGGATATAGTCTGTAAGTACACAAAAGGGGATTTTCAAAATAGGTAACGGCTGTAATAAGCATGACGCTTCAAATTGTGGTTAAGTCATAGTAAAATGAAGGCATGGCAAGAAACATGGCAATTCGTGTTTACTTTAGTTCAGGCTATGACCAGCCAAATGTACTGACGCAGGTTGTTCTCTGAAGTAGTGTTGTAGTAATTGAGACCAGTCTCAAAACCATAAACTAGTGGTCTCAGTCTCATTTGGACGTGGTCTTTTCTCGGTCTCAGGGTAAGGGGCTTCCCAAACTTTTGCAACTCAAGACCCATACAAATGACCACAAAAGCTTCCATGGCTTTAAGCAATCAGATCATTTCTTTTCTGCCTCATCTAGTGAGAAAGCTGATTTGTCTGCGACCGAGTGCTGGATGTCAAGCTGAAGACAGGAAAGCTAAGGATCTCTGGCTCAATTAGACAAATTTGGATATCTTTTTGCTATGTTTTGTCTCTGAGTGACAGTGTATAATCTTGTGTTTCAAAGCTTTATTTAGAAAGACCCCTGAGCAAACAGTGCAGAGTGGTAGTTAATTGTTTTCAGTTCTGATGCAGGTGAAGCCCAGCGCTACATATTCACTGCTGCATTTTCTTCATTTAAAATATATAGAAACATAACTAGCATTTTGCCAGAACAACATGAGTGAGCTTGATATAAGTATGTTTTATTTTTGCAAAAAATCAGCAATATTTGTCATATCTAAAATTTCACGTGGCTAAATGTTTGTATTGTAACCAGTTTTTGTGTGAAAAAAAAACCCTGCAGTACTGCCAATGGGGTGCCACAACCCACAAGCTGAAAACCACTGCTGTATAGGTTTAAAAAAATCGGTTTGTTGAGGATCTAACTGATGCATCCCAGGATGGCTTAACTGAGTGTTATGTGTTTGTTGATGTTCATTGGTTCCACAGTTCAAGATCCCCTGAGGGCAGATCAGAATGTTATTATTAGTATGTTTTCATTTAACAATAAAAATGAATGTTGTTTAGTTTATGGTGGTGATTCTGAATACATTTTAGGGAAGAAGGACAGAGAATAACCTCACCACTGCTTCTAGTTACAATGCAAAGTTTGATTAAGACATTATTTAATGATATAATAATGTATCTTTTTATTTTTATATTCTGAAAAAATCTTAATCTGGTCTTGTCTCAGGCTTCACTCGGACTCGACTGCTAAAAGTCTTGGTCTTGACTTGGACTCGATGCATCTCAGTGTCGTTCTTGACTTGGACTCGACTCTAGCAGTCCTGACTACAACACTACTCTGAGATTGTTCAATCTAAAAAAATCCTTCACTATTTATCCTTTAACCAGTTTTATGCACATCAAATTCTTTACATTTATTAAATTAAATTTAGTCTAAAAAGAACCAAGGCAAAACAAAACAAAAAAACAAACAAACAAAAAAACAATGTTCGTCATCATTCTAAACCTCATCAACACTTTTTGTTATTTATTTATTTATTTATTTATTTTACAGTGGAGCTGGACTCTTGATCTAGGTCAAGTTTTACAAAAATCCCTTTTTGTAAAAAGCAATAAGCAAGCTGACTTTGGTTCAGGCAAGTTAGCCATGCCATCTGTGGCAGCTCTTGCGTGATCTTGTGTGACTGTCCTTTCATAAGACAAAATATGCAAGAGGTTATGATTTAAACAGAACTTATTCATGAGTTGTGTATATACTTTCACAAATCCATATGACACTAAAAAAGTCACATGTCAGCACTTTTCACTGTCATGTGATGTTCCTTACCGGTTGTTATTGCTTGTCATCTGTTTCATGATCTGGCAGTAGATCTCATCTCTGAGTGCTTCATTCTGAGTGGCAGGGCCAAAGATCTGATCCGTGAGCTCCAGAGGGTTCTGAATCTGCCTGGTTGGGTAGTCACCCATGTACTTTAGGATAGGTGCACAGGAAATCAGTAAAGGAATTACAACCACTGCTGAAAGGTGTTATTACTCTACCCTTGGGAAAGAAAAAAGTATTTAAAAATACTTTTTGAAAGTTTAATCCAAACATACTTTTTAAAGCATGCTTTGAAGTGTAAGGGGTTAAGTATGCTTTAATTCATACTAAATGTATTATTTTGGAACCACTCATGAAAACTTAAGTGTAATAATCTATGATTCAACATATATTAAATGCATTTAGTTGTGCTTTTGGGTGCTTTTTACAAACTTAAGTTACACTTAGATTTCAGTGTGTAATTTGTAGACATATCTTATTATACTTGGAATATACAGGGTATACATTATACTGCTGGGTGAACTGATACACTTCAGTGCTATTTATTAATATATACCGCAACTAAAAAGCAAATAAATCAATTTTAATCTGACCTATTGTCATGACTTATATAAAAAATATGACTTCTATCAAAGTTTCAGAATAAGCTTGTGTCTCGTAATGAAAGGATATCAGTGAAGGCCTGGCTGGCCTGGTGGCTGAGCTCAGGGTTGCCCAATAGTCTCTTTAGCAGGGGCTGCCTGATGGGCTCTCTGGAGTTGGCCCACAGCCTTTCAGGAGCCACATTTTTAGAGATCACCTGCCTGTTTACGTCTTTAGTTGGGGGCCTGAGGACACAGAGGCAATGTTTACTCTTACTTTTGTTTCTGACTACATTATTTTATATTTTAATATTACTTCACCTAACAAAGAACAATGTACTATTCATATGGTATGAATGAAACCAATGATTAGTAGTTCTGGAATATACCTAAAGTACTCAATGGAAAACTCTTTGAGTGTTGCAGGAGCCACCCTCTCAGTGGCTGTTCCTCTGAGTGTGTTGTTAATGATGGTCTTCCTCTGATCAGGAGACAGACTGATTAGACTCTAGGGGAGGGAAAAAAAAACCACATCAACCACAGTTACTGACTGGTGTGCACAAATAGTGAACTCATGATTTGTTCATTCTGTTTGTTTAAACTAATGCAGAGCTTTACAGTTTGAGAAGTTATTGAATACTACAGGATTAGTAGTGGTTTAATAAACATTGAGCCTATAATCACTATGGCCATTATGCAGGCTGTTACAATCAGTTGCCTACGTGATTAGCTCCATGTTATTGCGGTGTTTCTTACAATATTAAACACAGTGAAAATGCTTACCAAGACCTCATTGGTGGGTTTGGTGAGTGTGGGCAGAATCAAGACGGCTTCTGTAGGTACTGCCCCCTTTTGTCCAGTTCGCTCATTCTGTCCCTTCAGCCAGCCACCGCTTGGAGAAAAGTCATCATCCTTAATGAGGAGAATAAGTTCTCCTTTTTTGAAGCTAAGAAAAGTGGGATCATCTGAGAGAGAAGAGTAGAAAAATGGATCAGATTTGACGCAGGTGTGTAATTCTAGATGTGCTATATTACTGAGGCACATAAAATAAATGGAACAGTAGTCTCCTAGTGACAAAATGAACTGTACAAAATAATGGCCTCATATCACTAAATGCACCAAACTGCTGAACACTGCTGTATAAAAATATAAAACTACTATAAAAATATTTTACTGAAGATGGCCAGTAGCCAAGTTGCAGGAGAAGTGATGTTGTGCTCTTGGGCAAGACACTCAACCCCTTACTGCGTGGCACTGCTCTGGTGACAACACTGTGCATCTTTCCTTGATCAATCTTTAAGTATAACATTAACATTTGACAAAGAAAGAAATTTGGGACATCCATAATTTTCATGAAGTTATATATTTCATAATCCAAAAACCATGGGAGAGTAGGTTGGGTGTACTGTATCAGTGTGGTAAAAAAAAAAAGAATATGGAACGTACAAGACGAGAAATCTACAGCATATCTATATAGCATATATACGTGATCCTTACTGATGAGCCACACTTTCAGTAAGACCTCTTATGTTAACTAATGTAGCCTTTTATACAGAATAGTGAGTGATTATTGCATGATAATTGATCACTAAATGAGCCCTTGATGTTGGCTATGGATAGGGAACAACTTAGTGACTCAACCATATCTCTCAGTTTATTTTCAAATGAGGACTGACTTTCTGGTCTCTTCATTAGTACTCTAAAAAGTCTATGACAGGAACTACAGAACTATGGTTCTAAAGGCTTTGTGATAAGGCTTTAGGGTCTGAGGGATGACTGACCTTGTCTGTTGATCTCTTGCAAGGCCACAGCATACTGGGAGTGCTTTGTTAGGCCTGCCAGGAACAGAGCTATTAGATCAACAATGTCTGCAGCCATCACTGCATTCAGATTGAAGTCTCCTTTCAGAGTCAGCAAACACACAGACTGTCCCAAATGACTTTCCTTCTCTAGGGTGAAAAGCAGAGGAGACATTAGACAAGCCAGGGTCAGCTTTCATGTAAAAGAGTGTAGACTTTCATTATACTAAACTAATGGTTCTCAATATGCATCCTGGAGTATCACTGCCCTGCACATTTTCCATTTTCCAAGTCAATTCATTGCCCTGGATATGTCAGAACAGAGGAAATACAAAACTATGCAGGGCAATGGCATTCCAGGGCCAGAATTCAGATCCACTGCTCTAGACCTATTTGAAGACTATTCTTTTACATTTCCATTAGCTGGATTAGCTGGAGAGCACTGTACCTCGTAGTGTTCACCCCAGTTACCATTGGGTAGGAAAGTTCTAGAAGCTTCCTCTCACGTTCGTCCAGGAAGGTTATTCCCGTCCAGTTGATAGCCATGATGAACTTGTTCTTAGGTAGGGAAGGACCTGTTAGTGTTTAATGATAAATAATGTAGCGTTCAAGCTTTATATCTGGGTTTAAATGATTTAAACCGTAAAATTAACATGGACATTAATTTATTCATGATACAAAGAGAATGACTACACTGCAAAGAAAAGTATTTTCACTGTCAAAATACTGTAAAATGTAATGGTCAATGCCCATTAAAAGTGTAAATAAACCATACATATATTGTATTTTAACACTGCTGTTGTTCATTTACAGAAATTAAATGTTAAAAATTATAACCTTCATTTCACAGACATCTGCTTTTATTTTATGTCAGTTGAACAAGTTGAACTAGTTGAACTAGAGAAACTGCTGAGTTATAATTAAAGGCAGTATTTTTAAGAAATTAAATTATTGTAATTTTACAGATTTTTGCCGTAATTGGGAAAACACTCTTTTACTGCTAATTAACGGGTGCATACTAGCGCCAAACTTTCAGTGTACTTTCTCTTAAATTCAGCTTATACCTGAATGCCTGACAACTTCGAAAAACCTTGAGAAGAACAAAGGCCACTTCTGACGAGCATAATCCACTACTTCTGCTTTGACTTCAGCAGCTTTGGCTCTTGAGTTTATATAAGGACCCTGAAATACATAAATCCACTTTTAACCTCACATTCTTTATTCAGTCAATGCTTTATTTCAGTGCTTAGTCATTATTATGTCTCAGAACAGGATCACAAGCAAATACCTGAAGGTGTGCAGTGTTGACCATCTGAATCCATTTAGCCTCTGACTTGGACTCCAGTAGTGTGGAGTTAACACAGTCCTGGACCACAGACTTTGTGTTCTCCATGCTGCTGTCTGAGCCGTACTGCACGAAGAAATGCTTTGCTGCCAACTCAACAACATCATCCTCCTGACAAATGGTAAAATACAGCAGTATATTTATATAACAGTGCATTCATTTTGCTAAAAGTAATTTACTTGTGAACAAAGTGAACTAGGTAGCAAGTCATGATGTTGAAAGAACGTGGCATGAAAAGCAAAACTTACATACATTCACAAACCAAAAGCAAAATAAGATAAATCCTGTTCATCTGTGCTTCCTTCATTAGTACTGAAGCATGCTGGCTTACCCGCTCACACTGGTACTCTCCATATTTCAGGCCTCTGATGACCTGGCTGTAGATGAGGTCAGTGCTGACGCTGTCCTGGCTGCAGTCATGCCAAGGGGTGAAGATTTCTTTGCGGAAGTAAAGGCGCCAGGGGGCGTGCTGCTCCTTCCCACCCTTTCGCTTTACCTCTTGCTCACACTGGGAAATGGCATCCATCACATGCTCACGCCCACTGCCCAGAGACCACACCTGAGGAGGCACACAACAAAATGCTATTATGTGCATAAAACATTTACAAAACCTAAAGAGCAAAGCTGCCAAAAAAAACAAACAACAAAAAATATGGTATTTAGTAAAAGCAAATGCTTTTAGAAGCCCAATCAACTTGCCAATACAATTATAATTAGAACACACACACACACACACACACACACACACACACACACAGACACACAGACAGACAGACAGACAGACATATATACATATATATGTGTCCCTGTCTATCAGTTTTGTCTTTTGGCCACAATTCCCTGTAGACTGTGATTTTTGCCACTGCTGGTAGACCCATATGACTGTACACTTTGATACACCTGAAAATTCAGCTACTTTCTTTCCACTATGGCCTTTGGCATGCTCAAATGCAATCACTCCTTATTGCTAATCATTAACATCTGCTTTGCGACACATTTTCCACATATCGAACAAGACATTCACTGCACTGCACCACTTCTTCTCAATCTATGAATCCCTTCACACACCCCGTATCTATAGGTATCTATAGCCCGATCATCCTTGTGCAACACCATCTGTAGGAGCCTGAAGTTACTGCCACCTTAAACACGCAAGGTGACAATTTTTTTGTCCGGGGAGCTTATATTTATATATAGTGTGTGTGTGGCAATAATATATTATTCATTAAGTAATTTTGTTAAAACATTTATGCAGTATGCTTGTACATTACTGGCAAAATCAAGGCCTGTCCTGTGAATCTGTTTACCTGCGGCAATAAATCTGTTTATAAATAACTCCAAGTTCTGGAGACTCCATACCTTGTCATAGAGAGCCACATAGAGAGAGAAGCCAAAGGTGTCTTGAAGTTTAACCGTCTGTGATAACACTTGACAGACTTCTTTAGACGTTGATGCAGAGTCCACAGGCAAGTTGATAGTTCGCCCATCCATAAGTGTCACAGAGATGGCCATAGGTTTCTTGGTTTTTGTGGCCTATGATTAAAAACAAGTAACATGTGGAAAAATGTCAAGCCAAATATGGATTATGCATTTTAGAGCATGTTTCTTCAGAGTCTTTAGGTCAGTGGTGTCCAGTCTTATCCACAGAGTGACAATATGTGCAGGTTTTCATTCCAGGAGCACACATGATCAATTGTTTGAAGACTGAAAACTAGGTGATATAATGAGTAGAATCAGTTGTGCTCTAACTTATATGGAATGAAAACCTGCAGGAACATGGATCCTTGGGGGTAAGATTGGACAACCCTGTTTTAGATGTTAAACTGCAGGTTTATTATTCAGTTATTATCTGTTTCAGCATGAGGGACATTGTAATGCACTTCCAATGCCTTTATTAAGCCATAACAAACCAGTAGTAGGTAATTAACAGCTACTTGTTACTACATTATTAACTAGTAACTAGGGTAATTAAGCATTTTCAGAGTACCTGTAATCCTTTTATTAAGTTAGTAGTAGTTAGTAATAGTAATTAACTAGTTAGTAATGAACTAGCTGCTTATTAAGCAATAACTGGCATGAAAGAAGCCTTACTGAGACAATAGCTGGTAACAAACCAATAACTATTATGCTTATTAGCTGCTTATTACTACAACTATTACGCTTATTAGCTGCTTATTACTACACTATTAAGCAGTAACTAGAATGAATTAAGCATTTTTCCAGAGCACTACATGCTGCATTAAGCCTGACTACAGTGAATTGAATATTTCTCAGAGCATTTTATTTGTGTATAATATAGTGTCTATGTTACCACTTATGGTTTAAAATGTGTTTTGCTTTACAATGTTCTCATGGAAAATAAGAAATAAAACAAAATAGTCAAAAAGTTCTTTTTGTCCAAAATTGAGAAAAGACCAAGAGTTATTAGTCAGTAACTACTATAAATTATTCAGTAAATACTATGACATTAGTATGCAAGTATGATATGAGAGTGGATATGAAATATGAGAGCAGATATGAGAATTGTGGACCCACGTAAGAGCTTGTGCAGTTAAAGAAATTAATTAAAGCAGAATTGTTGAAACTACGCTCACCTGTAGCTCAAGCCAACTGGGAGGTTCTCCACGCACTCCATTAGCCACAGTGCGCCGCAGCCGTTCTGCGCAGTAGGGCGCATATCCAACAGGGCCAAGACGGATGAAGCTTTGCAGGTACTGCATGAAGGAATTCAGATGTTACTTATCCTTTGAAACCAAACTGATTAAGAAAAGTAGACAGGTGAGGTTAATTTATTCTGCACACTGGAGTTTAACAGTGACAGATATGTAGGACTCACCTTGTTGAAGCGCTCAGTGGGAGGAAAGATGCCCAGACAGAGAGACAGAAGGACCCAGCCACGGAAGAAGCTACTGCGATTGCCATTCTCTTGGAGCTGCTTACAGATCTGACAGTAGATCTCATCCCTGAGAAATGGAAACTCAAGTCTTGGATGTGTATTTATTAGCTAAGCTGTCTGTACTATAACAGTTTATTTTAAGGAACACAGATTGGGGGTTTATTAAGGTCGTGTTATTCTCTAATTAGAGGCTACAAAGCGCTAAACAAATTCAATATGCATCCCATATTGTGTCCCAAAATCACATGACCTGGGACAATTTTAAATTAGTTGCAACCTAATTTAACAACCAATTACAGATAAATTATATTTTCCGTAACACTTTATTTTAAGGGATACACATTGGGAGTTTTTAAGGTTTTGTTCAGTAAAGCCCAAATTAGACCATTCTAAATGGTTTATTCACTTGGCATTAAGCTTTATTTATTATGACCTGTATTAGTGCATAACATGTCTATAATTTGAAACAGTTGTAATAGTGCATTAAAACATGTTAAGACCTTGTTTGGCCAATGAATGAGCACGTTTTCATCTAAATTCACATTTTATTATGTACAATTGGCAAGATTTTATTCCTGTACGTTTTAGATTTTTTTAGATTAGGTAGTGAATACTTGGATGTTTTCCATATTCCATATTCATTAGAGGCTAAAAGTGCCAAATAAGGTTTCAATAAGTCAATCTGTACAACAAATTCAACACTAATTCATAAAAACGCATTGAAAACTATTAATTTAAAATTTAATATGTCTATAATCGGTTGTTAAAATTCCCAGCTTGTATGTTTTTGGGACAAAATATGGGACGTAATTGACTTATTGAAGACTACAGTTAGCTAATAATTAGTCATAAAGAAAACCTTAATATAGTTCTAGCCAGAATTATATTTTCTTTAAATTGATCAGAACTTAGATTTGGCCATGATGAAGTTAAAGAAGTACACTGCAACACTTTGGCTCTAGATAATCAAAATGTTCATAAACTGATAGTCAATCCTAGCTTAGACTTAGTGAATTGTATTCCTCTGTATTATAGGACATGGCTTAGTATATAGTATGTGAGGAGAATAGATCATTAGAGTTTACTTTACACTGTTTGCACATTGATACAACTTGAAGTCGCCCACCTGAGGTCACGTCTGACAATGGCATATCCTACAATGATGTGCAGTTTTTCAAGGGACGTGAGTGGGCGGTCCAGGGTGGGTCCTTCTGCAATCATGATCTCTTCTTCCTCACTAATCGTTTGCACAGTTGGTGGCTTGGAAACCTGAGCATCGTCCTCTGGCTGTTTACAGAGAAATGAAGAAGTTATAACAAAAAATGACCAATCAACCTAAAAATGTCCAAAAAGAAATGATATTCCTGGACAGTTAGTTGCTTTGAATTTAAATGCATTTAATGTATTTGGATTTAAGATAGAGAGAAAGACTTTAAGCACTGTGTATTTAGCGTCAAATTAAAAGACTGTCTCTGTCCTACCTCTTCTTGAATGACTGATGGTTTTCTGGCAGACTTTCTGTTTGACATTCCCTCCTCAGGGACAGTGGAGATCTTTCTGTTCCGGGTCAGTAGATCAGTGAAGGTAGAGGATTTCCTGTTTTTAGGAGTCTCTGATGGTGTGGAGGAAGTTTTCCGGTTGAGGACGACTTCCTCTGGCACGGTTGATGTCTTCCTGCTTCGTGAAAGCAGATCTGTAAATGTCGAGGTCTTTCTGTTCTGTGGAGTCTCCTCTGGAGCTGAAGACTCTTTCCTGCTCCTTCTGTTTCTCAGCACCCTCTAAAATAAAATCATCAATGACACATTTAAAATCTTAAGACAAAACAGATTTCGCAAATCACTATCCTAATCACTATTCAGTTTAAAGTAGATATCTAAAAGGCTTATATAATGGGAAATCATATTTTAATTTGTGTTTTTGAAAAGAAAAAGTATGATGTAGTGGGTTCATGCACTCCACATGTGGAAACTAAGATGTGATATTTCGAATTCATCATAGCTGTGATGTCACAACCATGAACACATTTACATACAGAAGTGATGAGGAGTGTTATTACGGCAGTTAGCCTGTAGCAGAATTATTTCAGCCCTATTTCAACAAGGCAGGGCCACCAATCAGAACAGACATAATATACATAGTGTTAGTGTTAAAGACATAGTAACACACACATCTATGGGATAAAGTGTATTGATTTAAAAGTCAAGTAAGGCAAACACAGATCAAATTTAATAGACAGATACTAAAGAGACATAGAATTGACACTAAGTTAAAGAGATTTTTAGAGTCTAGTTCTTTAGGCTGCTTCAAAGTGGAGTTCAATCATACCTGGTCCAGTCCCACCATATGACTGAGGCGTCTGTCCTGCCTGGAGGCCACATCCTTCTGGAGAGAGCGATCAGCGAATGCTGATCCACCTCTGGGGGCCTGCTGTGGCTTTGGTTCAGGGAGATCTCCCATGAACCTTAGGATGATCCACCACACTGTTAGAGAGGCCTGGAATGAGAAGAAGCAGCTTAATTAAATATTAAACCTTTTAGTTACACAAACAGAGGTCACATTCACATTACAGGACTGAAGTGGCTGAAATCAGACACATATCGGACTTTATGAAAGCAGTCTGAACACAAAGACCTTTTCAAATCAGGTTTGATACTTTCACATGTGGTCCCTAGACTAGACATATATCTGATATGTGGCCCTGAGACCATAAAGGGACAGTTCAGCCAAAATGACCATCCCTACATTTGTCGTAAACATGCTTACTTGCATTCTACAGTCATGCCACAATGGTTTCTAAAGTAAGATTTTCCTGTTTAAAGGCTAGGAAACCCTTCTTCTGATGAGGAGGAACTTTTGAAACACCACAACTTTTTGGTGTCTGTCTGTCTGTCTGTCTATATTTTTTATTTAGCTGGTGAATACACAAGGAGGCCAGATATCTACTAATACTGCTACGAAGCCAAATATATTATTGCAGCTGAATAAATGCAGAGTGTCACTTTAAAATGAGACTACCCTTATAATGGTTTTATTATTGGTTATTGATTAAGTCATAAATACCTTAAAAACACATAAGTAAAATAGGCAACAGTGACTTATTATATCTGATAAAAGTGACAGTTATAATGCAGGCTGATTGAGAAGATAAAGTAAGATAAGCAATCAGCAAAATCTGAGGTTTAACAGTGTAGATGAATGTGGGCTCACTATTTGAAAAGCAACAGGTCATTGCTTTTTATTAATGTTTAATTAATTAACTACTTATTAGCGATTTTTAAGGTCATCGTGACTTAATTTACAGCAATTAATAAATTCATTTTAAACTATTCATAAATCTTTTATAAGGGCAGTCTTATAGTAAAGCTGTACCAAATGTAGTAATGGTCTTCAAATCATCCTGTTGGAGAAAACAAATTATTCAAACAACAGAAATGACTCATCAGATACGGGCAAGCTAAAAGCTAAAGTTAGCAATGTAGCCACCAGGCTATCTAGATATCTTACCTCAGTTTGACTCCTTTTCTCTGGCTCAAAAAACATGTTTTTGGCATTGATTTTGTGCCAAATACAGATTTATTTACCCCCTTGTTGCATCACCTCTTCTTTTAACAACACTCTGAGGAGACCAATTGCTGCAGTTCTGAAAGTGAAATGTTTTCCTGTTCTTGCTTGATGTAGAATTTCAGCTGCTCAAAAGTTCAGGGTCTCCTTTGCCATATTTTTCGTTCATAATGCGTAAAATGTTTTCAATGCAGGCAGGCCAGTTTAGCAGCTGGACTCTTACTACGGAGCCGTACTGATGTAATACATGCAGAATGTAGTTTGACATTGTCTTGCTGAAATAAGCAAGGCCTTCTCTGAAAAAGACGCTGTCTGGATGGCAGCATATGTTGCTCCAAAACCTGTATATATAATTCAGCATTGATGGTGCCTTCACAGATGTGCAAGTCACCCATGCCATGTGCTCTAATGTACTCCATACCATCACAGATGCTGGCTTTTGAACTGTGCGTTGATAACCATAAGCCAGATGGTCCCTCTCCACTTTAGCCCAGAGGACGTGGCGCTCATGATTTCCAAAAAGAATTTTAAATTTTGTGTTTTTCAGAAGTGTTCCTGAGGCTGTGCAGTGATTTCCACTACAGAGTTGTGTTTGTTTTAATGCAGTGCCGTCTGAGGGCCCAAAGACCACGGCCAGCTAATATTGGTTCTCAGGCTTGTCCCTTGAGCACAGAGATTTCTCCGGATTGTCTAAATCTTTTAATGACATTATATATCGTAGATGATGAAATCCCAAGTTCTTTGCTATTTTATGTTGAGAAACGTTTTTCTTGAATTGTTGCACTATTTGCCCGCAGAGTCTTTCACGTAGTGGTGAACCCCTCCTCATCTTTACTTCTGAAACACTTAGCCTCTCTGAGAAGCTCTTTTTATACCCAATCATGTTACTTGACTTGTTGCCAATTAACCACCAGGTGTTTTTTTTCAGCATTACACAACTTTACCAGCCTTTTGTACCAACTTTTTCTGAAATGTGTTGCTGACATCAAATTCAAAATGGATATATATTTTTCAAAGCACAATAAAATTTCTCAGTTTCAACATCTGATATGTTGTCTTTGTACTATTTTAAATTAAATATAGGGTTTAAATAATTTGAACATCATGGCATTCTGTTTTTATTTACATTTATCACAGCATCCCAACTTTTTTATGTCCCAACGGGTTGTACAAGATGTAAACGATAAAGCCAAATTACCAGCACATCACTCTCATCTTCATGGTAGAGCAGAGGTTGTCGTAGTCTCTGGCGGATGTGTGTGGGTGTCGCAGCGCCTTGGAAGTACATAGATGCGAACTTGGAGAACGAATACTCATCCAGATCATCATAGTCTTCTTCTGGAAGTTCTTCCATCATAGGAGCATCATCCAGATCCACTTCCTCCAGTACAGTCCGCTTTCCCTCTAGATCCTAAGAACACATTCAGGTTAGCGTATTATGTCTTAAAACAATACCTGAAAAAGCTAACATGATTAACAATTACTGCAAGCTGGACCACTAATGGAATGATTGAAGGAGTTTATTTCAGACCTCAAAGCCTGCAGGCGCCTGGCCCTCCTGCCCCCCCACCAGGCTGGGCAGAAAGCCAAAGATGGTGTCCACCATTTCCTGATCTGTGATGATCTCTGATTGTTCAGCAGCCTCCCTCTCTTTCTTCTTGCGGAGAACTTCCTCTAGCTTCCTCTGTCTTTCCAGAGCAGCTAGCTCCTCTGCCCTGCGCTCCTGTAGCGACAGAAAAGCCTGCGAACCAGAGACATTTATATCTTAAATATAAGATGGGCAGAGAGCAGAGAAATAAAGCCTTTACAATCCAAGGAACTACATAATTTACAGATTAGTTTCATAGTAGTTACTGATCAACAAGCCTAAAGATTAATAACCACATAATAAGCCTGGAGTGTAAGGGGTTAAAAGCCATGTTAAGCATTGATATGTTGATTCAAACAAGTTAATCAAGCAAGCACCACTGTATCACAGAATCAATAACACCTTTTGTCACATGAAGACTAATTTGTGTTTTAAATATATTTTTGCATGCAGAGGAACTACTTTTGGATCCCTAAAGAACCCTTTAGTGGGTAGTTCTATAATAAAGAACTATATATAATGTAAAGGGTTTAGGAAGAACCTTTAAATTGGTAAAGAACCTTTATATTATGTGGTTATTCAATCCTTAAAAAGGTTCTACACACTCATAAATCTCTTTTTCAAACATGATTCCTTGGGTAACCAGAAGAAGTTAATCTATGGCACCGTGCAAAAAATCTTTGTTTTTTAAGAGCTTCGTGTTTTAATGTAACTATAGGTATAACTTGAAATACATAACATAAAATGACATAAAATTCCTGAAATCTGAAGTACTATTACAATCACCTTCTTTAGTTAAAACACTTTTTGACATTTTGGATAGAACTGAAACAGTGCAGACAGTCACTGAAATAATGCCATTTTTTCAAACAGCTCAAAACACTACATGCATTGTTTAGTTCTTACAGTGCTCAAAAGCAGTCTTGGAAAACTCACAATATATGTATGTTTTTTTCACTCTAAGCTACAGTTAATTCACGACCACCAGAAAAAGTTATATCAACCAGAAAAAAATGACCAGGTTTACTAAGTGAAACACAAAATGATCCCAGTTATGAACTGAAAACTTAAGTGAGGAAAGTAAAAGTTCTCTGTCATTAGAGAAACAAATATCGGTGTCTCATTTTTTAGGTATGTTTGTAATTAGTTATTTATTTAGGATGTCTTGACAGATTAATTAAACCCTTTTTTAAAGTAATCTCCTTAAGAATGTTAATGAAGTTCTGAGCAGCATTTGGAGATTTCTAGTTTGCTATTGCAATTTGATCTATTGTGCTGAATCAAGTATTAAATGATTAATTACAATATGGCTCCGATAATGTACTTTTGAATATAGTAAAGCACAATTTGCATAATATGTTCACAAATTAAATCATTCTAAAAACTAGTGGTGATAGGGGTGTCCCAAGACCTGTGAGCACTGTATTTGCTGTGCAATAGTGAACATCAAGTGAAGCTACTAGCTTTATAACGTACATCTCTCTTGATCTTGTCGACAGCTCTCCGGGCATTCAAGCCTCTGATATGAGCTTGCAGAAGGATGGCAGCGTCTCTCTTGCGCTTCCACTCTTTCCTGGCCAGGTAGCCGTGGATCTGCCTCTGCAGGAGCAGGGTGGCCCTCCGCTCCAGATCATACTGACGGGCTATCTGTCGAGAACGCACTGTGGCCTGAAGACGTGCAAAACCTAACTGGACCTGTGCACAACAGCAGCTAGATCACAATCATTGCAGGAATACTGCCAGCTTGCACACATCCTTCAATTGTAGGCTTACTTAGATGACAATAAAACTATCTAACAGCAATTTAGGGCCAAATAACGTGAAATTGCCCTTCATTGTTCAAATGCTGATAACTCACCACTCTGAAGAGTTTTCTGCCTTTGTGTCCGCGCCAATACTTCTGTACAACCACAGCTGCAGACCTTTGTTTAAGAAACTGTTTCCTGCAATTATAAAGACAGCATGATGACGGTGGGATTAGGCTGGAATCCAGTCATTTTATCGCACTGTGTATTGTTTACCTGTACTTGTATCCTCTCAGGACTTTCTGAATGATAAGTGCTTTCTCATTCAAGGCCTTGTCTCGCTTCAGCTCCAGCATGGTGTCATGGAAATCCTACCACAAGGATCAATGTAAATAACTAAAGTAAAGTAAAATTCAGAAAGAAATCTATAGCACTCTGTCATTATGTGCTATATTACTTTACCTTCAGAAACACTTTGGTTTTGCCAATTTTCCAGTCGTCTTCAGCACTGAACACATTCTTACATATACTTTCACTGCATGCCTTGGCACTCTCCTGACACAAAAAATGAATCATTTCAGCATGGAAGACTGTGATATTATAAACATGGTACATTTGAGCTGTACTATTTCCCATATCAGACACAAAGCAATCCTACACAGCATGTCATAATTCTATATATGAAAGAAGAAGCAATCCTCACCTTTTTTGGGTCGCAAACGGCGGAGTTGAGCAGCACTCGGTAGCGGTCAAGAAACTCCTGGAAGGTGTGGCGGATGGGGTAGCCAGCTTTTCTGATGCGGATGGTCTCCATCATCCCAGAGTAGCGCAGCTGACGCATACACAGCTCCCTGTCAAACAGCTGGATCATAGAAAGAAATGTTTTACTTCCGACTAGATGGGAGAGCTTATAACAGCAAAGTGATTACATTTCTTTAACAGCAAATGGCCTTATTTACATATCACATGAGCAAATCTCTAACTTTGCAAAATTTTGTTATTCAATTGTGATTCTTCAGGGAATGATTTGAGGCATTATGAAATATCAGATTTCCAGGATTTAAATAAATTAAATTAATCTGTCTTAAGAATTAGGAATTATATTAAGGAATCTATTAGCTTTTACTTTATAATTGACTAATCATGAAAGAATTAAGTGTTTAGCTCATTATAATTAATACTGTATATTAAAATGCCCATATTTTTGGTATTGTATTTTTTATCGTGAGCTCCACTTATGGTGTTTATATGGGTTTATGTATCAAAAACAGTCATAATTAATTTTTACATTACCTTTTTCTAACCTCCCTTTATCCTTTATAATTATACGGGCTACTTTGCAACTGTGACTTTAAGACTGATATGTGTAAATGAGCCCTGTTCTAACTGACTGCACTGTATTGTGTCACATTCAAAAAGCAGTCCAGACTGAAACACTCCTTACAGCTTCAGTGTGAATGGGCGGGGCTAAACTGTTGGTTTTCATGACATCACAAAAACAATGAATACAAAATGGACTGTTTTTGCAACTTAGTTTTTATATATGAACTAGAGAGAGAATGGTATGTTTTGAAATTTTAATAATGTTAAAATTCAGTTTTCCATGATTTGGACCCTTTAACAATACTTTATAAGACATGTTTGAGTCATCACTGTACCACTTTACGTATCACAAATTAATTACAAATTATGTAGTTAAGTCATTGATTACCCATTATTGAAATATTAGTTGACCATCCACTAAACATGGGTGGGGGGTGTAAGTATGTATTACATAGTATATACTTAATAGTAACACTAAAGCACTAGTCAATTCTCATGTTACTTTCCCTACATAAGTAAACACACATCAGTTCATTAGCAGTGAAATAAGCAGCAGTTAATACACAGTTAATGAGTAAATTAACAAGGAACTAATGACAAACTAATCTATCAGTTATCAGAGTAATCAATTACTAATTACTGTGTTAGTAATCATTATAATTAGTAACAACTAATGTTAAATAAAGAGTTAATTCAAACATTAATAATGGCCAAATAATAACATAACAACATAACTAGTAATTCATTTGCCACACTTAATGTAAAATCTTATAAAGTAATGCAAATATATTAATTAATGATGAATAACTAAATACATCATAGATAAAGAATAGTTAAACATAATGTAAAAGTTAATACATGTTTTATAAACTAGCTATAATTAAGTGTAATCAAATTATTTTTAGAAAGACAGAATAGTGTGTTATTAAAAATACAGTATGATAGGAACTATTTACACAGTAGTAGAATATAAAAACAATATATCTTTTCGGATTTTAATGTTAAAATGTTATTTTGGCCTAAAACTGCATACTTTATTGAATATTATCATAACTGGTAATAATCAGTTATAATAATACAAAATTGTTGATCACCACTTTTAGACTGATACACTATTATACCTCTAACTTATGAGCCAAAATATGAGCAGATGGAAAGATGGAAGAATGAATTGATTAAAATGAGCGAATTGGATATGTAGATAGCTGGATGGCTGGATGGCTGGATGAATGGAATGATGGATGGTTTTGAAGTTACCATGGGCTTCTTGAAGTCATTAGGTTTGATGCAGCGAATGAAGTAAGGTTGACATGCAGTCAAAGTTTTCATCAGAGCGTCCAGCGACTGCCGAAACTGCCCAGACAAAGTAGGCACTCGCTTTTTAGAGTCTGTCATTTGCTGAAGAGAATCAGAAGTAGGAGAGAATGAACACATTAATGAGTACTTCCCTTCATTGTCATATCCCTCATTCTCATATATCTTATTAACAGCAAGCAAGATCTTCCATATTTCAAACTTACCCGCAAGGAGTTGTTGGGAGTGATGATCATTTTGGAGTTGCCTCTGCTCTTCACCTCATTGACAGAGAGCTCATTGTGGAAGATACTTTTGAGGAGCTTATTGGTTGAGGTTTCCACCAGCTGGATGAGGTCTAAGCTCAGAGCATCTCTGTTCTTTTCCAGGAAACCTTTAAAGAGAGAATTGAATTAAACCCAAGATCTTCCATTTTGCCTTCAAACAGCATGAAAATACACCAAAAATGCTGATTTGTCAATTTACATTTACCTTTGGAGTCATAATAGACTGGTCCCGCAAAATGCTGAATTCCAAACATTGTGTCATGGTTGTTCTTGGGGCCGATGTAGATATTGCTCTTCCCATGCACCTGATCCAGCTTGTTCAGCAAAGTGGTATCTGTGCCCTAATTTTCAAGATATGAAGATTAGATATGTCATGATGAATGGCCCAATACAAATGGTCCACAATTACCTCATTGCATTAACAATGCATTAAAGTTTACTAACATGCAGTAAGGTGAAGAACATGTTTTCCTTCAGGTTTTGTTAACACAATAATAATAATAATAATAATAACATTTGTGTTTATATAGCACTTTTCATTTAGCTACAAAATTTCAAAGTGCTTTACACTAAATAAAATGTTGGACAGATACAATACCATGGTCCAAATGTAATAACAGCACAATTACAGGCAACAGGAGGAAATAAGTCACAATACTGTAGGCATATGCTTGCTTAAAACAAATATGTTTTTGATCTAGATTTAAAAAACATGTACCATGTGCATTAACACAGTCTTCGAAATGCTATTCCAGAATTTAGGAGCTACATAAAAGAAGGATCCTCCACTAACTGAGCTGTAAGTGACCCTAGGTCAGGGGACGGCAACATGTGGCTCTTTTATTGTCCTGTTGTGGCTCCACAGCAGAATTAGATTTTTAGGTAAAAATAAAATAATCCTCTTTTCTTCTTTAAAGCTCTGCTGATCATTGTAACACAGTTTTAACAACAAACGGTCTTAAACACTGAAGTTAATGTAGCCTATATCTGCTAATTCAAGGTTGGTGCTCAGACTGCTGGTCACATAACAACACAGACAAGTCTCACCTAGCTAGTAACTAATGAAAAAGCAAAGAGAAAGATTTAAGACGAACACAGAGAATTTGGAGATGGACTTGTTTGCGTTTATAAGCACTCAGTTGGTTTCCTGATACGTTTAATCTGCAACGAGAAACAGTCAAACACTAAAAATTTGGGAAGCTAAAGTCAGCTTCTCGTTCACCAACTTCTTGTTCCCGTTCCACCTTAAATGGTGCAGCAGTCACATTCTGGTGCCTCAGGCACCATTTAAGGTGAAACGGAAAATTTGAACAAGAAGCTGGCGAATGAGAAGCTGACTTTAGCCTTGTAAGAAATCAAACATTGAGAGACATTTTACAAGAAACTATTCTACTCTTGAGGAAAAGTTTCCTGCCGGAGATGCAAGAAAAGCGTTTATGTTATACTTTTACCCTATAGTAGTACGTAGCACATACTGAGATATATTTACGGCCAAGATTGTAAAAGTGTGGTTTGATTTTTGCTGAAAGGACAAAATCGCTCTTCTTAACATTTGGGTTGCCGACCCCTGCCCTTAGGGTTTGTATTACGTCTCAGCTGAGTGAAACAATCTTTCTGTGCTAAAATGTTTTAACAGATGTACTTAATTCAAGCAATTTCTGCATAACGTGATAACATCAAGTTACATAACAAGTTATTATAGTCTTAACTGCTAGATGCATGTAGGACAGAGACAGTAAAGTACACATCAAATAAAGTACATAACTACCTTGGGGAAGTGACTCTCCTCATCAATAAGTGAGAGGACGTTAAGAGATTTGATGGCCAACACATCCAGAGTGCGCTGGTTATCGCTGTAGTCGATGTGCGTCCATACAATGTTCTCGCGGGTGTACTCCTCCTGTTCCAGCTTGAAGACATGTTTCACAAAAAACTGCTGAAGCTGCTCATTGGCAAAGTTGATGCAGAGCTGCTCAAAGCTGAAATAAAAATCACAAAAAGAATACAGATCATAAACAGTCATTATCAGAAACACAATATCAATGCACAAACACTACCATTCCAAAATTTGGAATCACTTGTCATTTAAAAATTGCTTTTTACTTATACAGCATAGATTGACACATTACAAGCTAGACACACAGTATTTAAAGATTTTTTTAGGAACACCAAGAAGTTATTAAATGATAAATAATATACTGTAATTATCTATTAACAGTATTTTCCAATCAAATCATCAGATTTGATAAGCACTTTTCCAATATGAGACATTCTAGGTGTAAATTTTATTGTAACTTATGTCTCAGTGTTATGTAACTCCCTACAAATTATTTGAAAGCTATAAAGTGGTGGAGTAGTTTGAGCATCATCATGGCATTTTTGTACACGTATCTTCGAAAAATTGGTTTTATATAATTGAAAAAGCCAATTTTTTAATGGTGATTTCAAACTTCTGAATGGTAATGTACAAATAGGGTCAATTATTTTTCTTCACAAACCTGTTATGTTTGAAGTTTTCAAAGCCAAAGATGTCCAGCAAGCCTATTGAGTGGCGGGTGTCATTTGAGTCCTCCGAAGGTGGCTTATAAATGGCACTGTTTATTTTCTCCACAATCCATATGAACAATCTTCCATAGATGGCCTGTGGAAAATTATTTTCCTTAAATTTAGCTCAGCTGGAAAATTCCATTCAAAGGAGATTTTCACAGATTTTTCAAGCTTTTTGCAAAATTAAGTTGTTAAAATATAAACAGTTTGATGTAAAATTCACCACTCTAAGAAACGTACAGTCAAAAATGTTTAATGTGGTGCAATAAAAGATACCTTTTTACTCAAAATGAGTATGAGATATTTGAGATATGGCTTTGGCCAATAAAACGTGGTACAGGTAGTATGTTCTGTGGCAAATTAGTCGCCTTCGAAAACTTAACACTACTTTATCATCAACATTACAAATAAAAACTCAGAAGACACATGTAGGTTCACTGGTGGTTTTGGACAGTAAATAACATGGCTATAGTTGCACTGAAGTCATTGGGACTCCTGGTTCCTATCACCACCACTGTAAAGAAATCTGAGTCAGTACGTGTCTTCATAATGACCCATTTCACATCAAACCATTCTGAATGACTTTGTTTACATCTCAATGACTGAATTAGGAAGGGACTAAGATATTGAGAACTATGTCATGATCTCCTATCTCACCTTCACAAAGGCATTCCTGCCATCAACTGCTTGTTCTGAGGTCAAAGGTTTAGATACAATCTCCCGGTTAGTCATGAAAGACCTCTGAGTCAAACTGACATCCAGAGCCTTCGTATCCACCTGCACAGAGACAGATGAGGCCGTTGAGAAAGATCAAATTCACAACAGGTAGTAGAATACTGTTTAATAAAGTCTTTTAAAGAATTACCTCCAACAGCTGGGAAGCCATGTTGAAATGATTAGAGGAGGGAATATCACAGCCCTCCAAGTTATTGGAAACAGTAGCTAAAGAAGAATTAAAAACAGAAACATGAATATCAGTGCCCTCTATAGCTCACCCCGGATAACCTCAGTTTGTCAAGTTTGGTCTTTAACCACTAAAAGCCTCCTCACCTTCAAAGTTCACATTGCCTAGGTGGAGGATGGCAGCAAGGAGCTTGTGAATTTCCCAGGAGTCATTCTCAGTGAACGTCAGGATCTTCATGGCAGAACGGAAGTGGGCGTATTCTTTTATGTCATCTCGTCCCTCACAGGAAGTGCACTTACCCTGATTTAATGACCACAATATCCAGATAAGCTCTTCTGGCATTATTAAAGCTGGCTTCATATAGCATTTTCTGTGCAGTTGTTTATGAAAACAGGTGATAGTTATGTTTTAGTAACTGAGTGATGATGGGACAGTACCATAACCAGGTAGTTGTACTCAACAGCACTGCCTAGAGACAGGATCTTCTTCTGTTCAGCTGGCATGCCCATCAGCATGTAGTAAAAGATGTGGTAGTTCCTTTCTTCTTGAGCCTGAAACAGTTTTCAAACACTATTTAAAAACCTCATTTATCAGCAACACATTATATTATGTGTCATAACGTATACATTAAACTCAAACAAAGGGTGTAATAATATGCAAATTTCACAAAACGATTCACATTGGCGTTTTGCATCATTGTGCGATGTTTTTCGAAGAAAAGAAATGCTAATAGAACAAAAACATTTATTTTTGGATTTTTGTATATTTATATTTATTATTTGGTAATTCTCAAAACTTTTTTTTGGAATTTCCACTGTCGAAAAAACAAAAGTGTCATATCTAAAAAAACAGTAAATAATGACTGTAAACTATGTGGCAACATTACACAATTAAATAAACTGAGCATTACAAGTTCATTCAGATCTTGTGATTTTAAATAAAGTGTGTCTCTTATCCTCTGCCTGAAAAGAGTGAGAGATTTACTAACATGGCTCAATCACTACCAGCAAACTGAGGAATCCACAATTGAACAGAGGACCACTCTACAACCAAAGAGAGGTGGACTGTACAACTGAATGGAAGTGCACTATATAATCAAATAGAGGTGGATTCTATAACTGAATACAAGTGGACTCTACCACTGAATAGGGGTGGACCCTACAACTGAATAGAGGTGCACTATATAATCAAATAGAGATGGACTCTACAAATGAATAGGGGTGGACTCTACAACTGAACAGGGGGGATATGGTACAACCGAAAAGAAGCAGATGCTATAATCGAATAGAGGTGCAATCTTAAACCAACTAGGGGTGGATGCTGTAACCAAATAGAGGTGGACTCTACAACCAAATAGAAATTGCTAACTTTTTTAACATCCCTACTGAGTGAATTATTTGTTTCACCTGCACAGAATCAGCATTTAGCAGCTGCTAGAATCCTGTAGGGAGAAGTAGCTGCTAAGACTCATGCTTTCTACACAAGGCTGAAGTTGGCTTCCTATTCATAAGCTTTTTATTAAAACTTTCTATTCCACCTTTAAAACCTCTAATAGCTTTAGCTTCAAGTTTTCTTCTCACTCCAGTTACAGACAAACTGCGGGATGTATTCACAAAAGAGTTAGCATATTTGAGTTATTAGCATGAGTATCTGATCCTCGCATTAAGCAATGTTGGCACACTGCCACTGAAGTAGAGGCTAACGAATACAGATATTCAGCTTCCCCGCTGTAACATTAACTATCTGCCTTCTTTCTGCATTAGCTGGCTAGAAGAAGAAATCAACACTTCTCACAGCCTGCTTTTTCTATTATCCCAATGCGGTTGCAGTTTTGCAAAAGTTCCTCCAACCTTCAAGATACATCATCAGAAGGGGTTTTTCTAGTCTTTAAACCAAAAAATCAAGAATTAGGCAAAACAATAAAAATGGACTTAACTGAGCAACACGAAACCGTGTACAGCCTTTTAAACATTCCAGAATTTCATTCATTCATATTTCAGATTTCATTCAGATTTGGTGTCAGTTTGTCATGATGTACCTGTCGACAGACACGAGATTTCTCCAGCAGGTACTGCTCGATGCGGGCTCCTTCTATGGTCCCCCCCTTGCTGAAGTGGATGTCGATGTACTTCCCAAAGCGGCTTGAGTTATCATTTCGAACAGTCTTTGCATTACCAAAGGCTGTGAGCACAGAAATTAAAAGTTGTCTTTATGGCGACAATATGACAGCAAGCCTGGAACTATTAACAGAATTAACTGCTTCAACCAAAAACATCCAGCCAACAGCGTCCTGCGAGCATCGCCCTGTGACCACTGATGAAGAACTAGAAGGTGACTAACACAAACTGTGTTAAAAAGTATGCAGAGCAAGAGATGGACTACAGGCTGGAATTGTAGAATTGCAAAGTGCTCCTGTTTGGTAAGTGGAGCTGATAAAACAGACAAAGAGTGTAGATGCAATGCAGGTGCACTTAATGAAGTGGCCAGTCAGTGTACATTTTAATTCATTTACATGTTTTGTTATACATGCTGGTGCTTTTCAGTTAACTAGTTCATCCTGTAATCTTATAATTAATACATATTTGGTTACTGTGATTGTAGTCTTAGCGATTGGCATATATACCTCTAACAGCTGTAATGTGATATTCAGTCCATGGTGTGATTGATAAACAGTACTACACTATTGTGAAAAAAGCTTGATTGTTCCATTAACTGTATGTAACAGTATGCACTTAAGTATTTGCTATTGGATTCTAGCTAGATTTGTCATGCCTGATTATATCTTTGCATCTACATACATGTACACAATATAGCAAAAGTCAAGGTTTTCAAACAGCTATGGGTGAACATTAGAGCACATATGAGCTGTGTTAGAAATGAGAAAAACGGGTGAGTGAAAACCTACAAATACAGTAATCAAATGTATTTAGAAATACAGTACTGCAATTTTATAGTATTGTATAAGTACTGTAAATAAACAGTAAATTACTGGAGAATTTGCTGTAATTGTATAGATATACACTATCTTTTGTACCTTCCAGTATGGGGTTAGCTTCTAGTATCTGTTGCTCTATCCACGAGCGCTGCCCACTCACTGCTGCCAAAAACTGCAGAATCAGCTTGGTGCTCTCAGTCTTCCCTGCACCAGACTCACCACTGACAAGCAAAAATATATACAAACCACACAAAGAATATGACACACATGAAACACAGCTCTGAAATCTCTTTAATGTTACACAGCATTTAAAATTTTTCCAATCAGTGTACATGTTCAGTTTGAAGTAGTTTATTTGTGCAGCTGAAAAATTCCAAACTGCCCTTTCCACCACATGTAGACAGCACGTTCAATTTGTTATCTTTTGGACGATATCTCGCTGGTCAGCTATTTGGCTTTTAGAGTTGAGGTAACAAACCAGTGCAGCTTGAGAAGAGCATGGCTGTGAAAGGGCCAAGTGACTTCAGACTGTGCACCACTGTATAAATGTGTTTGACTGACCTGATGATGCAGCACTGGTCCTTTCGGTTGCGGCGCATGTTAAAGAAGCAGCTGTCTGCGATGGCAAACACGTGCGGGGGCAGTTCGCCCAGCCGCCGGTCTGTGTACAGCTGCACCTGCTCTGGAGTGTAGATCGGCAGCAGCTGGTATGGGTTCACCGCCACCAGAATGGACCCTGTGTACGTCTGTGTGAGAGAGAGAGAGAGAGAGAGAGAGAGAGAGAGAGAGAGAGAGAGAGAGAGAGAGAGAGAGAGAGAATGAGAACAACAACAACAAAAAGTGTTACCCTCTGACGCACTGTAAAGTCTTTGGAAGCAACAGTAACTTTTTACCTGAAAATTTAAAAAGAACTTTTCCAAGATTTAATGGACAGTAATATGTTTTTAAAAGAGAATAAAAGGGTCTGATTAAATGTCTAAGTGATTCTGAACGAGTTTAGTGATTCTCCTACAGAGTTTTATTGCAGCTCTAATCAGATCAACCTAATTCCCCCATTCAGATGATCCTGAAGCTTTAAAATTATTATTATAAATAGAATCAGATGTGTTAAATGTATGGTTCACTAAAAAAAATTACATTTTTCTCCTTTCCACAAATATAGTCACTCAGCCAATGTGTGTGAAGTTTGCTTCTTTAGTTCTGCAGCTGAGTTATGAGGCTAAAAGTAATCTCCCCACTACTGTGTGTTACACAGACTTCTATTACATTTAGCTACATTAGCCTTGTATCTCCAGAGCAGAACGAAAGAAGCAAAATTTAGGATGACAAGCATGTCTTGGCTGATAAGCTCTGTTTGGAAAAAGGGGAAAGAGTGTATTTAATCAGTCTGTGAGCCACTGCTTAAAACAGAAGAATTAAAAACCAGTTGCAGTGACTGTTACCTTAAAAAGGTGGTGAAGAAGTCTTCTCATAGAATATGTTTAAGGGCCCATATCATGGAAAACAAACTTTCTTTTTTTGTTTGAAATAAAGGAGTTTGATATAGTATGTAAATATTATTAAAGTTTCAAAACATACCAATCGTTCCCAAGTCCATATAACCCACTTATGAAAAGTAAGCGGCCACACCAACTCATTTGAAATGAACTGTTTTTGTGATGTCATGAAAACCATCACATTGACCTATGTCTGTCTGTTCAGCCTAGAGCAGTTTAGCCCTGCCCATTCATACCAATACTACAAGGAGTGTTACAGTCTGAACTATTTTAATAAGGTAGCAGCCAATCAGATCAGAGATCATTTACAACCCCATTTCCAAAAAAGGTTGGGACGCTGTGCAAAATGCAAATGAAAACAAAATACAGTGATGTGCAAATCATTGACCTGTTGCCAATTAACCTTAAGGTGTTTTTTAGCATTACACAACTTTACCAGTCTTTTGTGTTGCTGCCATCAAATACAAAATGGTCATATATTTTTTCAAAACAAAATAAAATTTCTCAGCATTTGATATGTTGTCTTTGTACTATTTTCAAATAAATATAGGGTTTAAATGATTTGCATATCATTGCATTTTGTTTTCATTTACATTTTGCACAGCGTCCCAACTTTTTTGGAAATGGAGTTGTACATACATTACTCTTAGAGGGACAGAAAAAACCTAATGTTTAAACAGGTTGGGAAATGGTCATGTAAAATGAATTATGACTGATACATAAAGCCATTTCAGGGTCGAAAAATAAATACAAGAAAAATGTAGGATACGGGCCCTTTAAAGTAAGAGCATGTCAAATGTAAATGAATTGAACATTGTTCTTTGCTCAATGCCAATAAACGTGTTAAGTTGGTTACCAACAATTTGGCTTTAATTTCAAAATAATTTTGAAACTTTACAAATAATAACTGCTTGATTGATTGATTTCATTTAACTAAAAGCATTATTCACATCTTTAAAAGGGTCATATGATGGTACGAAAACAGACAAAAATAACACAAAAAAGCATGAAGCTTATTTGTTTTGCAAAAACCAGAAAGCTCATTTCCATTGTCCTTGCTTGTGTATTTGTAGCCTCTACTGCACAGTTTCTCCTATGACTTTTATGTTACATCCCACCTATTAGCATACATTACAAGTCAAGGTGCAAAACGTTTACTGTAATTCTGCCAAAGTGTGTTTAACAAGGTGTAGTTGCAAAAAAATTGACTTTATAGAAGGAAATTTGACTGTTGGCTGTGTACAGAGAGACGCACCACAGCGCTCTGACATTACCACAGACCAATTCTGTCATCAGACAGAGGCCTATTCGTTCCTATGGAGACAAACAATCCAACCATTAACCACAGAGGGCAAAGTCTGAAACAAGCAGGCAGCTGACCCCACACAGACTGATACTTCATTTCAGTCAACTCTCAAATTCAGTCTGTGCACACTGGGCTCAATTAAAATCCTTGTTTGTTCATCTGTGGAGAATAAACAACTCATCTGTAACTGGCTTTACTGAATCTGGCTTTGTGTGACTCACATAGATGATGCCCTCTCTGTGGCGAACCAGAAGGTTCCTCAGCAGGCCAGCCTCATTTAGGTCCCCGAGCCGAATCATATCATCCACGCCGTTAACAGAGGTGGGATGCATGGGCTTCAGAGAGGCATCTTTCTTGATCTTGTGCTCCTGAGAGTTACATCCATATAGACAAGATTCAGATTCACCATACATCAACAGACAGACAGACAGACAGACAGACATGCTGAGTGATAGGGTCTGAATGGTTGTTGTTACCTTTCCCTCATCATCTATGAGCTGGAGCTGGCCTGATTCTGAGAGTCTAACCTCGGCACCGATTGGCACACCAGTGCTGGAGTCCACCCACACATAATCCCCCTGAAAACATCAAGGAAAATTTCAGCATTCAAACATTGTTGCTGTCCAAAAAAATCTCTTTTTTATTTTTCTACATCATTTGAGTAAATCATTTGAGTAAAGCACCTGCCCTTTATGTGTTTATGTGATTATATTATGGGTTTCATGATGAATGGACAAACAGAAAGGCTCCAAAATAAAATGTTTATATTAACTTACATTTAAAGTTAAGAACATTTTGCCCTCTCCTGTAAACTTACCATTTTGGAAATACTATTTTTTTGGACAGTGATGATATCCTTCCAGTAAGAGCAGGCAAAAAGATTTATATAAATTACATTGAAAACTGGCAAAGATATTGTTTGGTTATAGAAATATGCAATAAAAAAACTGAACTAGGATGCAGGACCCGGCCATTTAAAGGGGAATTCCTCCACTATTTCAGAATTTCAGTATAATTAAATTGTTAAGACGTAAACAAAGTCATTCAGAGTTTGATGTGAAAGCTGTTTTAGAGACGCTCAAGTCAGAACTGTGACAATTTCCCAGGTCCAGATAAAGTGTAAATCTAGACTAAAATTGATTTTCAGTTGTGAATCAACACTGGCATTGCAATTTAGTCCAAGACTATGCTTAATCTATATCCAGGAAACCAACCTTTAACCTTTAAACAAACAAACAAACAAACAACAGATATGATAAGGCTTTCACAACTACTTACCTTTCTCAGGACCACCATGACTGAGTCCTTCCTTCCCCCAGTCTAACGCACAAAGTACAATGACAAACTTCAGGCCTTTGAATATGGACAGATCAACAGATCAGATTTTAAAGTACATTTTATCTGTACTATTTCATAGAAAAGCAGGCATAAAGCATCCCAACTGACACATTGCTTAGAACCTGTGTAATATGACAGGCTTGTGAAGTATACATAGAATTATATATTTCATTACACAGCAAATGTGTTCACTGAGCTCACATCATCAATACCTCAACTGCCGCATATAACCAGAACTGAATAAAGCATGAAAACAATCTAATTTTCAAATTTAAGGATTAGAAGTCCAAATAATTGGTACTCAGCAAAAGCAGGGCAGGGAACTTTAGTCCACACTTACTTCCTCATAATCTTTTCTATAAGCCTCCAATTTACCAATTTCAAGCCAAAATGGCACAAAAAGGCACCTTTACCTGTGTTTACTGACAGATTTTCAGAGGGGAAAAAGAAGTACAAGCCTCAGGCCCTCTCTGTGTTATAGCCGTCCACCCGGCCTAGTCCCAGTGAGTTTCAAATCAAATGGTGGGCTTGGGTGTTTCCCTTCATGCAGTAGCTGTTTATGGCTCTTTGACTTTGGTCTCTGCAAATACAACCTCCAGTCATAATGACAGCAATGGATACCAAGGACACACACTCATCTCCATTATATCACTGCAGAACATAAAGGTCTCACACACAAAGAACCGTCTTTAGCGAAGAGAGAGTTTGTAAAACCACCATGTTGTTTCAATATTGTGAAGTGTGTCTTCTTGTCTGACAGTATTCATTATACGTAATTACAGGAAACAGAGATTAAGATACAGATGCCATGATCTGGAAGGAAGCTGAACTTTTGTACTCATACTTTAGAGCGAGAGCACACGCTCTGGTTGGGTCACGGTGGGGTAATCAAGCTGTAAATGACACAGCACACACCTCATATGGCAGAGGTAAACTGAGGGTGGATTCATGCCGGGAAATCGTTTTCCACTGATAATGCTCTTCACAAAAAAAGAAAGACAGCAAATCAAACTTCACGCCAACATACACCAGTAAAAGAGATGTGAAAAGGGAGGTCTGTCTTAAAATGACTCCAAAATCAGGAAGTGAAAAAACAAACTGCTGAAACGTGTAGATCTTACATTTTACACGAGTTGTACCAACAGATCCAGGTGAATTATTCAAACACAATGCAAATTTCTCCATAATTAAACTGCTGAGATGTAAACAAAGTCCTTCAGAGTGGTTTGATGTGAACCAATCAATGAGCAGCAAAATCACCAAACTGTGCAGAACTCCTCCCCTCAGCTACATACCACATACATTTCTGTGTTTGTTTCAACATACCCAACTCAGCTTTTAGAGGGCTTCATAACAGCCTGACAAGTTGAACCATATGTGAGTGGACTGGGAGAACACAAATACACAGGGTCCCCAAGACTGGAATTAAAAACCACCATAATACAGGCATTAAGGACAATGAGGGAAAATACAAGAGACAGATGCAAAAATAATGCTTTACAGCTTCTCCATTAAGGTCTACACTGCAGTGGTCAGGATCTCTGTTAAACTGTCCTGTGTTCCTTATTAAATTAATAAAATGTTTTTCAATATAAATTATAACATCAGCATACAAGAAAAGTATCATTTTTTAAATTTTTTACATGAATTTCAGAATTTCTTAAAATTTGGTATCTCTGTCTTTTGCTTTAGAAGGAAATTTTCACAGATTTCTGCACAATACAGTGGTTGAGATAAATAAAGATAAATAAATAAAGTTATAAAGCATAGTTTGATGTAAAATGGCTCATTGTAGAGAAACGTACCCATTTGAATTTCTTTACTGGTGGTGACAGGAATCAAGGGTTGTGATGTCTACTGAATATAGCCATTTTATTTATTATCCTCCAGACACACTATATGTGTCTTCTGAATTTATATATGAAATGCTATTAATGATAAAATAGTACTAAATCTGAAGAAATACGTTTTCTTTGGGCACTATTTTAGCTTAGAACACCCTGCATATACCTATCCACCCAGAATGGATTTTAAAAATTCATTATAGACTAAAAGCTTATATCAAAACTATCGTAAAACGATGTCTCAGGCATCAGGTGTTCATAACCATTTCATCTAATAACAATCACTGTGAACTACTCTGACTCGGTAAGTTGCTATAGAAAGAAGCATTTCACATCAAACCAAAAATCAGTGGAATCCCCCTTTAAAAACCGCGTGGCATCAATTCTATACATTTGTGCAAAAGCCTATGATGAGTAGACACACCCAACTGAGAGTTGTCTGAACATATGCTTCAACGGAAGGGATATAAAAAATAAATAAATAAATAAAATCTGACCTTTTTTGACAAACTTGCTTAAAGTTGAACAGTGACAGAAACAGTTTAGAACTTTTTTTTCAAGATTCTATAGAATTAAATGGAAAAAAAAGGTGGTCTCAAACCTGGACCCCACTGTCTAACGTCAAAAATGGTAGACAAATAACAATGATGTGAATTAAAGGTGCTTCATTATTGTGTTTCTGCAGACCTGCAGGATCACTGGAAGACCGTCTATCTGCTGTATCAAACTGACCTAGCTGAGGTGTGGCAGAAGAGCCTGCCGTTTGATGAGGTTTCCTCAACACAAAGTCTTTTATAGCACTGCACACAAAACCATAAAGGCACAAATACACAAGAAAACCCAAAACAAAACAAAACAAAAACAAAAACACATATTATATTGAGCTCGATGTTACTTTGCTCAGTTCATACCAGAACAGTTTCTTTACACTCAGGATGCAGCCAAAGGTGGTGGGGAGGTGGTTGGGCTTTGACATCTACAAATGTTTTATAATTGTCATAACTGTTTAAGGGCTCTTACGTCAATACAGTTTCATTTACTTCCTAACAACTCACTGTTATCTTACAAGCACTGGCATAAGCTCTTCAAAAATACTCAAGCATTGCCCTATAAATACATTATCCAATGCTTATGCATGTGTTATGAAGGCCTTATGTAGGCAGCCTTCAGTTAAAGTGTTATTACAGTGAATATTTTTGGAACCATCCTTTTACCACCCTAAGAGCAAGAGACTACTTTTAGTTATTTTTAAGTTATGTAGTTCTCTGTAAAGCAACCTTTTCCTGTACACGTAGTTTTCTGTAAAGCAAATCAGGGTTTGAGAAAGGTGCTATATAAATAAAATTTAATTAAATGAAACAATCTGCTCCTTATAGAGACAAATCAAGTCCATTACAAATGCCAGCCCCCCTATGCTGTACCTGCTCCCCACTCCTGTGGGCATTCTGGGCCACCTTTTCCAACTACTGCATCTCCAGAGCTCAATACAGGTACCAGTCGGGTTCTTTTCTGCTATCATCTGAAAGGAAAAACCTGATAAACGGACCCCATTTAAAACATTTCCAGATTGCACACACAAAAAAACAGAACTCATTCTATTTACTAATGCAGGATCAAGGTGTGGCTCTCTGACTCCCTTATTAAGTGAGTATACTGCTGGGGAGATTGTTGGAAGGTAGCATAAAGATAAAAGGGGCAAAAACCTGTGTCATTTTACATTTGCAACAAAGCTGTTTTCTAAAATCAAGTGCAAAAAGCAGACAAGCGTAGAGTCAAACTCCACATCAAATGATGCATCTATTTGGCAAATCTACAGCGTAAAAAAACTACACGCTCCACATATAGTATAGTTTTCTTTTACTGCAATAGCACATAATAGTATACAGAAAAAACGAAAAGAAAAAAAAACAAATGTACAAAAGAGTCAAAATTATTCCTTAAACCCAGTTTACCACAACATTCACTTACAATCAACCTGTAAAAGAAGAGCCACGTTAACAGGGCACAAAAATGGTCTCGGAGAACACAAAAAAGGACTTACGGTCAACACCAAGTCAATCGCATTTACACAACAATCTTATTCTGAGGCTGAAAGGTAAAACAATCCACATTCTCATTACACAATTATATTGTTCTCTTTCAAGTACAAACTCAACCTCCTTATGTATCACCACCAGCTGTTCTCCAGCGCATCCGATTACTATCAGCTTACTAAGTGAAGAGAAAAAAAAATGTACAGAACGGATGTTTGCAGGGCTACAGTTTACCACTAAATTTAAAATCTGGGCTGAAAATTTGGGGATATTTTCCCAAACAGACCTTAAACTCGTTTGCTTCTTCAAGAGTGTTAAATGCAAACACACAAATTCCACAGTTACACTCATGACAGAAGGCACTGAAACTTGGACAGTATACACACTGTTGTAGCGTGTTTGTGTGCTGCATACCAAGATTCATACCCGCACATACTTTTCTTCAGTTGGCTTGTCACATTTTAAAGTGAAAAGTACAGTCTTGGACTCCAGTGATTTTCATTTTGTGACATGATGGATCAACAAATACGAGTGTGTGAGACTTCGTCCACTATGGCAAATGCTACTCCACTACAACTACAAAATGAAAATGTAAGGCAACTTAACACCTTAAAATCCAAACTAAAAGGGAGAAAAAAAAAGAACCAAAAACATGAGCCGGACTAACTGGGCTGTTTAATACCCACGTAAGCAGACATTAGTCTTCAGTAAGCAGCAGTTCCTGTGGGTAAGCAGTTTCTGTGAGTTCAGTTTGTGGTCTTAGGGGGGCAAAGTGTTTAGAACCTCCTTCTCTGCTCAAAAGAATATAAATGAGGTGACAGACTGGGTGATTGTGCACAGCAACCTGAAAAAAACATGACTGGTCCAAATGCCAGACCAAATATTTCCGTTTGACCTTACTGGTGCATAAACAGAGAGAGAAAGAAAAGAAGCAGGAGAGAGCTCCTGTCACATCTAGGTCCGCTCTTTGCGCTTTAACTTGGAGCTCTTCTTGGCAGTGCCATTCTTGTTGAGCAGCTTGAGAACTCTGTCTTTATGGTCCAGCACTTTCATCATAGTGTCCCTCGCCTCTGTCACCTGATCCATCACCAGTTTGCAGCGCTGCATGTTACCCTGGACAATACACCAAAAGAGAGAGATGGGAGAAATGATGAGGCTTATTAAACTGTCTCTTTAACTCCATGAACTTCAAGCTTATGAAGTGTTGACATAATGACTCACAAGAAGGACAGCAACAATTAGTTGACAAAGTCAATTCATTGTCAGCGACACTATGGCAAAAGTCATGCTCTATAATGGTTTCGTAATTCCAATAGATCACAATAAGCTAAAGAAAGCACAGGGAGCGACAGGGACAGAAATCTGTTTTGTTGCTCCATAAAAGAAGAAACAATTGGAATTGGACAGAATCAATTCCTCCCAACATACGATTGCCAAATGAACGATGTATGTAATTTTTTTTCAGTTTATCAGTCTTTTCAGTCATTGTTACTTTGGTTGATAACACATTGTTGGAATTAAAGATGGCATTTTAAATATACTTGCTATTGTAATATCTGAATTTTTAAAGAGTTTAAGAGATTTTTGTCATATAATCATGACGGAATATCATTTGAATTAATATTTCATAAATGGTAGTATCGCATATCATTCACTTCGCAAGCAGCTTTTTTCTGTCGCTATTTCCATTAGCATCAAGCTAACAGAGATAATTTCTTAAAACAGATTTATTATTTAAAGTGCTTAAGATGCATATGTATAATACTCTTTACCTCATGTTGCAGTTACCATAAATAAAGCCCTTTCGGCCTACTTGGCTCTGTAAAAATCATAATCGGCCATAAAAATTTATGATCAGAACATCATATCCCTACGTAATGGTTTGATCAGGGGAGTACTAGTCGATCGATTAAACAGAAATAAGCAGTACTACAGCCCTACCTACAAGTGCCTAATCATTAAAAAGATTAAAAAAAAAGAATTTTGTGTTCTCCAGAAATAAATGAACGATCAAGCTAATTTCTACAAGCTACTTAATGTTCTAGAATTGTCATTTTCCAACTGATATTTTAGGTCAAATCGAGAATCACTAACAAAACTGCATACCAGCCTTTGAAAATTTCATCTACGAGACACCTGATCTCATCGTTATAAACAAAAATCTGAGCCAAATTGTGCAAATACAAATCAATACAGTGGAAAAAAGGAAAATTCAATGCAAACATGACAATCCTTTTCCACAGTGACATGCAGAATACATGCTAAAATGAAAAACAAAACCTTTGTTACATAGTTTTCACTTTGTTTTACCTCTTTCTTCTCCATACATCTTTAAATGAAACATGAAAAGGAAGTTTTATTTTTGGCTATGAGAGCTAATATTAAACTGCTAAGCAGAGCAGAACCAAACAGCAGTTTTTGAGGAGCACTGCAATGCCTCTCAAACATACCTGAATTAGTTCATTGATACGGTGCAGGTCATCATCAGCTCCTGCTCTTTTCTTTGGGATGAGCCCTTCCTGCAGAGTGGTGAGGCGACTGTACACATCATGCTCCAGATTGGTCTACAATGACAAAGGAACACAAAGGGGTAAATATCAACAAACATACGAACGGAAAAAATATGAGTAAAATTCACATTAATCTGACTGCTTCCCAAAACTGCATTTAATTCTGGACCTTTGCCGTAGGACTCAGACACTGGCTCTGTGCAGTACAGGGATCACTAAGCAAGCAGGATTAGATGTAGCACTTACCAACTGCATGAGCTGGGCAGCACACAGATGCACCTTCCAGCCCTGAGCACGACACGCAACTCCTCTCTGACTGGCCACATCTTGGAGAGAATTCTTCTTCTCCTCTGAAAAAAGAACAATAAAAGGTGACATTGAAGCCAAAAACCATACCAGCAAAAATCCATAATGAAGTGCTCTATGAACAAATAGTGCATAAGCAAGGTTGGTCCAGTATGGCGGGTCAAAAATATAGTGAGATCAAAAAACATTTTGCAGCCTCTGGTTGCATCACTCAATTTTTCTTTCTTTCTTTTAAACAAATGACAATTAAAACCCAACAGAATGGTACACTATTCTACTTTAAATAAAAATTGTTGTAAAGATATATTTCAATACAAAGTTAAATGGTGGCTTTATAACCAGTCACCATACTGTCATTTTCAACAACCAAAACCTGCCAAAAGAAATACTTCACAACCAAAGAAATACCTAATGGACAGGAAATCACAACAAATATAAACCTGAGGACTACAAAAATCACTAGGGAGCTAGCAATGTGAATTCCACTAAATTAACAGAAAGTCAGCTTCGCTGAATTATGAGTTGATTTCACTGAATTGATAGAAAGTCAATTGTGAGAAAAAACCTACTGCTTTATCAGATAGATATTATGATACGGAGGGAGCGGGAAACAAAATGTTTGAATTAAATTCATAAGTTGTCACATCATTTTAACTGAACTCTGCATAAACATTCTCAAACGACTTCATGACAGCTTCACTAAGGAAAGGCCTCCTTAGCAATGCAGAGCATCCTGTTGAGGTCTCAGCATTTACAGCCTCAAATTCTCAATGGAAGGGAAGCTCAAAGTCTCTCTATTACACTGGAAACTGTCTATTAATGCAGTGATAGACGAGAGTGATGAAATAGCTGGTGTGTTTTATGATCCATCTAGGCAGCTTGCCAACAGGATGAAATTGTCAAAATAACATTACTGATGTTAACTGATACTGACACTGTGTCAAGAGAAGAGAAACAGGGCAGTACAATGAATATAAACTGTAACACTTAAAAAAAACCTTTTTCCTCTAAAGATTCCACAGGCCACATAAGAATGTGACACTCAGTTTCAACCGCATTACACAAAATCAGCTGTTTGCTGATACTAAAGCTAATGAAAACATGAAAACATCTGTTTTGTTAAAATCACTGATACTGTGACACTGAAAACAAACAGCAAAAATATTAGTTAAGTGACACAGCAGAAGCACTAACCTTTGACTCTAATGTCGCTGTACCTCTGGAAATGATGGTAGGCAGCTTTCCATGGGTTCCGATAGTGGCGTAGGAGTGTGATGGGTGGTCTTGGGCGAACTGGCACATAGCGCACACCCTCTTCATCTGGAGGACACATTAAAAATACACAGTCAATTTCTTTAACTCTACATATACTACTATACTAATAAGTAAAAAGAACCAAAGCAATTGAAGCAACAGTTAGGGTGGACGATTTCCAAGCCAAATTCTTTATAGCTGGATAAAGACAATCTTTTAAAAAAATAAATGAATAAATATATAAAAATAAAGAATTAGGGATGCATCGATACCAATGCTGGTATCGAGTATTGGCCCAAGTGTACGCTGCTGCACTAATGAACAAACCACTCAAACTGGCAGTGATCTAGGGTATGCACGCACACTAAAGTGTTGCTGACGTTGTGGCAGTCGGACACAAAGTCGTTGGTCATTTTAAACATTCCGCTTTTGTATACTTCCTCAATATGGGTGGAGACACACAGGCTATAGGCAGAAAAAGTAAAAAATTGAGCAACCAAAGTCTGTATATGCCTACTTTACTCTATCTGACTGAAAAGAATGGAGGAGGTATAAACATTAATACAGTGATTGTTTTTAAAAGTGTGTTTGTAATAGGCTGTAGAGAGATCGTACTGTCCTAAAGTATTTCTCAGTTTGCAAACTGCACAGGTTGTTATTTTTGAATGAAACAGCTTTACTGGAAATTGTTCACAGACAGAGCTGCCTATAGAGGCTGTGCTTCACGTAGCATGGACCGAGCGATTTCGTAGAGCATGAGCATATAAATCACACGTACACTGTCTACTCAAACGTACAGTATGACCTGTCACCAAAGAACAAGATATCTAAAATTGCAGAGTGTATGCCCTGCTTTAGAAGACATTTAACTACAGCTCAACCAGCCATCCAGCCAAAAAGACTTCAGCAAGATGTAAAACTCCATGAGCTCCCCAGATGTGATTCCTGCTGTAACTGTGCTACAGAGACTGTTGAACGAGACAGATGAGGAGCACAGTACCCATGAAATGTACTTACAGCTGTATAAAAGTCCCTTTTTGACAAGGAACAAAGCCCACTTTTCTCCACTGCAATGCTCCTGGATCCAAGGCAATTAATGCAACATAGCAAGCTAATACACTTTTATTAAAATAAGCTAAATCTTAATGATTTATAGGTTACTATACAACAGTTCGTTCCAGCCATGCAAGCCGATAGGTTGAGAAGCGTTCTAACCATGCTGTTATGGCAAAATAATGCTGATTTTTTGGACAAACACTGTATGACTCCTAAGCAACGACTTTAGAGACCCTTAAGCCATTTGAACGTTTTTACTTCTTACTTTGCACACAAATAGAAAATTTCATTTAAGAAAATTTAAAATTACATTTGACCAACAGCCGATTTGGTCAGACTCTGAAGATGAGACTACACTAAATTCTGAAACTGTCAGTTGGTCTGTGAAAGGAGATGGAGAACGAGCTGTAGGCTGTGCAGCTGGTAGGGGTGGGGGAAAAAAAATCGATTCTAAGACGCATCACGATGTGGACGTGAACGATTCTGAATCGATTCACAAATGTCAAAAAACGATTTTCTAAATATTTAATTTATAACGTAATGTTGATGGAACGCAAAAAGCCGAACTTGGAAGCGCGGAAGTACAGCGCCCGGACAGTCTGTGGCGGTACATAACAAAAACACTACTGGATGAGCGAGAAATCCGACCGGCTCCCTCTGCATTAAAAGCTAGGTTAGGTCAGGAGTCGACAACCCAAATGTTAAGAAGAGCCATTTTGTCCTTTCAAAAAAAATTGCGATGTTTTAGTGTTTGACAGTCTCTCGTTGCAGATTTAACGTACCAGGAAACCAACTGCAGTGCTTATAAATGCAAATAAGTCCATTCATCTCCAAATGTTCGTCTTAAATCTCTCTCTTTGCCTTTTCATTAGCTACTAGCTAGGCGAGATTGCTGTGTGACCTGCAGTCTGCACGAAAGCCTTCAGGGTTATAGGGTGGTGAATTAGCAGTGTTTAAGACCATTTATTGTTAAAACAGTGTTAGGACGATCAGCAGAGCTTCATTTTGCTGCAAAATGGGGATCATTTTATTTTTTATCAGGACAGTTAAAGAGCTGTATGTGGGCCCCGAACTAGCGTATGGAAGCACTTTGGCACTTTTTTGAAGTTGAAGGGGAAAAAGGACCTGCACAAGAGCCATACTATATGCAAGTTGGGTCACACTAAAATATTTTGGAAACAACAAATATGAGAAACCATATTACATGTTTCCACCCTTTTTCCGTCCAGTTGTACTTGAAGCCAACCAGAGGACAATCAAGCAAGCGATGTTAAAACTTCCACCCAATTCAGAAGCGAATTACAAACTCTATCGCAACCTTTATTGTCAGGGATTTGCGTCCGTTCTCGGTCGTTGAAAACCAGAGCTTTCGCGCTATGTTGCACACTTTGGAGCCGAGATAAAGCGTCTTGTCTCCAAGATATTTTACTGACAAAGCACCCCCCCCACTCTCTACAACGGGACCAAAACCGAATTTATGAAATCACTGAAGAAAACGGGAAGAACACCTGTAACGTGCTGCGTGGACATCCATTGCCACAGAATCTTATTTAACCGTAACTGCGCATTTTATCACAGATGAGTGGCAGTGAACGAGAGTCTTCCGGTTCACTTACCACATCACTTCCATTTGTTTTATTAATAAAAGATATTGGAAGTAAATTCATTGTGGATCATTACAAATACTTTGCTTTAAAACTACCAAGTCGTCAGACAGTGAGAAAAAAAATCCTGTATACAAAAAAAGATGCATCAAGATGCATCGATAATCGTTTTATAATCGCATCACAGCCCTCTGAATCGTAATCGAATTGTGAGGTGCCTAGAGAGTCCCACTCCTAGCAGCGAGTGAACGGAGTTCATTACTCTGATGTAGCAACAAGCTGCTTGTTAAAAGAACTATAATTTGGAGGAAGGAACGGCTAACATTAAAACATTAAATGCCACGTTCATGGCCTAATTTATTTATTTATTACTTCATTTATTTAACTGTTGTATAAGAGCAACAGAACACTCAAGGTCGTGTGTTATCGCAAATCACAGCCGTGATGTTATTTTGTGATAACACACAGGGAGTGTTCTATTGCTTAAGGGTACACTGCACTCATTTACACTAATAACTACTTCAAAATAAGTAGGCAACTCTTTATGCATCATATAGGCGTACAAACAAGTATTTGCACTCGGTCTGAAAAAACTGGTATCGATGCATTACATATATTAGATAAGTAACATTTAAAAAAAGAAATAAGGGCAATGCTGCTTGAAAAACAATGTTTACAAGAGTTAGCTGGCTAACTCTTGCCAGCTATGAAAAGAACAGGTAGCCATAATTTTAAACAAACAAACGAGAAACGAGTGGCTTTTCCCATCGTTGACAGGGCACTTACCCACATATTCCCTGGGAGGTGACTCTTGTCTTTCTGCCTTGTTGCCAGTGGGTCTGCCGCTGGCCCTCTCCTCATCCGTGCTGTTTGTCTCCATCATCTCACTCTCCTCTGTGGAGATAACATGCTGCTGCTTGCGGGGCTTCTTCCGTGGGGAGGCCCCGGGCAGGAGGTCCCCAGGCTGAGGGGGCACAGTGAGGCCCGAGGCCTGGGAGGAGAAACCTGAAGCTGGGGCAGTTGATGAGGGGATGGAGAGTGCTGCAAAACAAGAAGCACAGAGGTTTTACAAACGCAGAAACATTATTGTGAAATACTGTGAGTCAGGTGATAGTTATGTACTTGGTTAACCGTTTGAGGTCCCAGTACTTCAATACTGAAATCACTATTCAGGTATTCAGTACATCTGATTATGTGGAGGCAGAGAAAATACACAGGCCAACAACTCAATGAAAAACAGTGAAATCGTACAATTTTTTTTTCTAACAGAACTGTAAGTAAAGTGAATTTTTTGCAAATATTTTCAAGCAAGCATGTTATTTAACACTAACACTTCTAAGCCCTTACTGTTGGCTTATTGCCAAGGACGTGAGTGGGAAGGCAGACATATCGCAAAATAGGTTAGGCTGATGTTAACATCAGGTCTAGAAACAGTTAAAATATATTTCTTTGACAAACTAACGCAATGGTACATCATTCACTAAAGAGGAAGAAACCCAAAGAAGACGTGAGTCTCCGTCAGTGTGGTGGAGTGATTAGCTGTAGTTTTAGCTTCTGAGGCAGTCTTTGTTATGTTTCTCATCCAACATGAAACCCTACTGATTTCCCTTGGCAATTTTTGAATAATAAAACATATTTTGAAATGTATGCCTCTCCGGGATCCCACATTTTTGTGCAACACCAGTTCTGCCACAGCTGTAAACATGGCTAGGCAATATAGCAATTATTATCTTTATTGTGATAAATTTCATCACAGTATGTCACAATATGCTTCTATGAATATATTATGGATATGGTCAGTACCTAAAACACTGATGTTTGAATACAAATAGAGCATAATTAGACCTGTTTAACTGGATTTTGTGCAGTGCAGTACGTAAATGGTGAATATGAATCACTGGATTCACAGGTTTTGGTCTTTTAAACCAGGCAGTTCTTTGTCCATCCCAATTTATCAGATGTCAAAAAAATTATTTGTGACTGTGTATTATGAAATTATTTCATTATGACCTTACATTTACGTCATACTGCCCAGCTGTACATTATTTTCAAAAGAAATCTGTTTTTTTCCTTTTTAACCTGGTAAGTGTTTATGAATTATTATGGATACTCAAATATCAATGTCAGTCGAAAGGTAAGCGCACCATTTGACGGCTACTGCTACACCGAAATTTCAGAGCATAATTATGCATAACTCATTGTGCTAAATAACCAGACTTTATGATCCTTCATTTGTGTAATTAAAATTCCAGTTTGGCCCATTAAAGATTAAAAATGTTACTTATATTGCAATTGTGGTGAGCAGTAAACATATTAATAGAAATTGTGTAAACAACAACAACAACAACAACAACAACATCTATCAGAACCATGTGGCATTTTCAGCATTCAAACAAAAGAAAAACTATCCACCTGGCTGCGATGTTTCCATAGACTCCGCCTCCTGCTTGACTTTGACTTCCGAGAGAGCGGAGCTAAGGGCTGCTGTGCTACTGGCTGCTGGCTGAGTAGGGGATGCGACAGCATTGGCCATTGAGGCAGGCACAGGAGGAGTGACAGCCATGGCTGCAGGCAGGGCAGACAGAACTGCAGCTGGCTGGGAAGGGGGCGGTGGAACAGGGGCCAGCAGAGTGGGAATGGCCTGCGATAAGTGCTGGGCAGGAGTTGGTAAGGGCTGCTGCTCGCCTCCATGAGTGGGCAGTGCCTCCACCGCAGCCATCACAGGAGGCGTCATGGCGACATGGACATCAGATTTAGGCTTCACTCTAAGCAAACAGAAAAACATAAGATGCATTAAACTGTGTATTTCCTCATTTTACCAAAGAGAACATCAGTCATAGGCTGTAAAAGCCTTATGCAGATGAGGACAGTGACTCCTGGGATAACAAATTAGTCCTAGTTGCATTCTCCTTTGGTATTATTCCAAATAAAGGAGCATCAGCCAGGGCTTACCCTGCTGGTCGTGGGGATCCCGCCAGTCTTACGCCACTATCCACTCTCCCAGAATTAGGCTCGTTCGGCTGCGCTGGGATGAGACTTTTACGCACAGCCCTAGAAATACACCCCAAAACCAGACTCAAGCACAGCCCCAGAAATTCACCCCAAAAACCACACACTGGTCTAGTTTATTATCTTGCTCTCCTCTTGCAGAAGGGGGATATCTTCTTAAAGGACAGGGGCATGCACTTGTTTGTATAACCACATCATCTGGCTCACCCATGCAGCTTTCTAAAGAGATCTGATACTCACTGACTTCCAATCTTGATTTCAAAAAGACTAGCATTCATGCAGGACTACAAGAGACAATTATATAAGTCTCAGACGTTTTTTTTAGAATATGCTACTTATTTGAGCATAACCTGACGGTCCACTCACCCCTCATTCACAGGCTTCTTACGGAGGATGCTGGGTCTGGGGGAGGAGACTAGCGTAGGTGCACCTGATCCTGCCCCCTGTGGGTGCGTCTGAACAACAGTGGTGACAGTCTGCGTAGCGCTGAATGTGCTGCCGATGGGGTTTGTCACAAATGCAGTGCTCTCAGCCAGAACTACACCTGCTGAAGACCAAAGACAACAACTTCCAAATTGAATGTATATTGTTCAAATCGGAAAGTAAATGTTTGTTTTTGTTTTTTATTTACCTGATGGTTTTGCTTCTGGCTGTGGCTGCTGTGCAGCAACTGGTGCCTGCTGGATCCCCTGTGTGCTAATTGGTGTGGTGGCATGCAGGCCCTGCACTCCAATGGGTGCAGGCTGAATGCCTTGGGCAGTCATGGAAGCTGGTTGGATATTCTGGGTGCTAATCTGTGCAGACTGCAGTCCGATGCGATCCACAGCCATTAGCTGCATGGGGTTCAAATGCACAGTGGTGGCCACACCCACACCAGCCTGGGCAGGAAGAGCTGAGGTCGGAGTCTGTGCTGTGACTGGGGTGGGGTGGGGGGGGGGAGAGAGAGAGAAGAAGCAAAATAAATAAAAATATAAATAAAAGATATTCTTGTAATCATAATCCCCAGCTGGGTAAAGCATACAATAAGAAATACAGCAGAAACGAAACTTCAACAGCAGAAGTGATCCATGTTCTTCTTTGGAAGAGGCCAAATTTATTGGTGGAGTTAAATATTTGCCATGTGACAGTAACAAAGAAGAGAGAAGTAAGTAGAGCATTTTCTCTGCAGCGTTTTATTCTTGTTTTTTGCTTGCTCAAGTTTGCACTTAAACTGTTACAACCAACAAAGTGTTTCCCTGTGCTGAGCTTCAATCCTGCTCTCCCATGAGGAGAGTATGCAACTCAACACATGTGCATAGCTCAAACACCATTTTGTATTAAACCATCAGCCTGTAAATATACTTCAAAAATTATACTTATTCTCACTTCCAGTGTTGTGTGTAAAATTTGTTTCTTGTGTACTGTCGCGGGGAAGCTGTATTACCATAAATAGCTATTAAGTATGTATGTATGTGTATACACACTCACGCACACACACACACACACACCTTGTCATTTGCTTAAAGGAGAGGTTAGATAACTTCACAAAAAATACTCTAAACGGACCAAAAAATTTATATCAAAATTGTATGTTATTATTGCAAATAAAACAGCAAAAAATATTAATAACAACATTTCAAAATTTTGAATGGTATTGCACCTTTCATTGTGCATTCTATACAAACACCATGAGGCCCAATATCAGTGAGACTATGATATGAACAAAACCATATAAATAACACATTGGTTAGGTTTACCTGGGTAGGGTCGAATGGTGGACACAGAGCTGGTAATGGGGGTGTAGGTGTGTGTCAGCGGGTAAGCAGATGAGGGGTAAGTGGGTAAAAAGTACTGGAACTGAACGGGCACTGATGGCCTATACAAACAGAGCAAGAGAAATTGTCAGCATATCAATAAAACATATCTAAATAGCATGCCCATCAGAAATCACTGCAACTGGAAGGCAATTCTCAGGCTTCCTCAGCTGTAAACAATTAGCACTTTATCAAATGCCTCAATCACATGAAGAGTACTTAATGCTGCAAAATGTTAGCTGTCACCTGTTGTCACTGCGGGCCTCCATGGCAACAGGGTTTGGTGAGGAGCGGTGGCCAGAGATGGGGATCAGGCTGGTTCTCTCTCCAGAGTACTCCGACTGAATCCGAGGGGAAGTGTGGGCAATTGGCTGAGGGACCACTTTAGCTACACACACAAAAAAATGTTACGAGAGAATGGTGGCCCAACCTACACCAGACAATAGAGAAATGTATGCATCTGCAAGTTAAATTGATTCTAATACAATTATGATGTGCTGTATTTTTGAATCAGAAAGTGTTTAAAAAAAAAGGTCACAAACGTGGTTAAAAAATTTCTGTATAATTAAACGGATGTCATTTAGTCAAAAGTCATTTAGAGTGTTTAGATGTGTAACTCAAAAGAAAACCCAAAAGTTCTAAAAAAAATAAAAATAAAAAAAACAAAAAAAACAAAAAAAAACCAAACAAACAAAAAAATTTGATATATAGTCACCACTACTTTACTATTTCCAACATTACAAATAAAAACTAAGAAGACGTGCAGGTTCAAATAACTATATTCTGCATTGTTATGCATTTTACATCAAACCACTCTCAGTGACTTTGTTTACATCTCACTGAATGAACAGAAATACAGAAATATCTGTGTAACTCCCATTTAAAAATTCAAGAACCTGACATTGTTGAAAGTAGTACAAATATCCAGAACGGGCAACCTAAGAAAACAACAGTTGTCACTGCTCAAGGTATGTTGCTTAGTGCTTACCAACAGGAATAGCAGAGCTGGTCACAGCTGTAGCATGGGAGGAGTGGGAAGCCACTGTCATGGTGACAATGGTATTGCTGGTCATCTGGGTGTGGGGTGCAGAGCCTTTTGGATGAGAAAACAAAATCAGAAAGGCCTTCCCAGACATCTACTTGGAGAACAGCGAGCCTTAGCACTTCTAAAAAGACTTTTCCAAAATCCTACCTGTTGTGGTAGTCGATGGGACAGTATTAGTAGCTAGGATGGGGGCAACGGTTGCTGCAGCAACAGGAGTCACAGTGCTGAAAATAGGCTTCTGTAGAGAGGAATTCAGTCTTTTACTGAGTTTTCATTAAATTAAATTCATTAAATTTCATTCTTAGGCTTACACAACAAAAGAAAGATTCATTGTTATTGTCTTAGCAACTGCATCACACCTGTGCACTTTATATTATATTGACATCCAAATAAGCTTGATTGCTTTGATTATAGTGACTAGTTGAGTTGGACAACAATCATTAATTGGCAAAGTCGATCAGACATTAACTGTGTCAATTATGGAAAAAGCCAAAAAAGTTGTTTACTTAAAAGAAGCCTATAAAGCTCTTTAATGTTTACATGACACACACAGCCATTCCATTGGCTCCTAGTGTTTCAATGCCCCATAAAAGATAAAACTACTTGTAGCACAGATGGAACTTGGCAGTGTAGTGACACAGCAAAGTGTAACAAAACAACTCAAGGCGAAATAGTTTAATTAGTCAACTGATTGAATAACACCTAACATAATAGTGAACTACATATCAACTACACCAATGCTAAAGTTAAAAAGGTTAAAGAGTCTGACCTGTGTCATAGTGTGAGGAGGCTGGGCTTTCTGGGCACCCATGGCAGGATGCGAGGGCAGTGTAATGCGTGTGGAGTCTCTCGGGGTTGAAGGCCGCTGGATACTGAGGGTAGCAGGGGAAGGAGGGTGGATGGCAAGGCCAGTTCGCCTGGAAATGCAAACAGCAGTACTGTTACAAAAGCACTTCTAGCATGCTTTTATTTTACGAGTGATCCACTGTGATACAGCACATATCTTCTGTTTAATTGCTAAACTTAGCACTGGGGAAAAAAAAATTCTAATGGTAGAAGTGTGTTCTCTGTAGAGGATGAGTTAACTTATTTTTCTTCAATCAACAAAACATGTAATTTGACCAGAAGTGCCAAAACTTTTGCATATGACTATATTTAATGAAATGTCTGCGAATTGTGAAAAAAAACTTGAGTTCATGGTAACTTACCCATGTACTATCTCTGCTGCATGGGTAACTGGAGGGCTGATGACCGGGGACTGGGTTCTAGCTGCTGAAATAGGGGCGACCACAGTGGGCAGGACAGCAGTGGATGTGGTGGCTGTAGGTCGAGACTGCACACGCAGGAGTTCCAGATTTAAAACCGTGAAAACTCAACATCAATGTTTCATAACACAACACTAAACACAAAATTCTTAATACGGAAATGACATGAAAATGAATCACCTCGTAAGATACAACTTAGTTAGGGGTGCCACTAACGACTATTTTTCTACTGATTAACTTACTGACTTATTTACAGATTTAGTCAAATAATCTAAACAATTAATTTTCCGCAAAAATATCAAATTATTATGGTATTGCCTACACAAAGAAATGTGCTCAAAATATTGGCAGAAATGCGCACAAACACACTGGCACAATCAATGCAGAATAAGCCCAGATTCTAGCCTGAACATGTTCTCAAACACTAATCTGAATACTCCCATAGTTTCGATGCCTTGAGTCATCGGAAAGTTTTAAATACCTCTTTCTCAACAAAGCCAGATGCAGCCGCTATGAGTTTTTTAAATTGTAGTTTGTATGGAGCCAAAAACAACTGATGTCATGCACGCAGCAGTTACATAGTGGTATTCAGGAAAAGCATTTGTTATTTTAATTGAAGCATTTTAGTAATCAAAAAGGTAGATTTATAAAAACAATTAAAAAATAATGATGTGTCAGTTTAAAATATTGATGGTGATACATTTTCAACGTCGACATTATCGATTACATTGATTAATCACAGCAGCCTGAAAATTAGTAGTCCAATATTTATAGTATAAAATGACTGGCAAACAGCTCACACAGGGATTTGAATGTACCTGAATAGACTGGTGGATGATGTGCTGTACGGCTGTGGGCTGGCCCGGGCCTGCATTAGCTCCACAAGCAGGTCTCAGAACAGTAGGGCCTTTGGTGCTTGACATGACAGCTGCAGCAGCTGCGCCTGAAACCCAAAGCACAGAAAAACACACAGAAGGTCATTACACTCGCTTGGAGTGACTTCATCTTACTGTAACAATCAACAACTAACATCCAAAATATATCACAAAAAAATTGATCACGACTGGAATTTATCATGTACAGGACTGGCTATACTTTGTTACAAATGTTCTAAGGCGTACATTTAAAGGTTCTTCATGTAATTACCACATTTTGAGTTAAGTGACTTTAATAAACATGCTGCTTCATAGTCTGGTAAACTGCCTACTATCTTAAGTCATGTATTAATATATATAACTGTTTTGTTGCAAGTTACACATGAATCACCACATTATCAAGTAAGCTCCTAATGAACGTTGACTGAAATCTTCCCAAACCAAGATATCACTACAAGAGAAGTTGTTAAGATTACTAAAACAGTTTACATTCCTGTTTACATAAACTGTAAGCTGTCTTGCCAGAAACAACACAGACATATGTAAATGTCAAATAACATGTTTTGTAAATTCTCTAGCTAAAAAGAATTTAATATCAAAATCTGCTTGAAACAAACTTAAATATGACATATTTGCTGAATTTATTATATTTAAGAAAAACTGAAATAAACTGTGGCATGTACAAAAGATTGGGCACCCTTTCAGTCTATCTACCAGTATTGTTTTTTTTAAGGTCTCAAAGCTAATTCAACTCATTAGGTCTTAATCTAAAATGTCAGGTGTTCCAGTTCCAGAGTGCAACATATTATCTGACCCCCTCTCAGGCTGTTGTGCTTACACTTTACAACCATAGGCTCATCTAAGCAACTGAGGATCTGAAGTTAAAGATAACTGACTCTTACGAAGCAAGAAAAGACTAAAAGAGATATCTAAACACTTCCTGCTTGCAGTTTTCACTGTCTAACTACTGAAGTCAAGACAACATCTGTAGTACAAGACAAATCTATGAAAAATCTGCTTATAGACTGGTCAGGTATGCAAAACTAAACCCCGACATTACCGCCAAGGACCTACAGGTCAGCAATTGTGATGCACCACCGTGCAGTGTTCACCTACATGAAAGAGTCATCAAAATGTAACTTTGATCATCAAAAAAGTGAACTTCTGAAGTAAACAAAACACCATCTACATAAACCAGAGCCATTTCGAAATTAAGTTTTGTGGTGTGATAAAAAAAAAGAAAAAAAAGGCAAAAAAAAAGGAAAAAGCATTAAGAAAATAACACCTTGCCAACTGTTAAGCATGGGGGTGGATCTATGTAGTATGGCAGCCAGTGGCACAGCAGAGAGAAGAAAGGAGTCTACTAAATATCAACAAATCCTGGAAGCTAATGTTCCACAACCACCAAAGAAACTGAAGAAGCTGCATATTACAAAAAGACAATGATCTAAAACACACTAAAACCAACCATGAAGTACTTCAAAAAACAAAAGATTTAAAGTTTTGAAATAGTCTTCACTGTCCCCACATTTGAAAATCTGTGGTTAGATCTCAGATATGCTGTGCACGCAAGAAGACCCATTAATATATCTAAACTAGAAGCATACAGCAAGGAAAAAAGTGAATGGAAAAGAGAAAGATTATTAGTTGACTACAAGTGTTTGAAGGCTGTGACTTTAGCCAAAGGGGTCTTACTAAGTACTGACTGAAAAGGTGCACAAATAAATTCATTAACATATTCCATGCAGAAGTGGGGTTAACTTCATAACAAAAAGGGCAAAATGCCTGAACTTTCACATACAACTGTATTTACTACAAACAAAACAAACTCAAGGCTTTAACAGCACCACTGATACAGAACACAGTAAACATGAGCTGAAACTTGGAACAGAATTGCTTTAAGCTGACCTCGGGGCAGGTGGGAGGTGAATGTGTGAGGGGGAGCAGCTGGAGATCCAATCTGCAGTGCAGGGGTACTGCTCCTGATGATCTGCACGTTGGTAGCCATGAGGTGGTGGTGCAGGTTACTTTGTCCCTGCAAGAATAAAAGACGATTTACATTCTCCATCTCCATTTTCAGCCCTGTGAATAAAACAGATACATCCTAAAGCTGGACACACCAACGAGTGTTGCAGCCCTACCTGCTGACCACTGATGGTAGCCACAGGGATGGAGGCTGGAGCCATACTGCTCTCCAGGGTAACAGTAATATGTCCAGGAACCTTTGCTTGTCCTGGAATGTGCCCTTGACTAGCAGCTGGAGCAGGGGCAATAAGTCGACTGGGTACTGGGGGCTTCAGGCAAGCCTGAAAGAAACTTCCAGTAACACTGCATGGCTGATATCTGATATTAATGTATCCAATTCAACTCATACAGATCTTCCAATAAATTCTTGCTTGTTCAAAAAGTGTGAGTAAAACAACAGGTTGAGCCAGAGGTGGCGGTACAGTCCTTCTGCAATTAACAGTGCAAACACTCATCAAAAAACACACAAACATAATTAGCTTTTAAAAATCCCAACAGCAGTATGCACATGAAAAGAATAATAAAAAAGAAATGTAGAGAAATAAACATACATTTATCTTCAGCACTCGCAGTGCAAACCTAACTGTGCTGCAGTAATTAGAATTTGGTCATTTAAATTTAAACCTGATTAAATTATTCAGCTTTATTTTGAATTATTCACCCAGAAATCTGCACATTCGAAAAAGAAACCCTTTGCCTTTGAGCCTGGGGTCAAAGTATTTGTTATGTTTGAGAGAATAAATTAGGTATTCTCTGTTTAACATCAAATCCTTTTCAATGTGAGATATGAGGAAGATGTCAGCTCCCAGTTCTGTTAGGGACATAAGTGACCCAAGAAAAGGACTGTGAAAAACTCTGTGAAACCTTCACTGCTCCCTCGGTGAAGGCAGGCTGCTGGGGCTGGGTCAGGTGGGCTGGTGGAGCAGCAACAGTGACTGTGGGGCTGGGCTGGATAGGCACATGCTGGGGCAAGGCTGAAGGCGGGCCCAAAGCCTGCACTTGAGGATAGGGCCTGACCACTACAGTCTCTTGCTTCTCATCCCGGAATGGTAAAGCCCCTCCACCAGCGCTGCCAGTGGGCAGAGGGTCCTGAGGATGATCTGCCTCTCTGTTGCCTTCTTCACCACCTAGAAAAAATTATAAACGGGTTTAGTCGCTGATTCAAAACATTCTGCAACATACAAAGAAGAGCTGAAAAACGGCTAAATAAACTGCCAATGTGCCTCCACCTGGTTGGCTTCCTTGCATGAGGCTGTTGTTGCCCGTGGGTGCAGGGCCTTGGGCAACCCCTGAAGGTGGCAACGGTGCTCTAGGAAACTGCTGAGAGCTCATCTTCTGTCAATAACCTAAGAGCGGAGAACAACTGATGAGAGAACACCTTACTTTCTGTTAAAAAGACACTATTAAATCTTTACTTTATTTTGATTACTCTACTGTGAAGGCTTTGTAGGCCTTGTCATAACTTTACGCTCAACTGAGGACCTATTACATACTACTTAATTAACCTAGCGTTAGCTACCATTTCAAAACATTAATCTAACCTTTATTGAGTTTCAGCAGATAGTTTGTTAATAATCTGCATCACCAGAATATGCACACAGGGGTCATCCCAAATAACGTGGAAGCAAATAACTTCTCTATCTTAGTTGTTTGCTAAACAGTCCGCCTAAAGCAGCCTATACTACTTGGGTTAATACTTAAACGCTTTGCAGCCAAACGCTTGACACAACACTGGCTACAGTGTAAACAGTGCTTGAGCACATAACAATACAGCAGCCAAGTTCACAACACTCTTCTCTTAGCCTTCATTTTAAACGCAGTACAAGCCAGCCAAGTGCGCTACCTTGACTTTATCCATGAAAAATGAACTAACGTTAACTTTTCCACAACAACAAACCCAGGTTAACATTAATGCTAGCAAGTCATTAACGCGGCAGTGAGACAAACACAGGCAGCGAACAGAGCTAGCTAACGTTAAAGTGACCCTAAGAGCGAATTATGGACGTTATTTTAAGCATACGGCTTTACGCAGCATTTATGAGCAGAAACAGTAATATTCTAAAATCACACATTAAAACACTAAAGCAAGTTATCTGTACAGCTGTATTCGGGTTAAGATGGTTAGCTTAGCTTAGCTGCGAAACATTATTTACCAGATTCTTAATAGCTGTCCGTCAAAGCGCTTCTGCGGCTGTGATAGCGGCCGACTTTCATGGTTTTTATAATCGGATTGATTTTTAATCTTGTTGCACGATTTCGTCACTGCTGTAGTTCTCAGAAACGAGAGAAAAAGACTGATATTTGTCCTGCAGCACCGGGACTGTGAGGGTTTAGCGCCGCTCCATCGCTGTGGCGTGAAAACAGCAGCAACGAACAGTTTGAAATGGAGGAAAAGAAAAGGGCAAAACTGCTCTTCAAAATACAAGTCTCCATCTCACTGTATTAGCTACCAGACAAGCGCTGGTAGGATTTGCCACGGTACATTAACGGTAAATTTACAGTGAATTAATTAACGAATTATTTAAATACTACTACTACTAATACTAATACTACTAATAATAATAATAATAATAATAATAATAACAAATGATAGAAGTGATCGTATTAACAATGTGCAGGTTAGTTATTTCTAAGACCTTTATTTCTCCATGTTAGCTTTAGCTTTAGCACGAGTTATGTTTTACGTACTGTTACCAGAGCCGGTTTAAAGGCAGCCTCGCTACTTCCTATTTCTCCCGTTATATCAAAACTTGACTGCGAAACGCCAGAGGGCGCCCACGAGCGAGTCCTTTAATGGGCATAAATGGAGATAAACGGGTAAAAACGAAAAGCTAAAATAGTTTCTTATCACCTGTCCAGGGCTTTTCTTTAATTTTGGAAAGTAAAAGGATGTATTTCACTAAAAGCAAAGAAAACTTAACTGTACAGTTCCCTTTATAGCAAACGCTAGTATTACTGTTACTGAGTTCCTGATTGGTTGACATTACTGCTACTGAGCGCTGATTGGTTGGCGAGCTGATAAGCTCTGGTCAGGCTGAGCGGGGTGCCCGCGCTCACTGACGTCATGAATGTACACGAGGCGTTGTTATAAACTCCAATAACTTAAAAAGTTCAAAAGCGCGCAGAAATATAACAGCGGTGTTAAAATGTTTTGTGCTGTTCTGTGTTCAGGACTTGAATGAATTCTTCTATGCAAAAATAAAAACTATGATTTTGCTCAGATGCTCCATATTAACCCTGTTTCGGACCGAGGAGGGTCCTCTGGGGTTTGACAAACCAGGAACACATTATTGAGTGGCAGCTCTCTCTACAAATTCTCTGCTGTTACTACCATGCTGAACTAAAATAATGTAATATAAGAGTACGTTTTTACAAATAATATGTCTAATAATTATCGGAACTGGGATTACAGTGTAAACATATTACATTTAGCTTGGCCAGACCCAAATACTTCAAAAAGACCAATTTAATAACACATTCCTGCCGTTAATTTCCACTTGCCTGCAGAGTTGTCAATTTTAAAGCAAAAAGGAATGTAAAACCGGACTGTTGGAAGGTAAATGTATCGCCTTCAATTACGGTTCAAATATATGTTGTTTGAGAGGGATGAAAGCGTCGTTAAAAAATGTCAGAAAAATGTCTCTTTCTTACTTGTGCCACTAGATGGCAGGATTAAGCTAGAGGTCGGTAAATCAACTTTTATTTTCAGCACTTGTTTTGAGTAGCTCAGGTCAAAATGTCAGTACATTTTCTTGGTTACTACAGCACTCCAGTGTACAAGAACATGCTGTAATCCATTAAAGGTGTACTGTAATTTATATCCGTGTTAGACACTAACATGGATATAAATTTGCACTTTTGAACCGTCTTGACACACTTCCGCATCCCACAGCACATTGTAAGAGGAACAAAGCCTGTGTAACTAAATGCCCTAGACACTATTGCATCTGAGGTGTTCAGTTACACATATTCACAGTTCTGCAGACCATCACACCTCACTACTGCATTCCAGAACTCATGGCGTAACAGCAACAAAATGACGAAGACGTGCAGCCTACTTGGCCCAAAGTCAGGAACAATTTTATTTCTTTCTTCATGGCCAGCTCAAAAAGAACAATATAATCCAAGTGCTATGAAGAAAACCTTCAGTTCTCAAACAATGCTGTTGTCAGGCTGATACCATTGCTTGACTACTTCAGTGACCTGATGCTAGCTTGATGTTATTGTATGTTTGGCCCTGCGGTGGCTGGGGTCCGACGGCAAGAAACTACGTCCCAAAATATCTCCCAGTGTGATTGTCCATGGAAATTGGGATCAGAAGAACAAATGTTCCAGGCTTCCTGTTTGGCTCCAGTCCAGATTGCATTCCAGGGGCCTCCACCAATATTTACACAAGACATTCCTCCATATTCCCCCCTAAAATCACTAGAATTGCTCTCTCTTCATCTGAATACCAGAGAAACATGCATGCCATTGCAAGGGTAATTTGTCTCTGCCTCACTTGTAATTAGTTCTTTTGTCAGGTATGACAAATCTTTGAATCTTATCAGATTGGAAAAAAGCCTGTGTGGGTTTTCCCCTGGGTCGAAGCAATGGGTTCATATAGTTGCTTCAGCAAGACAAGTGAAATTTCAGAGCTCTGGGCTACTGAGCTGACTTTTGCGCAACACAGTTGAGCAATGGACAGATACGGACTGTTCCTCATGACTATCAGTCTCTGGCTTGAGTTTCATGGTAAAGAACTAGATCCTGTGATACTGTAGTCAATGTAACATTGGAAGATTATACTACACTGTAAGCTTCTCTTATATATTATATTGTCACATCTTGTTATTCATAACAGTATGTCATACAGTTGCTGAAACCACAAGTCTATTCTAAATCACTTAAAAACTCAACATAGCCAGGCAAGCAGTCAGGATTGGGATGTATCAGAATGCAAGTATTGGGAAAACATATTCAGAATACAATATGTTTATTCAGTTCAAGTTACATTTTGTAAAGGCAGTATTCAGAATACAGTAACTTTTTACACTTTTAGGAGAATACTTTTAGAATATGTACCCACTAAAAACATAGAATTTCCAAAAGAACACAATCAATGCTTGTTTATTAACTATTTTAAAATCTGTGAAACAGTATTTAGCGAACAGCCTTGTTAGAAAAACTCTAAAGAGTGGACTGATACATCAGTGATGATCAGTTATTATTCTCAGTGTTACTGAGCTCTGCTAAAGCCTGAGTAGACTGATAAATCAATGTGGGTATCAGTTTTTATGTGTTGTAATGGAATATATTACTGGACACATGTAGGGCAGTGTATTCAGCCATCTACTTTTTTAAAGTATTTTGCCTAACCCTGCATGTAGATCATGTGATGTTAAAGTTAGCTACATTAGCCTCATTGCTCCAATGTAAAAGTGAAGAGGCAAACTTCAGGCACCAAACACTGAGTAATTGATGAATAGTGTCAATTTCATTTTTGAATCATCGCTTTGACGTAAAAAGCAGACATGTTTTCTATAACCAGGGGTCAGATACATGACAGACCATTTTGGATCTGAAAAGTCTCTGAGAACTGACAACAATCCCTGGGCTTTAGCATCAGGTTACTGTCACATTTCTTTGGGGGCATTACATCATCTGGATATCAGGGCTACTTGGCAGTCCCAGCTTGATGTGTGACCCCAGGAGTTGCAGCTATTTTTCCGGAGGACCAGTGTGTTATTTCTGTCCCCTACCTCACCCCCCACCCCACTACACCCCTTTAGAAAGGTGTCTCTGCACAGCTGAGGCATGTGCTGAGGCTACATTTGAATAAATTGTAACTCTTTTACCTCATCTGTAAAAAATAGGCTCAGAAAATCACACCATTTCCTATTTGCATGACAGACGTGAGCTCATTTTGGTCAGAAATTTACAGGCAATTCAGAGATTGAGATGATACCATTGGAATGTGCTTTGGTGGACCTTGTCCATGAGTTTACTTGAGTAAAGATTAGTACAGTGTTTTTAATTTTGTGCCTCACACTGCAAAGGAGCAGACAGACGATAACCCCAAACTCCAATCAAGGCAGTAAACAGTCATTCGCTGTGGAATGAGCAAATGCAGTTTGCAAGACCGAACCTGATAAACGGCTATAAAATCATGGCTGTACGTCCATAAACCTGTTAACAACAGTTGTGATGTATCAGTCATGATTGAGAATAGCTATAATACAGAATGTACTTCCTTATCAGATTTTATGAAAGCAGTCCACTGCATTCCCAAAATGATAAACATCTGAACTGAAAACAGCAATGTTTAGAGGCATCATACTGCACAGTGTTGTTATAGTTAGTGTGGCAACAAATTGTTGATTATGCCACAATGCAAATCACAATCAGTCAGCATTGGCTAAACAGTTGCTTTTTATTGTTTGTTTGTTTCCCTAACCCTAACATAACCCTAGATAAGTATTCTATATAAAATACTGTGAAGGAATGCAGTGAGTTAAACCCAGCGCACCCACAAAATTGAATATGAACATACAAGCATTGAAGGTAAGAACATAGTATTTTGCCGGGGATAAAAAACAATGTTAATTAAGACATCCTTTCTTCAGATAATCACATTAGACCCAGAGACATGAGTGAGCTGTTTTTTATCCTTTTCCCATACCAACATGACATCCCTACGTTTTTACTCTAAAAAATGGCAACCTTCACCTTCTCAACTGTAGAAAAAAAACAGCAGTGAGAGGACGGCCTGATGGATGCCAGATTTTTACCCGCAGGAATGCTCCTTTGCCCTACATTCGCAGACAGCAATTTATCTATGAATGAATTACTCTGCAAGCTTGAGAAGTGGGAGTGTTGCTCAGTGTCTGCTGTTTGCGCAATGCTGTACTGCATGCAGGAAATCCTGACAGCTCTTGGGGGGAAAGCATCAAACTACAGTGTCACTAGCAATTAGATTAGACAGTGTCCTGTTGGGGAAAAATGATAACAGGGATCTGTGGAGAGCAGGTGCAGTAAAGGGGGTAAACCCATGAGGCCTGGGATCATGGGAAAGAATGAGGAATTGTTTATATTTGTATCTATGTTCAAGTACATATATGTAATCCCACAGTATTGTATAAATATCTTGTATGTGTGGAATCAATCAATCAATCAATCAATCTATCTATCTATCTATCTATCGAAGGCAATGGAAAATTATCTAAGTGCAGTATGTAAGGAAAAACAGAAGAGCAAATGTTCCTTATGTGATTAAATGCAAGACGGGATGAGACTGTATCTGCAAGAACAGTTTATTCACAACTACAAACCAAATTCCAAAAAAGTTGGGACAGTGTGTGAAAAACTAATAAAAA